CATGACGAAGCAGTAAAATTTCAAGCGTGACGTTTGTATCTATCAATAGATCACCGGCGCAAGCGCTTGGTTCCTTTGTACAAGGGCAGACGGATTTGCTTAGACAATAAGAAAACCGTTTAGTAAGAATCAAGAGCTAGACAAGCACGTGTCTAGGCTACTAGTAAAAGCGTAAAAAAGGTGGTAAACACAAGAATGTTTGACGGGCGAGGGTAACGAGTCTGGCTCCGGAAGGCTCGCTTCCTGCTCCGCGACCTTCGGCTGGCCTTCGCGCCGCCATTCACCGCTTTGTTTGGACCAATTTATCAGCGAAAGCCTACACTGATACGGCCAATCGCATAATTAAAAAATACCTATATGGCCTAATGGCCGCATAACGGCTAGAAAAAAGCGCTACTGTAATGCAAAGCGAGCGATGATTGATTTTTACTCGATCGAACACTACTGTAACATGTGTCAATAGATAGCAAACTAAATAAAACTATGATCATCAATCTCAATTAGAAATAGTAATAAATCTTTTTCAAACGAGCTAATTGCGTTACAACTCATTTATATTCGTGACACATAAAATTACCAACCAAAAACCTGCGTTACCAATTAATTACGTTCCTAATTGATTGAGTTTTAAATAGCATTATTGTGTAGACGAAATTTGTCGCATGTAAACCAAGATAATCTGGAGTTAACAAATCTGCATACTCTACTTTCAGTTGTTTAACATAGCCCGATGCAAAAGTCACGGAAAATATTATTATTGGCCATATTGCGGTTTCAATATTTGTAAAGCGAGGCATGCAAATAAGCCCACGATTGTGTAACTCACAAGCGTTGCCCACGATACGCCTAGCAAAGCAGTTTACACCGACACTATTTCTTCTTATGACCCTTAACTATTTCAACACACTACTCGACTGTCAAGGGCGTCTAACAAAATATTTTAGCAAAAAGATTTAATCTAATCTTTTGTAATTCTATGCACAACAGGTAAGTTTATTACCGACTTTTACGAACACAAACATAATTAATCGCAGCAATTATCACGTTATAAAACGAATTTGCATGTGGTTCAATGTTAGCTTAATTGAATCATTAGGTATTTACAAAGTTGTAAAAGTAGTAGACAGACATGTTAATCAACATACTAAGTTTTTGCAGCGTTGAAGAACCTTAAAGTTAACTTGTAATTTCTATTGCAATTAAATCGCTGCGTAATTTTATGTCATCCTGTGCCACACTCTGTATAGTATCGGATTACATTAAGTGAACTAGATCTAGAGTTTCTCATAGGCCCTGACACCATTGGCCTGAACTTCGGACCACCGCAAATTCCTTTCATCTAAATTATGGATTTTACGAGCACTAAATATTATTGAGTACCCAAAACATCTGATTCTGGACTTACAACACTTGCTAATAAGTCTTCATTTTGTCAATGTTAATCTATGTTTATCTGATTTTATCTAAGGATACGATCGATATTACTTAGTCCATAAAATGTCTTTCATTTTCTCTATGCGGGTTTTCAGGAGCTAACATTGTTTTTTTTTTAATATTCTACTCTCAAGAGTTTCTTCTTCAAAGAAGAAACTATTATTAGAGTTTTTACAAATTGCTGTCCTATCAACCAACAGCAAACATTATAGCGCCAAGTATACAATTAATTTTCTTAATGCAGTGTCAAGCGGACATTAGTAATGGATTTAAAATGTAAACAATATGCTCAACGGCTATAATGCATAAAGTTAATTTAACTTACAGACATTTACGACATTGTTATGGGATCTGCGAGCTGAATTTATTCCTCGTTTATTTAGTTAAATAAAACAATTATCGGTCTTACCGCTTAGCAATTAAGCGTTCTACACAACAACACGATTAAAAACTAAATTGTAGCAAATGCACGGACAAAGTAGAATATCGAATCGACATAAATTGCCTCAAACGACTGTAAAACTGGTCGATAAACAATACCAACAGCGTCGGTTCTGTATTTACATTGATTTGAATTAACTTTTCTGGATATTCAATAGTAGTTTTATATTATTTATCAATCGTATAGCAAAACCTTTCGTTCAATCATACAGAACGAGAACGACGTCATCCAATTAAGTACATGTGCAGTAAAAAGTTGCAGTGCCAGTTTGATTGGTCGTAAGTGATAATCTCCTTCATCACCTTATTCGGTGGTGATTTTAAAATAAGGTCTCTGCTTCCGATGACAATGAATTTTAACTGGAACGCAATCGCGACGGCATTCTTCAACCGTGCTGTCATACTTGCCCCAGCGCAATTTATAATTGACCTTTACATAGGGACAGATTAATTCATAGAAAATATGCCGTAATTCCATTCGCATTAATTCTCCCATCTTTTTTTAGTATTGACAAAGTCCACTCCAATTAATATAAGCTTTGAAATGCCTGCCGTAATTAAATTACTCGAGCCGTTTAATAACTGTATCACTGATACGTGACATTTGTAACAAAGTGGAATTTTATTCATTCGCATTTTTCTACTATAACTTTATGGTATGGACTATGGATTTATCGTTTCACGTTTAAGGTTCTATAGTAATCAAATCGACCTTATTCAATTCCAAATTTAGCATGAAATCAATTTCATAGATCCGTATTTGTTGCACAGATACGAGTATTTCACACGTTCACACGCGTAAAAATACCACAATAGGGTTGGGCAAGAATTTAATCATAATCGTTTGTACCTCGTACTTATTAATACAAGGTAGAACCGATCGACTCGGTGCGTGCGCCGGCGTCAATAAACAACGCAGATATTGCCAGACAAAGCCGCCCACCGCGTCACCAAGCCTCCTCACGACTATTTTGCCCACCAAATGAGGTTACCACATTCTCAGCCCCAGTGACAAGCCCAGATTAAACCTATTGCACTTTGCCTAATCCGCTAAACATATTTTGATTACATTACACAATGACTGCAAATAAGCTGCAAATCCTTTATCTTTGTCATATCGAAGCTTAAACGAGCATGAAGGTCCTAAATATGCCTCAGATATCCATAATAGCTGACAGATTACAACCAACTCGAGGCCATTCCTCATAAATGGTATTTATCTGTGAAATGCATCGGAGCGCACGTCGAGTCGAGATGAATGATTAAACCTGAATAAGACAAAATCCGTCTCATTCGAAATGTCGGTCAATGTTTCGCGTGCGCGCGCGCCGGCGACACCTGACGAGGGCAGCAGCGACACTGGAATTATACAGATCAAGCGACATGTCCGAGCCGTAATGAGCGGCCCGGGAACGCGCCGCCGCTCTACAATTATCAGCAGGCAGTACCTGCAGCGGCAATAACTCTGAATATTATCTCGTTAATAAAGGATATTCTGAACCGAATAGCACGACCGGTAGCAATAATTTGTGATCAGATAGAAAAGCGGACAATAAGTACTAGTTAACAATCTTAGGTACGACATAAACCGATTAACCGTACGAAAACGGTTTACTTAACCAAATGACAGTGTATTAAAACTTCCCTTTCGTTCTTTTCAGATCGTTGTAGCTTGCTTGGCGTTGGCGTGCGGCGCTCACGCGTCCCAGGGCTGGGCCGGCCCTCCCGCCAACATCGCGCTGTCCCAGGACGGCCGCAACATCCTCGACACCCCCGAGGTAGCGCAGGCGCGCGCCGCCCACCTCGCCGCCCTCCAGCAGGCCGCCCAGAACAACCCCAACCCCCAGGACGACGGCTCCTACAACCCCCAGTGGGACAACGAGGAGTACTGGCAACGCGCTGAGCAGCCGAAATGGAACGCCGCCCCCGCCAACCAGTGGAACGCCGCCCCCGCCCCGTCCTGGAACGCCGCCCCCGCCAACCACTGGAACGCCGCCCCCGCCGCCCCCGCCTGGAACGCCGCTGGCCCCGCGCCCGCCCCCGTCGCCGAGACCCCTGAGGTAGCGCAGGCCCGCGCCGCTCACCTCGCCGCGCTGTCCGCCGCCAAGTCCGCCGCCCCTGCCCAGCAGCAGTGGAACGCTCCCGCCCAGCAGCAGTGGAACGCCCCCGCTCCCCAGTGGAACGGTGCCCCCTCCTGGCAGGGCGCCCCCGCTCACCAGCCCGCCAACATCAGGCTAGCCCACGACGGCTCCGGCATCCTGGACACCCCCGAGGTGGCGGCGGCGCGCGCTGCGCACTTGGCCGCCCACCAGCAGGTGGCGCACGCGGCGCCCGCGCACCACGCTCCCCAGCAGCACTGGTGAACTCCTCCTCCCCTTCCCTCTTCTCTCCTTCCCTCTTCTCTTGGGTCTGAACCCAACTCTAGCGTGTAGCTCCGGTCCTGGTGACCATTCATATGCCATTACGCCCTAGGGCTGCGTTGAGGCGTTTTCCTCCTTCGATCTCTTTACTTTTTAGAAATTTTCAAAGTGCAAGTGCGTCAGCCTGTTCTTTCTCTCTGGCTTTTTGTTACTTTTATAAGAAATTTCTATAAAACGAACATTTTGTACATAATAATTATTATATGTATGCGTAATAAACGAATTTATATGGAACGGAAAATTACTCAGTTGTTTCAATCGCTTTCAATCCTACAATATTGCTGGTACAACCTTTAGAAGTCTAATCTGACTAATGACAGTTTAAAAGTCCATAATGAAAAATTGCGAAATGGTGTTAGTGCGGCGTGTCAGCCGGTGTACATAAATTAAGTTGAACAAACACGAACACCACTGCACCGCATGGAATGGAATATTTTGCTCCGTAGGCAGTCGGTATCGGTTCCCTGATACGAGTAATTTCATAATCACCTGTGACATTAGCACCAAACTGGCAACTGTCAATTATTTCAGTCCGTGATTTCCGCATTAGTCCAATTAACAGTGTGGTGCATGTCTGATAGTTATAATAATTACAATGAATGTAGTTAAATGCATTGCGGCCGGTAGCGTGAGCGGCCCGTGATAGCCGATCTCTGCGCAGATACGCGCCTCGAACTAATTCCTACATTAACTATTTCATTTTTTAACTAACTGTTAAAGGATATTGACGAACATTCGGAGGAAATCATTAGTTTTGTCTATTTTAAATACCAGCAGTTATGGCTCCTTCTTTTATGTGGAAAGAACAACAACACACATATTTTAAAATATGTACGTATTTTAGAAATATCTAACAAACTTTTTAACTTCCCTTTTCTATCAATTTGTTACCTAAATCAATTAGTTTCACTGTAATTCATTTTGAAGTCAGGCCACCCATTAACGAAATAGATCCTTTCCAAATCGTCGTAAATTATAAATCTAGTGCCCATTGAAACAACAGGATTACTCACCAAACGTGTTATCAAAAGTCAAATACAAATTAAATTAAAGAGATTTACTTGGCCTGAAATTAGAGGTTTCGTGTCAAATTTACGATCCAAAACTGGGTTCGTAATAGATAGAAGGACAAGTTACTTGTAAATGTATAATTTTGCTATCGCAAGCTGGCAGCGGAGGCGGTGCAGGGTCGATTCGTCACTCGATGGGCGCAATCAAACGATTAGAGCGCAAACACAGCTATGGGAAATTAGTTTACAAGTACGTGCGGCGCTGCCGCGGCGAGGTCCAGCTGGCCACTCCACCGTCGGTCACCAGGAACGCCGGACCAGACCTGCTCGAGGACATGATGGTCCAACCTCGAAGGGATTTTGGAATACGACCACAAAAGTCAGATTTAGACAAAAAGGTACAATTCAAAGGTCCTACGAGTAGTTATTTATTTAAACCACAGTAAGACTAATTTATGATTTGTAATTCAGCAAAACCTGTGGATAAATGAACATAACAAAGAACTGACTCCGTGGTATGTATGGAACCACAAAATACCGATCACTAGGAGCCGAAGTGAGGTAAGATTATTACAGAAACTCGTAACATGATATGAAAATTATTTCTCCTCCTCCCCTTGAACCATCATAATGTAAAGACTTAGTACGTACCTACCATATTATAATAAACACATGGATATAAAAATTATGACTATAATAACTTCAAACAGGAGAGACCATCTGTGGCTACCTCTACTAAGGCAGCAGTCAGAGCTTTCAGCAGAGACCTCAGAGAGTACCTGCTAACTTCCACATTGCACGGTCTGCGGTACATCGGCGAGAAGAAGCTTACTTGGTTCGAAAGGTAATGAAACGAGCTTAAATTACAAAATGACATCTGAAAATGAAAATCATTTTAGGGAATATCCCAAAGAAACGCTGGACTTTAGAGAAGTAGACGTTAAGAGGCATAGACATAGAAATAGGATAAGATTTATTATATCCCTTTGCCAATCTCTTACTGAATGCTGGTGGGGTGAGAAAAAAAAAAGAAATAAAAAATGTTTAGTACCAAGTAAAATGTGCATTAGATCAAGCTTGCATCTACAGAGCCAGACATAACGCAAACATTTACGCAGGTTCTTCTGGCTAGCAGCCTTCCTATGCTCCCTTATATGCGCGGGCTTCTTCATCCTAAACGTGTACGCCAAGTGGCGCCTGTCGCCGATGATCGTGAGCATCAACCCTGAGAACCTGGTGCTCGAAGACCTGCCCTTCCCGGCCCTCACCATCTGCAACGTCAACCAGGCCAAGAAGTCTGTGGCGCAGCACTACCTGAAGTTTGGGCAAGTCTTTCTTTTAACTATCGCTAATATACCGCACCTACGCACGTTTGGTATCAGAAGACTGGCTATTTCGTGGCCGTTTCTACCACGACGCTCTTGTCTTTTTCTATTGTCATACCTAATATGAAATAGATACCTAACTGAGGATAAAGCATGAATTTGCTTCTTACAGGACTCTAATCACGCACAACCAAATAAAGACGTCATATTTATGCTATTGTCATATTTTTAGTTAAATCCTAAATGTGGTTCCAATTATAATTATTGTTTCCCTTTGCTAGTACTAGGACTGTACGACACACTATCATTACCCACAGTAAAAGTTGATTACCTATCGACATCAAGTGCTCTATTAAACTAGAACTGATTTATTAATTGATATAAAAAACTGTAAAGTATGACGTTCTCGGATTTTATTACTTTAATTTGAAGTAGGTACGAGAGTATTTATTATTTTGTGGTACGAGTAGGTATTAGTAAGGGCGCAACGTTAACTAGGATACCTAAGCTTTCACGAGTTATCCTGAAAGTTACATAATTTTTATAGTGTTCTAAGTATAAAAGTGCCATGTCATGCGCACATAGCTATGAGCATTGTAATTAATCAATCTCTTTAATTTTCCTAAGGACATCGGTGGACAAAAAGCTGTTGGAGAGTCTGTGTTCCACCCAAAACGACGCAGAAATATTTGAAGACGGAATCGCAGAAAGCGCTGACTGGGACTACACACGCTCGTTTCTTATAAATGTTCGTATCTTACTAATAGAACAAACAAAGTACCTACATATTTATTATTATGAATTTCTTGATCAATTTAATACTGTTAAACTAGATAGGTATCGCATTATTTCTTTAGCCGTCTAAACTTACCATCAGGTGAGATACAGGCCAAGAGCTTCCTCGTTTTGGTTAAAAAAAAGTCAGTTAAGTGTAAGATTTTTTTTAATGCATAACGAGGCAGATATTTGACCGCAAGTATTTATTTTATAATCAAGGTAACACAGCCATGCAGTGAAATGTTGACATCATGCACGTGGAACTCGAAGAACACGAGCTGCACGGATCTATTCAACGCACAGCTCACCGACGAGGGTCTCTGCTGCACTTTCAACGTCGTGCACCGCAAGATGATGTTCAGAAATCCGTAAGAAACATATTAGGTAGATTTGCACTAGCGTCACACTACTACACTACGTGAAGCTACTCGTATCTAGGCCTAACTAGACAAAAAAAAGCTGATTTCCACCATCATCACACATAGAGGCTTCTAACTTTATAGACACACGTCAAGTCATACTACTTGGAAAATGGGCTGGTAGCTAGGAAAAGCAACCGAGGCGACAGAAATAACCGTGAAAGTAGCCGATAGATAGGGCAGCCTGCAGAGAATTGATAACCTATGAATGAAGCCTAAGTCTAAGCCTGATAGATTTATTATTGATAACATTTCTCAATGAGATGAGGGCGAAAGAGAACCAAGGAATTTACATAAACAATTACCTTTTACAGGAAATCTTTGAATGATTTAAATTTGACGTTCCCGTCTCCTGCAGTGGACTGGACACCAGAAAAGGGATACCCGCCTGACGCACCTGTGGACGGCTTTCCGTGGAGACCCAAAGGTGAATTTTATTTTTAATTGCTTTTCAAATACTCGTGTTCTTTGAGGAAGTAAGTAGGTAATTTACTCTCGTTTAAATCTCTTTTCTAACATCAATCATAAACACTCAATAAAATAAAATGTTTTAGGTATCGGCACCAGTCATGGTCTCAGTTTGGTATTGAATGCTAACATTGCAGAGTATTACTGCGCGTCCACTAAAAGTGCTGGTTTTAAGGTAAGATTGTCAGAGATGGAGAAACAATCAATTTCTTTTTATGGTGCCAAAAACTTGTCATGGTTTGGCTGGTAGAATTATTATTAATCGCTACTAACTACAGGCGACCTTCTCTAGATGTAGCGAAGTGGGAAATAATAGCAATAATAGCGAGTCGAGTAGCAAGATTGTATTGACGTAGGTATTGGGTAAACCACTTACGGTAGGTAAGTGTATAAATCTGTGTGATTGATGATGAATGTAGGTATTTTATTGGCCGCTATGGCGGACTGATTGTTAATGTTTGTCTCGAAGCTCTGGTGAAGCCCAAAGGTAAGGGGGCATGACCTTTCTTTACATTAGGTTTATAAGTTAGCCTTTTGGCTACCTTTCGTTTGTTGACCTTCATAAGTGCCAAATTTTTGTCCAAATCGTAACGATATCTTTCATAACAAAATAACCAATTCTAGATCCTCCTCCACAACCCGACTGAGACGCCCAAGATAGCTAACCTGGGAGAGATCTACGGGCCGGGCATCGAGGCGCGGGTGACGGTGCTGCCGCGCGTCCTGGACGCTCAGCCTGACCTGCAGTACATAGATGTCTCCAAGCGCCTCTGCCTGTTCTCTGCCGAAAAAGAACTTGTGTTCTTTAGGTAAATCTGATTTTCAAATAACGCGAGCATGTATCTCAGTTTGTCAGTAATGGTACTGATGGTACGGGGTTCAAGCACCTATGCCTGTTCTCCGCCGAAAAGGAGCTTGTTTTCTTCAGGTACTAATGACAGGTTATTTTAAATCATGATAGGTTCGGGTAAGAATACGCCGGTGACTATTATCGCGGCAAGATTTACCATACGTTGAGGCAAAACGCCAATAGTGATGTCCCGCGTTCCCGACTCATATGGCTACCGAGGGCAACGTCAGGGTTTTAGTGGGTAGGCCCTGCCCTTCTGGCAGGGAGAACCCTACATAACCCACTAACTTCCCCCGCGGCTGGTGGGTATACAAATTAATGTATTTTCCTGACGCAAAAAAAAAAGATTTACCATACGTCTGGTAAAGCGAAGGGTGACTGACTAATAAAGTTTGGGAGGACTGAGAGGTTTGTGTCGTCTGAAAAAAATAGGGGAAACCTTGGTGTATCGTGGATATTCGGAGACTAAGAATGCATAGCTTCTACTTTTGTTGCTCCCGCTAATATCTTATATAGTTAGTTTTGCCAATAGTTTACATTTGATTGACAGGTGAGAATCATATTATTCATTCCTATTTTCATTTTAATTGTTTTAGAACGTACACACTAAAGAATTGCGAAATGGAATGCGAAGCTAAGGCAATGCTGGATTTGTGCAATTGTGTTTACTATTATATGCCGAGTAAGTTGTGAATAACTATTTTAGTTATCTTATAATATTATGTATTTGTGCAATTCCTAAAATAAATAATTAATAAATATCCTTGAACATTTTTACACTGCGCTTCTAGTCCCAAACTAAGCAAAGCTGGTACTATGGGTACTAGACAACGGATAAAACATACTTAAATACTTTTTTTTTTGTAAATACATACTTATTATACATAGAAAAAATGTAAATCGACTTTTTTGTAGAGAATAAAACGACACGCATTTGCGGAAAGGCTGACGCAAAATGCTACTCAAACACATCGGAATTAAAACCTACAAGTGAGTATGTATCCTTAAATAAATAAATAAATAAATAAATAAATACCTTCATACAGACGAGAGCACATAAATCTAAACACTGTGGTATCTTGTGTCTGATGTGCTACTCGTATTACTGTTGTTGTAATTTAAGTAGCAAACGTTTTTTATACCTACTAACTAATGACTCTACTGTTTTAGAAAAAGAATGCGAGGAGTGCTTGCCTGCATGCACTGAGATCGCATATTTTGAGCGCGTGAGCACAGCGCCGCTCCACAAATCGCTGGTGCGCCACCTAGCGAAGACTCACGGCAACATCACTCCGGAATATTTCACGTAAATGCGCCAACTATGTATATTATCAGCGTTATTTTATATGGTTTACCTAAGTAATAATTTGTCATTTTCAGTGAAAACATGCTGATAATACACTTTTACTTCGAAGATGACACATTCATGCGGTTTACAAAAGGAGAGATATTTGGACTCACTGAATTCCTATGTAAGTTTCGTTCATGTTTATCATCTTGTTTTTTGGAATGCGTTTTGCAAACTGAACAATATGTCCAATGCAATGATATTATAATAATGCCTAATTAGGGATCAAGTAACTAAAATGTGCTATTCCATCGCCACAAAAAAGAGGGTAGGAAGGCCTCAAACCACCTGAACAAAGACTACCATTGAATACTGGAGACACCTGGATGACGAATGTCCAAAAGGTCATTAAGTATAGGACTCCACGAACAAGACGTTCATGATAGAAATAAATGGCGGCGCATGATTGGGAAAGCCGACCCCGCGTAACGGAATAAGACGAGACAAGAAGTACCTACTTCAAAAACATTTTTTTTTTTTTTCAAAATTTACGATGTCGTCTATGATCATATTTTTTAAAATATAATATTATGTTTAAGTTTAATTCTTTCTGCAGCCAACACCGGCGGTCTACTAGGCCTGTGCATGGGCTTCAGCATGATGAGCGCGGTGGAGCTGCTCTACTACCTGACTCTTCGCGCGCTCTGCATGGCTCGCCACCGTCGCCCCCAGCACCCCTTCACTAAATAAACTACACTCAACATCAAATAAATCGCACCTTCCGTGACGATTTTCTTCTGACACAATCATGGTGCCCCAACAATATTGGTGTTATTTGAAAGCCCAAAAAATATCCTTTAAGAAAAACACATTTAATTTCTTAATAAATGATTAACATATACCATAAATGTGACTTGAAAAAAGACCTCACTTTGGGCTCACTTCTGGGATCAATAAGACCAATTTTTATGGTTATAAAACCAAATAATGATCTGACGTGTCCTCTTTAACAGATGGATAGCGATTAATCCCAACTTAACAGTTTTATAGCTACAAAAGTTAGCTCATGCGTAACTACCTATTTTTTGAAGAAGTGACTCTGGATCCTTCTAAAGACACATTTTTGGGGTAAAAACCTTTCTTTTAATGAAATGAAGTTTAGAACTAGGTTTTCAAATGGTACCAATGTTGGTGAGAAGTGGGGATGCATACGTTTGAAAGGTGCTTCTTGCGGGAGGTGCGATTTATTTGATGCCGAGTGTATATTATAGATCGTTTTATCCACGAAGACGCGCCCCAAAATTCTTCCGCTAATGTTTGAGTGTTATTGGTTTGGTACACGCTAAATTATCCATGAGTGCACACGCACACTACAATAAGGACGCTCGGATTGCTCGGATCAAACTCGCCGCACTTCCTTCGACCAAAAATTGGTGGGGCGTCTTCTTAGATTGAACCCCTTCACTAAATTCGCGGTCGCATGGGGCCGCGGTAACGATTGATTTCTATTGTATCTCGATTAGCGGGCTCTAGACTCGATTACTACGAGTATTATAAGTATTTCACTGTTCATTTCATTATATTTTTCCCTGTCGTAAGTTCTTGTAAAGAGAACGTTAGCGTTATATGCACAACCGAATTTTCTTGATAGGAAACTAGCTCATAAATAAAGCTTTTTACTCTTTAGGAATCGCATGAAAACCGATGTGTGGTATGTGGCGGATTCAGTAGTAAAATGAAAACAAAAGTACAATAAACATTAATTTAATATAAAAAAACTATCTCATCTTAACTTATAATCTACAATTTGCTTTTACAACCTCAGTCTCTTTAAAACAGATTCTACACATTGTTAACAGTCGATCAACACTAACACTTTGCAAAATGTACAATTTTACATCCACAATAGCATGCTATCTAGCACAGTTAGTTCTTGTACCGTTCATCGTACATACAAAAAAAAAATAGTTTGTGCCAGTGTTTTAATGGTCTCAGTGGGTAATCGTTGAGTTCCAGCAACNTACGTTTGAAAGGTGCTTCTTGCGGGAGGTGCGATTTATTTGATGCCGAGTGTATATTATAGATCGTTTTATCCACGAAGACGCGCCCCAAAATTCTTCCGCTAATGTTTGAGTGTTATTGGTTTGGTACACGCTAAATTATCCATGAGTGCACACGCACACTACAATAAGGACGCTCGGATTGCTCGGATCAAACTCGCCGCACTTCCTTCGACCAAAAATTGGTGGGGCGTCTTCTTAGATTGAACCCCTTCACTAAATTCGCGGTCGCATGGGGCCGCGGTAACGATTGATTTCTATTGTATCTCGATTAGCGGGCTCTAGACTCGATTACTACGAGTATTATAAGTATTTCACTGTTCATTTCATTATATTTTTCCCTGTCGTAAGTTCTTGTAAAGAGAACGTTAGCGTTATATGCACAACCGAATTTTCTTGATAGGAAACTAGCTCATAAATAAAGCTTTTTACTCTTTAGGAATCGCATGAAAACCGATGTGTGGTATGTGGCGGATTCAGTAGTAAAATGAAAACAAAAGTACAATAAACATTAATTTAATATAAAAAAACTATCTCATCTTAACTTATAATCTACAATTTGCTTTTACAACCTCAGTCTCTTTAAAACAGATTCTACACATTGTTAACAGTCGATCAACACTAACACTTTGCAAAATGTACAATTTTACATCCACAATAGCATGCTATCTAGCACAGTTAGTTCTTGTACCGTTCATCGTACATACAAAAAAAAAATAGTTTGTGCCAGTGTTTTAATGGTCTCAGTGGGTAATCGTTGAGTTCCAGCAACTGATTACATAATTCTTCTAAAATCTTATGACTGAACCTGGCATAATCATCTTCAAACATGGCCACTAACATAGATCTCTGCCCAATGTGTCTTAGTTTTGACTGTCCTGGCCTGGCATATATCAAACGTTGGCCACCAACCTCAGTACAAGGTCTAGGACTGCTGGCACCAGGGGTTGCCAGTGGGCCCAGAGAGTGGCACTGCAACCTATTAATTGTAGTATGATTATGCTCAATCGAGTGACCTATAAGTCACCATAAATAAGAGTCACCGTCCAATGTGTCTTGTTTTTTCTTGGTCTTTTGGCTAAGATCAGTGATTGCTGGCACATATCAAACGTTGGCCACCAACTACAGCGTACTAAATGTAGGACTGATCGGTCACCGAGCTCATCGTACTAGATCTAGGACTGATTGGTCACCGAGCTCATCGTTCTAGATCTAGGACTGATTGGTCACNTTGGTCATCGAGCTCATAGTTCTAGATCTAGGACTGATTGGTCACCGAGCTCATCGTACTAGATCTAGGACTGATCGGTCACCGAGCTCATGGTACTAGATCTAGGACTGATTGGTCACCGAGCTCATCGTACTAGATCTAGGACTGCTGGCGCGGGGCCCCGGAGAGGGCGGCGGGGGGCGCGGGCGGCGGCGGCGCGTCGGGCGGCTGCAGCGTGCGCGTGCGACGCCGCGTGTAGTGCTGCCACAGCAGGATCGCTTGGTCGTCCATGAACTTGCACACCTGGGAAGGTAAACGAGTTCGTATGTACCACTGATCATCTGGTGTTCTGGTCATTTAATTCTTCACTGCAGGAACACAAGCATATTATTGTTCACATAAAGTATAAATTATGTGGAAGCAGAGAAAGTTATTATTATCCTAGTGAAAAAAAGAGTTTTGATAACTCCTCAGTTATTGTGTAAGTATTAGAAAAATAAAGAATTGATTAATATTTATTTTGTAGGCAGGCACTATCTAGTTGATTAAATTACAAATGGGTCCTGTTTTAAGAAAAAATCAAATGCCTTGTCAGACTTCTGTCAATAAGTAAATACCTGCGCTGAAACACATTCTCTTCTGAATGCTTCATGCTGAAGCAGTTCCAAGAAATGAAGACACATTGGATACTTGAGGTACTTGGCGTACTCCGGCTCGCGCCAGTACTGAAGGTACCGCAGGTAGTTCACAAACGTCTGCTCTTTCAGATATCCTCGCTGAGCTAGAACTGGGAAGATAACATAAAATTGTATAGGGAGAAACATATAAAATATTTAGAATTTTTCGTAGTACATAAAAGTTGCTACAGGAAGTATTTAATGATCAATTTTGAACATAAATTCACTGCACTTACAATGAATGTAATTTGGGTTCGCCAGACACTGCACAAATTCCAGTTCTATCTGAAATCGTATTCTATTCTGTTCCTCTGTTTCTGGGAGTACTGTAATGATAAATGTTTGGACACGGTTATAGGATAAACTAATCTGCTAAAATAAAACATAAATGTTTTATTAATCTAAGCATAAATGTATATAAAATGAACGTGTTTTAAGTTTAAATACCTTTTCCAGCCATCATCTTGAAAAGTGATAATGAGTCTATTTGCAACAAGGTGCCTTTGCTGGATTTTACATCAATTTAATTCTTGAATCAACAACTAAATTGCAAATACATTTTACAATAGCAATAGGAAATCCAATCCAATACTGCAACTGCATCCAAATTTTGACGTGTTTGACCGTTTGACGTTGACAGACACTGACTGGACCAAAGACAAAACAGAAGAATAGGGCTTGCGAGATTTCTTTCTATCGTTATTTTCTTAATCATAATGTATTCTTCTTTAAGCCAACGCATAAATTATCTTCGTTTGTAACTTTTCGGCGTAAATACCTGGAGATGAATCTTCTTTTCCTTCTTTCCTTCTTATTTTCAGGAATTATGACGGGAAAATAAAGATACATTCATTGGCAACACAGATCTTATGTCAATATGACTGATGTCTTGTGTGTGTGTGTGTGTACTGTGGACTTGTCAGGGGCGTACGTAAAAAAAAACTAGGGAAAAGGAAATTGAATTAACAAAGAACATTTCTGTCTTTGTGTTTTCTACGCTGTAAAATTTAACGACTCTTTCATTGCTAGTGTTGTGTGTGAATCAGTGATAAGAAATGTCTGGACACAAATACATCGGTAATACTAACAACTTGTTCGAAGATGACGACGTCGACGACGAAACTTTTGTTAACAGTTACCGTCCAAGGATCCCAGCTTCTCAACCTAAACCAGCTCCAACATCGTATGGCGGGGGCCACATAGCAGAACTAGAACGACAAAGACAAGCTATGATGGAGAGGCAACGCGAGATTGAACAACGTACTCTAGATTCCTCGTCTCGCAGTGTAGGCCTCTTGCGTGAATCAGAGCAAATTGGGATAGCGACAGCAGAGGAACTCGCCCGTCAGCGCGAGCAACTTCAAACCACCAACAAACGACTCGACGAGATTAACACGAACCTCACATACAGTCAGAAACACCTAAATGGTATTAAATCTGTATTCTATGGCCTAAAGAACTACATTTCCGGTAAATCGGACTCGACTCCTCCCCGAAGTCAAGCCTCTCCTGATGCGAGGGTCTCTGAAACAAGAGGCTCTTCAATAAGTGGTCTAGAGAGCACTCTAAATAATTTATCTAGTACTATAACTAGTGAAGATAGGTTCAATGCACACCCGTCAGCTCGACTGCGTGGCTTGGACGAAGGTAGCTCCTCTGCTGGGCAAGTGACTGATAGTAAACGGATCAACGATATGTTGGATGCTAACTTAGATGAAATGCTCCACTCCATATCCAGGCTCAAAGGCCTCGGTGTTGCCCTCGGTGATGAAATTGAACAGCAGAATGAGCTTATAGACACTATCCAAGACAAAGTAGAGGGAGCAGATATAAAAATTGGAAGTCAAAACAAACAGATGAATAAACTGCTTGGAAAATAGCTAAGAATATATTTTATGTATTGTGCATAAACATATAGGGTGTCAGAATAGCAACATGTTGGTTTATTGTGTGGTTGTTTGCTTGTTAAGACATTCCCAAGCAATATTTTATAACATTTTCTATAATAATTGTATAATATGTATTGAAAATATTTTTATTTTAGAGAAAATTTATTTTCTGGCTATGTTTAGTTTACAAGTTATTTTGGTGGTTTTGTTATACTGTTAGTTTTTAAGAAATATAAATTTAATTGTTCTAAACTGTATTGTAATGAAATTTAGTTCTACTCAAGCACCTTAATAACTATGTTTTAAAAGTACATACTCATCATTATTGCATGCATAGTATCCCTTCAACATAATATTCTTTACATATTTTAGTATTAAATGTATAAAAGAAACAAGGGTTATTTCATTATGTTCACTTTACTAGTACCTACCACTTTGTTTATGTAAAGTTCTGAAGAGAGAGATGGTTGACCTTAATTATAGGGAATTATTATTAAAATATAGGCTACATAGTTTGATCAACATGGTTTTTAAATGTTAGTGTAACAAACAAACAACATTCAACCATACTTAAATAGTGATTTGCAGCATACTATTAATTACTCTCCCTATCTGATCCTCAACCCAATTTTAATGTTTGACTGTTTGAGCACTAAAGTTGTTACATCAGATCATTAAAACTTTACTCATTATTATCCAAATAGAGTTGGCCTTGTTAGTCTGATAACACTGTAACATTTACTAAATATTTAATTTTTGAACTAAATTCTTGTAAATGTGTATTATAAATTAAAACAACTATTGTTTATTCTAATCAATTCATTTTTAATTACATTTATTAACATGGTGGGATGGGATACTGACTGAATATTGAATAAGTTTTTCAACATAGTTGTGATTGAACAATACAAGTTGAAGATATCACACATTAATCATTGTTATGCCTACCTAATCAAAGAAAACATTATCAACTACAGTCTCTAGGATCATGTCTGTAGCTTCCACATCGTGCACCCTGGTGTGCTTTTGCAGAACCCTCTTGTTAGTGAATTTTTTATTACAAATGTTACAGCTCATTTCCTTACTGTAATGACATTCTCTGTGGACCTTCATGCCATGTGGAGTAGCAAAGCCTTTAAAGCATATATCACATTTATGAGGTCTCTCAGTGTTATGTGTGTGCGCAATATGCACCACTAAGGAATGTTTTGTGGCAAAATTTCTTTCACAGTCTGTGTAATCACATTTAAACCGTTTAGGTCTTTCATGTCCTGAATGGACCACACTGTGAGCTCTCAGATATGATGCTCTTGTGTAGGTCTTTGGACAGTTTGGGCACGCAAACCGGTTCTCTCCGTTATGACCCCTCATATGTTCCATCAGAGTAGACTTTGCTGTAAAGCTTTTCCCACAAGTCACACAGACAAACTGTTTACGGTTACTTGAATGTGCAATTCGAAAATGCTTTTTCAATGATTGACGAGCCTTATAAGTTTTATTACAAAATCCACATTTAAACTGAGCAACATCTCTATGTGAAACTGCATGTTGTGCCAGACCGCTTGCAGCGTGAAACCTTTTTCCACACTTAGGACAAAGATATTTACGGACACCTGTATGAATATTCATGTGGTATCTCAATGAAAATATTCGGGTAAACGATTTTGAGCAGACAGAGCAGGCATATCTTTTGTCTCCCTCCTTCCTAGGTGGTTGCTCAGTAGCAGTAATCTCAGTGACCGGTGGCAAAGGTGTTAATTCCTTATTATTGTTGGCAGTCATTGATTGATCATAATCCAGCACCGGAGGATTGCTGAAGAGTGGAACGTCATACTCATGGTCCTGATAAACTACATTGATATCAATAGAATCTATGTCTGACCTCTGCAAATTGTTTGGTGATTGTATAGTAAGAATTTGAGACAGTGTGGTGTTGGCTTTCAAGCAGTTAAGTTTAAAGTTATAAGCCACCAAAGCAGTGGATACACATGATGTACACATTCCCTGAGGCCAGTTGTCTTCATCATTATTCTGGAAAAGAAAGTATAATATAGAATTAACATCTGAACCATAAGGAGAAAAAACAAAGCATTCGTATAACAGACGCATTTTTACCTCCAAACAATTGAGAAATACCAGAATATCGATAAGTTTCACTTTGTGCATTTCATGTTCAATAAGATCTTGGATATTCATAAACATTGTAGCATCGGATTCTAGTAGGCACGTACGGCAAATATTTTTCGTGAGAGGTAATATCAAACTACTGAACTCCATTCCTTGTTGACTAATGGGAATTCTCACTGATAAATATCACTGTACGCATCAAATAATTAGGAAAAACCATCATAAATTAGTTTTTGCCACATTTTAGCTGAAACGCAGAAAAAGATTTTATGGATTCAATAGACAAATAGAATCTTCTTCGATGATCATGTCATCTGTCAAGAAGGTACTTAAGTCATAGACTGATAGAGTCTTCTTTAAAGATTAAATTAAATAACGCCATTGATTTCGTAAGATAGATAGGGATTAATCATTACCATTAAATTCTTATTAGGTCTTAGAATTTTCAAAATAATCTGTGGACACATTTGACATTTGGCATGTAATTTTTAGCTGTGGTCAAAACGTTAAAAAAAAACTTCTTTCACTTTTGTTGAAGTGTGGAGTGTGTCGTTGGCAAACTGGATTTTATCCAGTTTAACAGAATTTATACCTGGTTTTCATGAGTTTCAGTGATATAAACGTTTTATCAAGAATCCTTACAAGTGTTATTTTTAACTGGAGGTAATCAAACAACTTTAGCACTTGCAATTAGTACCTAACCTCAAAGGCATGAAACTATGCTTGTGATCCTGTAATTTTGCCATCAACATTGAATTTCTCTACGTGGGAATGCTTAAATGATAAGAATATTTTATTTTGTTCAGGTAAAGAAGGATTAGGAAACAACCATGAGTCGTTTTTTCGCCACCGGCACGGATTCCGAGTCCGAGAGTGTCACCGATGAGGAGCCAGTAGTCCGCGCACCAGCGCCTGTGTACACGGTAAATACTCACTGCTTTGATATCGTGTTCAACTGTAGTATATCGCCATGATGCAGATTGGGCACAGTAACTTATTTTGCTTTTTACAAAAACATTGGGTGTCTTGTATTGTCGTGTAAGATCGAACACAATTAAAATTTGTCCTACATCCCATATGCTGACAAAAACCCGAAAACCTTTGCATCAAAATTCCTCATAAACTGAATCAAAATTGATACATAAAATAAGCTATAAAGTATCAATCTATTTATTAAACATCTTTCATAAAAAGTTGTGTTTACATTATTCTACATATAAAGTAAGCTGCCATGTTCCATTTATTAAAATAATCTTGATATAGGCAAAGATCTTTTTACATGTTTCATTAACTAAGGCTTTCTTCTATTATAAAAAACATACCTAACAAACAATACAAACATGTTTTATAAATTGATTAATGGAAAATAATTATTATTATAGTGTTTTTTAAACAACTTCAACAAAAGGAGGAGGTTCTCAATGAGGTTTTGACCTTATGATATAGTAAAACATTTTGTAGTTGTGCATTATGAATGTAAAACACATAATGGCATCATGTTTGATTTTTATTGTCAATAATAATTTTGAGTCTACTACCCACAGTTCAGTGATGATGAGGAAGAAACTAAGCGTGTGGTGCGCTCCATGAAAGAGAAGAGGTATGAAGAGTTGGAAGGAATCATCCACTCGTTACGTAACCACAAAAAGATCAAGGACTTCTCGTCGGCGCTGGCCTCATTTGAAGAACTCCAGAGAGCTTACACCCGAGCAGCTCCTGTGGTACAAAAGGAAGAAAATGGAATCGCTCCACGATTCTTTATTAGAGCTTTAGTCGAACTCGATGACTGGGTCGCCGGGGCCTGGGCTGACCGTGACGCCAGGAAGGCCTTGTCTAAAGGGAACAGCAAAGCTCTGACATCATTGAGACAGAAATTGAGGAAGTACACTAAAGACTTTGAGGCTGAAATATCTAAGTTCAGGGAAGACCCTGACTTGCCTGATGATGATGATGAGAGGAAAGGTAATCCATTGAATTATTTATTATTCCATAGATACTTGAATTTCTATTTGTGCTGACTTTTCAGTTTGCCTTTTCTATTTTCTAAAATCTCTTATCCCTCCTTAGATACGTCATCATCTGACGATTCTGATGATGATGAGAAGCCGAAAGAGAAACCACGAGCCCGCCGGTCACCCGAGCCACGGCGCGCGCCTCCCGAAGACGACGACTCCTCAGACACCATGGACTGGGGCTCCAGCTCCTCCGAGTCCAGCTCCGAGTCCGACTTCGAGGACGGTGGCGCCGCCGCCATCCGCAATCGGTTCCTCAAGAAGAACACCGAGAAAGAGGAAGATGAGGAGAGAGACAAACGGAGGATTAAGCGGCGCGAGGAGAGAGTCCGAACCGGAAAAGTCAGCAAGAAGGATCAAGCTGACGATGGAGGTGAATGGGAGACTGTCAGAACTAAAGGCGCGGCTGCCTCTGACAAGCCTAAGATGTTTGCTAAGGTGAGACAAATCCACAAAAAAAAAATTGTGACATCCACAATTTTTAGCTTTGTTTTTGTTATTATCAACATCAACATTATATGTCAGTCCTGTCTTGCTTATTGTTAATCCTCGCATTATTGTTTTTGAAACAGGACAGCGACATCGACGCAGCTCTCGTGGTAAAGAAGTTGGGAGAGATCAGCGCGGCCCGCGGGCGCAAGCGCACCGACCGGCGCGCGCAGCTGGAGCTGCTGCACGAGCTGCGCACCGTGGCCGCGGCGCACAACCTGGGCGACGCGCTCCAGCTCAAGCTGCGCGCCGCCACCGTCGCCGCCCTCTTCGACTACAACCCCAAGGTCTCCGACGCCATGAAGCCCGAGTACTGGTCCCGGCTCGTCGAGAACGTCGACCACATGGTCACCCTCCTGCTCGCCCACGAGGACATGCTCCTCAGCGAGACCGTCACCGAGGAGAGCGAGCAGCTCGTCGCGCCGCCCTTCAAGGTCCGCGGCTGCCTGCTCACCGCGCTCGAGCGCCTCGACGACGAGTTCACCAAGCTGCTCAAGGAGTGCGACCCGCACTCCAACGAGTACGTCGAGCGCCTCAAGGACGAGGTCCGCGTGTCGGCGCTCATCGACCGCGTGTGCCAGGTCGTCGAGCGCGACGGCACCCCGCAGGAGATCTGCCGCGCCTACCTGCGCAAGATCGACCACCTGTACTACAAGTTCGACCCGCGCGCGGTCAAGAAGGACCCGCCGCCGGGCGAGGAGACCACCATCAAGAAGATGGAGCGCCTCTGCAAGTACATCTACGCCAACGACGACACCGACCGCCTGCGCACGCGCGCCATCCTCTCGCACATCTACCACCACGCGCTGCACGACAACTGGTTCCAGGCGCGCGACCTGCTGCTCATGTCCCACCTGCAGGAGAACGTCCAGCACTCGGACCCGAGCACTCAGATCCTGTACAACCGCACGATGGCCAACCTCGGCCTGTGCGCGTTCCGGCGGGGCAACGTGAAGGAGGCGCACGGCTGCCTGGCCGAGCTGATGATGACGGGCAAGCCGAAGGAGCTGCTCGCGCAGGGCCTGCTGCCGCAGCGGCAGCACGAGCGGTCGAAGGAGCAGGAGAAGATCGAGAAGCAGCGGCAGATGCCGTTCCACATGCACATCAACCTGGAGCTGCTGGAGTGCGTGTACCTGGTGTCGGCGATGCTGATCGAGATCCCGTACATGGCGGCGCACGAGTTCGACGCGCGGCGGCGCATGATCAGCAAGACGTTCTACCAGAACCTGCGCGCCAGCGAGCGGCAGGCGCTGGTGGGCCCGCCCGAGTCCATGCGCGAGCACGCGGTGGCGGCGGCGCGCGCCATGCGCCGCGGCGACTGGCGCGCCTGCCTCAACTTCGTCGTCAACGAGAAGATGAACGCCAAGGTATAATACACTNGATACACTTGATTATACTCGTAATACATACAGCTTTGAAAAGTTTCCAATTCTCTAGATGATTTTCGTTCGTTCGTTTCAGCCAAATGACGTCCACTGCTGGACAAAGGCCTCCCCCAAGGTTTTCCACAATGAACGGTCCTGCGCTGCCCGCATCCAGGCTCTTCCCGCGACTCAGATGATTTTCACTCAATATTTAATTCTTTACTGAAATAGCACATCCAAAAAGGCGTTGTCTCATCTCATCCGGGGATACATTACTCAATAGATTGAATAGTCGCGGATCCCTCCCTACACATTGAAGTCGCGGGCTATTTCGAAGTAAAATAGAAACAAATAGTCGACATTCACGACCATGTTATTATGTAAAATAGTGTTAAATAACTACCTTTTAAAACTCTTGTTCTCTTATTTCATTCCATATAAATATTTTAACTTGAAATGTGACAATTTCTTTTTATAAGCCGTGACTACATAATGTAACTCATTAATAGGGTATTTGACACCACCAATCAATTGACGTACTTTTTAAAACTGTCAAAACGACACTCTCCCATAGATTTTGTACGGCGATACTAGCATGTGACGTCACAATTTTATCAACTCAATGAAAATCCTTTTTTCAATTATAATGCAACCAAAAATCGTAATTTACAGGTAATTAAAAATTAATTAAGTTTTTAAGACCAGAAAGAAGTGTATTTTAAAAAAAGTTGTTCTTTAGAATTATTGGGAAATGGTGTCAAATACCCAATTAACATCGCGTTAAGACCCGTGTCTTACTATTTTAGTTGACAATTTCTTTCTTTGACAATTTTGTTTCAAATATGATAAGTTCTATCTGTCATTTCAGGTCTGGGACCTAATGGTGGGGGCAGACAACGTGCGAGCGATGCTAGGCCGCCTGATCCGCGAGGAGTCTCTGCGCACGTATCTCTTCACGTACGCACACGTTTACGCCTCTCTGTCGCTCAAGTCGCTCGCCGACATGTTCGAGATGCCGCGACAGAGAGTCCACTCGCTGGTCTCCAAGATGATCATAAATGAGGAGCTGCTGGCGTCACTGGATGATCCCAGCGAGTGCGCCATCTTGCACAGATCGGAGCCCACTCGCATGCAAGCGCTGGCGCTGCAGTTGGCCGATAAGGTGAGCGAATTTTACTACATTTGGATTAAACTTGAGCAGAACCTGGCCATGTTTATAAAAATTATTGATATTTTATTGAGTGACCTAATTACTCGGTCCAAACATCTGAAAGTCCTTTCTGCTAAGATTGTTTACTATCAATCCTAGTGCATGACTGCATGTAATTTCTGTTTACTTCTACTTATTTTCGTATTTCGGATCGATCTATTCCTCTCATACAGAGTTAGACATAGATATTAATTAGGTATCAGAAATATCTATGCTGAACAGAGTCAAGAGATGAATCAATCTTGTGAATCCAATGATTCATAGGATGTCTGATTCATTACTTCTCAAGTAATGTCTTGTTCATATCTAAACAGGTTACAGGGGCCTATGTTCAGCAGTGAACGTCCTATGGCTGAGATGATGATCATCTAAACAGGTTAACTGACATCATAACTCTATTCTTCAGGTCGGCAACCTAGTGGACTCCAACGAGCGGATATTCGAGAAGCAAGGCTCGTTCTTCCAGCGCGGCGGCGCCGGGCGCGGCGAGGGCCGGCAGCGGGAACCTCGGCGCGAGGGTGGCGGATGGAACCGGCGCACGCGCAACCGCCGCCGGGACGACGAGCGTGGACACGACGACTAAACGGACAGTCAGGCCCAGACCAGAGCCCCGATTACGGTAACTTTTAACGTCTACAATCCAGACGCGCTTCATCGATTCTGCGATACGATTGGTCAAAACAGCTGACGTACGCTGTTGAACGACCAATCGTATCGCAGAATCGAGAAGCGTGTCTGGATTGGAGACGTTAAAAGTTACCGTAATCGGGGCTCAGACGGTGAAACGCAACTGCAACGAAACTGCAACTTTCTGATAAATGAAACTGAAAATGAAAGTTTCAAACTGGTCGCGTCATGTGTGGTCTCTCAACGGATACTATGGCAGAAACTTAGATGCAACTCAAAAGTAACTAGCAGTTGCAGTTTCGTTGCAGTTGCGTTTCACCGGCTGTTCTGGGCCTCAATCTAGCTGACTTTGCCGATCAGTGTAACGTTGTCTCAAAATATAATTGCGACTTTAGTACTTTCTCGCTTTGATTTTTTATGTCAAAAAAGTTTTGTGGATAAGTCAAACGCCCGTATTCACAAACATTACTATGGGTTCTCACAGTGCCCATGAACGCACAGGGTGAACCAATCACAGAGCTCTATTCAATGCTGTGCGTTCGATTTGCTGCTTCACTTATGCAAGCATCGTTTGTGAATACGGGCGATAGATACAATGGTTATTTGAAATAAAAAATCAAAATGAGAAAAANGAGAAAAAAATTAACCTAAATTCGCAACTATATTTTGAGCTAATGTTGTTGTGATGGCCAAAGTTGCCCAGATTGACTGTACCGTTGAGATGCGTACAACTTATGCTGTATGGAAATAAAGAAAACAGTCTCATAGATTTACTTTTTGTAGTTTATGGGAATCAATAAACGCTCAGATATGTAATAACTACTGGGCAGCTCTTATTTCAATCCAGCTCGTATTACTGTCTAAAATTAGAAGGTTTACAATCTTTTAATTTTATACGTACGTCTCTTAATTGTATACATAGAAAATTAGGTTTTATTGTATTCGACTTTATACCACAAAATGTAACATCAGTTTATCTATCTTGCAGAAAACTACATCTATCAATATACTACATTCTACCCAATGTAATGCATCTATAATATTTAGTCTTGTCCTCAATAGCCCACATCCAACTAAACCTGCAGTAAACATTTAAAATTGGTCACAATATATTTTTTATTCTATCCCATTTGTCCTCTCTCCTAAATCCATCTTCTCTAAACAGTCGGTCTGCCAGTGGGGTCAGTCGCAGTCTCAAGCTTGTGTTTGTCGAAATTAGGTAAGAAAAAAACTAAATAAACTACGATAGTAGAATCGCTAAAGTATATGGATGGGGAAGGCGCATACAGATAAGCAGGGATACAGGAGCAGGTATAAGTTTTAGTATTAAGTACCTCGAAGCCAACAAAACGTTGACCTTATAACATAAGTGTCACACTAGCTTTTGCCCGCGGCTTCACCCGCGTGAAATTTATTTTGTCACAGATCGTCATAAATTATAGCCTATTATGTTATTCTGGGTTATAAACATTATTACCGTAAAGCTTCATCAAAATCCGTTCAGTAGCTTTTGCGTGAAAGATATGCGTGACGTGATAGTTTTTAGTATTTCTATCAAACGCTAGATGGCATTGAACAAATTGCGTTTTGTTTAGCGATGGTTGTTGATCATCACTATATTTATTCCCCTGAACACTAGTATTATATTATCTGTGCCTGAACCTTAAAAGTGTTATAGTATCAAGAATTAACTATCTAACTCCAAATTATTGACTGAAATGTTAAAACTCAACAAAATGTATTGCTAAAATAATTTCAATAATAAAAAAATTCAATTTTAAATCATGAGTCATGTTTTGACGTTTGTTTAAAGCACTCAGGAAACTAAACGCAGTTCTTAATGGTTGCCGATTTGCAGTGGACCTTTCCACTGACGTTTTACAACTAAATCCTATTAATTTCTTACTGTGCTGTATAATTATGTTGTTAGTTTGGACGATTAAACAACAAGTTTGATTTCCAAAGATTTAATCAGAATCCTGAAGTTTACAGTTATACAACAATGGCTGCAACAAGGAGACTACAAAAGGTGAGACATCGTTTTTGCAATTGGAAAAACCTATTCCCGTTATTAATATCCATTCTACGTAGATTTCAAGAATGGTGTAACACGGTTCCATTTAAACGAATACGTTTTGCATAAAACATAGGCATTTTTTTATGAAAAATAAAATTTGTGAAATTATCCCAATGTATTGTTACACACTGCTAAAAATTGTATGGGACAACCCCTAAAATTCTCATGAAGCTATATTTTAAACCAAACTTTAGTCAAGATAGGTATCATTTGCATTTTGAAGTAGTGATACAATAATTTAGATCATTATTTTTAGAGTAGAAAAACAGTCTCATTTTACAATTCAAATAGCACATTTTCATGGAAGTCTTACATTATTTATGATGTATTAGATTGCATTATAATTGTGTATCTGTGTTTATAGGAGTTAAATGACATCCGGCAGTCTGGTTTGAAGTCGTTCAGGGACATTCAGGTGGATGAGTCAAACATTTTAACTTGGCAAGGACTTATTGTTCCAGTAAGTGTTGATGTTTCACTTTAGTATTTTCTTGCTGTTTCTTTCTACAATCACTTGTCTGAGTTGGTGAATAAAAAGAGAAGTTTTGTAATAAAAAAGTGCTTTGCGCGCAGTCATGGTCTACTTATTACCTAATTACACAGATAAAATTACTTTAGGATGAATCAACTTTTTAAGCAATTAAGATTGTTTGGAAACTACACTCTTTAAAAATTGCAAAATGTTTTCAGGACAACCCACCTTACAATAAAGGAGCATTTAGGATCGAGATCAACTTCCCAGCAGAATACCCATTCAAACCTCCCAAGATTAGTTTCAAAACGAAAATTTATCACCCAAATATTGATGAGAAAGGGCAAGTGTGCCTGCCCATCATCAGTGCTGAGAATTGGAAGCCAGCCACCAAGACTGATCAAGGTAATCATCAAAAATTATCCTTACAGTTCAACATTACTCATATTTTCAGTGAACAGCATCATGAAAGGTATTGTGATGTTTAATTTCTCAACTTTTTTACAGTTATCCAAGCATTAGTGGCCCTTGTTAATGATCCTGAGCCCGAACACCCTCTGCGTGCGGAACTAGCTGAAGAATTCCTGAAAGACAGGAAGAAGTTCACTAAGAATGCTGAAGAATTCACTAAAAAGCACAGTGAAAAACGGCCCACAGACACTGACACTAAATAACCAATTGTATGGATCATACATAATTGCTTGGATCTACAGCAATAATGTTCAGTTTATTTAACCATAAGGCTTGACAGTTCATCTATTTAGGATTAATATAAACCTGACATTGTTATTTCACTGTGCATTTATTGTAAATTAGCTAGCTAAAAAGTATTTGCAGATTGTTTTACCAACCAACTCCAAATTAGACATTGCTGTACATCCAGGGTATTTTCGACTTCACAGATTCCTGCTATTGCTTGTTGGTCACTGTATTGCTTGCAAAAATAAGCACTGTTAAGACTAAATAAAGTTAGTGAATAGCAATTGGCAGTTTGATGAACAAGGCTTTGAATTTATTGCTTGTTTAAATTAGATTTCGGAATTGTATCAATGAGTTGGGTATAATAAACTTAATTAGGGTTTTTATTGGTCCTTATTATATTTTTCACTTAATTTTTTCTAATTTAATGTCACTACCTTACTATAGATTTTTTCTAATTGTCTTCAGAGCTATTGATAATTTTGGGTTCACATGTACTCAAAACTATGTAAATAATCATGCACATGGTAATTTTACTATCAAGCAGGTGTCAATATTTGATTTAAATTGAGCTTGTAGGAAAAGATCATAGGAAGAATACAAAGTTGATTGTTAATAACATGGCTCTACCTGCAGAGCATGAAGTTACTGATCTGATGATGCCCGAGTATTATAATTTTAATGCCCCCTTTAATAAGTCAATGTGTTACTTGGTAACTTACTGTGTGTGCTGAACAATTCAGTGAGAAAACTTTAAAATATATATTTTTTTCGAATTACTATACTGTTTTTATTTAAAAATCTAATAAGGTAATAAATGACTAATTCAATAGATAACAAATGAAACATATAATTAAATTCCTATAACTACATCAGTCTATAAAATCGTACACATCAGAGGAAACAGTTTTTGGTAATTTAGCACTATCTTTATCTTTGCTTATCGATTTACTATTCAGATTAACATTATTACAACTCTTTTTGTCATTCTGTTCATGATGAGCGCCAGTGTCGATCTTTCTCTTCAGCATCCGTTCTTGGAATTTACTTGGTTGTACATATTTTTGCAAATTATCTGTAACAAATATACATCTGATAAATACCTAGGTACTTTTATTATAAGTAGGTACCTAACCTAATGTATGTTGTTACCTATGCGCGGTTTGAAAGCTAAATAGATAAGTTTATTAGATAAAATTGCCAAAGATAACATGCGTGGGTTTAAATGCCAAATTAGGCAGTCCTAAACAATCATGTTCCATACTAATAATTACCTTTTATTTCAGCAATGCACTTATCAAGATGATTTTTTTTGTTTGTATCTCTAGCTAACATGGGTTCCACTGCCAACATATAGTCCGGTCCGTATTTGGTCCAATGGCTGTGTTCAGGAATGTTTTCATCTAACGTCTCTCCAACTACGAGGGCGGTGATCGATGTCCAGACACGCGCAGCGTTTGCATAATTGTATCCCCCTGTAACATAAAAAGTAGTAAAGTACTTCGTCATAAACTACCTTGCTTCAGATCGCGATTTCGCAGTTTATACAGGGTGTGGTGGCAGAAATGAACTACGTAAGTATGAATTATATAAGGATTTATACGTATTACCAAATAAGTATGTGTTATTAATTTACGATTTCTAGGTATCCATGGTTATGTAGCTACAATCAGGTACTTAGGCGATAAGATTACTTGGGCTTAAAGAATTAAAATAGGTGAAAACTGATTGATAACATTAAATCATTTAAATCCAACTCGCGACATAATAGTGACCAGTATAAACATGGGATGTGGCGCGAATTATTAATTATTAAAAACTGCTTATTTCACGAAGAAACATCTAAATCAATAAAATGGTTGCGCACGGCTTGCCGCATAGCGTCAGCATTCAGTAGTAATCTCTCTTATCCTCCATTATTTTCGCCCAAATAAAGTTCTCCACAATAGACCTCGAACGAAACCCTAGTGTTTGAAGTAGAATACGCGAGTACGTAAGGGCGTAGGGGCGCTTCACTTGTCCAATACAGCAGCAGCAGTCTTTATGTCAATTTCTTTCTTGCGACCACTAAATCTGCATTTTGTCTGTGAACATTTACTTACCTCCAAACAAAGTTTTCTCGTGTCCAGTAACAGCAGTGAAGCTTGGATGCTACTTCTACTACACCTGCATTTTGTAGGTACATGAAAATGTGCTTACCTCCACCTAACAATAGAGTCGGTTTTCGCTTGTCCAGCACAGCAGTGACGCACGCGCAGTACCCGCGCGCGGTCAGATTGCCGCCGCCCTGCGGGTCGCGCGCCAGTGCGTCCGCGCCGCACTGCACCACCACCGCGTCGGGCAAAAACTTGTCAAACACTGATGAGAACACACTGAAAATTTGCCAAAATTATGTAGATCAGAGCCCCGATTACGGTAATTTTTAACGTCAACAATCCAGACACGCTTCTCGATTCTGCGATACGATTGGTCGTTCAACAGCGTACGTCAGCTGTTTTGACCAATCGTATTGTAGAATCAGAAACGCGTCTGGATTGTAGACGTTAAAAGTTACCGTAATCGGGGCTCAGAAAGGTATGTGTTCCACTAAGGTGCATCTGATAAGCGCAGTAGTACCCGCGCGAAGTCAAATTGCGCGTGACCATTGTGCAGTCTTGTCCAACACTGATGAGAACACACTAAGTGCCAACATTTTAGAGGACAAGCAAAAACCACTGTTCCATCAACCTGGCAACTCATGCAACTGGATTTGGTGTGGTGATGGTGATGTTTTGCTGGTGACTGTTACAACATACTATGGTAGATCCTGCTACTCCTGCTAGGTATATTAACTTTATCAGTAGGTCAGAAAGATTCAAAGCAGCAAAAATGGTCATTTTATTAAAGGTAAATCTATATACATATATAAAAATGAAACCCGTTTTCCGTTGTCACGACATCGACATAACATGAAAACGGCTTGACCGATTTGGCTGATTTTTTTTTTGTAGTTTTCTAATACTCTGTACAAGGTTTTTACGGAAAAAAATAAAAAGAAAATCTCTACGCTAAGGCGGTACGAAGTTCGCCGGGTCAGCTATCTTATAATAAAAATAATATTTTTCACACATTACCTAATGCTCAACCCTCTGCAATGTTTAATATTATTTTGTTATGTGATATTACAATAAAAATCTTACTTTTGGAAAACATATTCAATGGTGTCATTGGAGTACCAAGCACTGAAGGGGAAATTGCATGAGTATCCCTTGCCAGTCAAAGAGCCAATGTCATTAATGTTCCCAGTCCCTGGGTAAAATCCTGGCTCCAACTTGTGGAATGAGAGAGTTAGCACATTCTTATTTAGACAATATGCATCTTGTACACCATTACCTAGAACAAAAACCAGTTTTAAATATGAAATATTATTTTCTGATATTTGTTTCAAGTGGTAAAAGCAATAGCTATTGGCAGCAGTACACATAACAAAACTTTGATTTTATGTTAGTTACAACTGTTGCAAAACAAACTTTGGAAATAGATATCGATGCCAAAATCACAAAGCATTCAGGTGATATGTAGTTATATGAAAAAGACAATGCAATAAATTAATTACCATGATGTACATCAAGATCAATATACAACACCTTAGGATATTTAGATTTCAAAGTTTCAATAGCTAATACAATATCATTGACATAACAAAAACCATCAGCAGCAGATCTGAAAAATTTACACATTGTTTTGTTACTAGGAATATTAAAAATACATACTTTAGGAATACTTTCTTTGGAATCAAGCATGCAAAGAGTTATACTTTTTACCGTTGAGCATGGTGCCATCCGCCACACCAGTTAATGGCAACCTCGGCAGCCCCAATTACTAGGCTTTTTGCTGCAGTTACAGAGCCTCCAGCAATCACTGATACTAAATCATACATATTAGACACAGGGGGACAATCATATCCTGAAAATATATCATAATGAAATTAATAAAATATTAGCACTGTGTCTGAGATACGGAGCAAATAACAAGAAATAATAATTATATTGAGAGTAAAATATGATGAATTAACAAAAAATGTTAAACTGCTTACCTATTCCATATTCCTCATCAACTGCATTAGGCATATAATCTTCATCAATATCAACGAGTGATTTTAAATAGTCAATGTACAACTCAGAGTGAAACTTTTTCAGATCTTCATAAGTGGCAGCAGATGAACGAATAACTTTCATATGCTTATTGAGATCATAAGATACAATGAGATCATGTACCATACTTGCCTGAAAAAGAAGTAAGTACTCTTCATTACGAAAACCGAAAATCTTAACAGGAGTTTTTTCCTCCCATAAAACTCAATTATTTTTACATACTCTTCCACATACAGCAGGCAAGCGATTACACTGATCAATTAAATCTTCATCCCAAATGTAACACACTTTTTCTTTCATTTTTTATTAAAATTAAAACGGTAAGGTTTTAAAAATTAATACAGCGAAGTTTGTTGACGAAGAGAGAGAAACTTTTGAATGTAATGTCATTTATGTCATAACTGTCAAACAAATAAAAAAACGTTCAGAAATAATTATAGCTTATTGTAAAAAAAAACATGTACTTACTTTGAGCTCACACTATTGTGCTCTGTGGAGCTCACAGTCATAGTTTGAAAGTAGTGGTGTACGTGTACACCAGTGTACACTGCACTTTAAAAGATAAAGATGTCTATGGCTAGAGTATTTATTATTCATTCACTCATTCGTTCATACTGGTTTTTACCATGCAGCATTTTTATTGGTTGAGGTGCATTAGAATTTAATTTTATTGGCTGAAGTTACGCGTGGGGGACCAATTAGATCAAAGTTCAAAAAGAAAAACAAGCGTCCATTTTCTAATGAAGTCTCCTTCAATCAATCTGACATTTACGGAATAATGCTAATTTAACGTCGATTTTAGGATAATTCTAGTAATTGTTAAATGTAATAGTGAATGTTGGTTCAATATTCTTAATTACTAAATTGTAATAAATACATTATGTTATGTTTGTGACATTGCGCGGGATACATCACATGATAAATTTCATGCGATCCTAATATGACAAGGTCTGTTACAAAACATTGGTAACACGAGCCCAGTCTGTCCAGTTTTGTTTGTATCAGGTTAGACCACTTCGATGGTGCTCCGTGATCATCTTTCAGCGCTTATCAAGTTCAAGTTGAAATGGTTCGAGGTTAGTAAATTTTACATAAGCATCACTACAGTGATACAGTAATAGAGCCTTTGTTTGGGATGTACCTTCATGAGTAGTTCAGTACTACACGTCTAATAGGATTTTTAAAAATGCACCAGTTCATCACATAAAATATTTTTAATGAGAGCTATAGGAAATTCCTACATCTATTTAAATTAATTATTGGAGGTATTCCTGACATCATGCCGTATTTTAAAATAATTATGTGTTATATGGTGAAGGTTATGTAGGTACNCACGTGACTGGAGCGATGCGCTTACGCTAAAATTTCTACAAAGTGGTCAGGCGGAAGAGTCCCCGATAGTACCTATTTGTATGTCTATCTCACCTTTCTTATGAGCACATGTTATTCCACATTGCATCACATAAAAAAGTTTCTAAAATTCTTGAAGCTGTTTTCTTACTATACCTGATTATTTATGCAAGGTTGGTTTTCAGCCAATACCTTGATGGCGGGCCAGGAGGGAGTGAAGACCCCGCACCGCATTGAGCTATGCGAGGAGCAGCCTGACAGACCTACGCGAAATTATAGAAAGCGCAGGTAACTGAGGCATTGCATTTCAATTACTATTTAAAATCTGCATACAATGTGCCTTAATTTGTGTCAAAGTACACCACTAGACCATCATTATTGTTTCATTTTCTTTTACTTTTATAATCCTACTACTCTTACCAAGCCTATATTTTATTTTATTCTTTTCCTTCTGTTTCATACTATACTTATTATTACTTATACTATATTAAACTTATAATTTTGTTATTATGGGATTTTGTTCCATATTTTACTATTCCACTGCTTGAAACTAATTTGCTTCTGGATGTCATTCTATCCTACTTTATTGTTTATTCAACTTTAATTTTTTTTTAGTAGCAAACTAGCCAAATGTTAAACATTTTAACACATTTAACTTTAATACCATTATCTGTAACCAGTTGTTTAATTGTTTTCTCATTAGCTAATGACCATGAGTAGTTTTTCAAGTATTTTTGTATCAACAAATACAAAGTAGTTATTACAACACCATGTAATATAATCATGGTAAAAATCACTAATAGGCACTTAACTAATGGTCATAATGTGCTAATTACATTGTATTTCATAAAGGATCATAGCTACCACACAGTCAAAGACTGAGAATGCTGTAGTGAAGACTGAGCCGCCATCGAAGAAGGTCGAGCACAAGTCCAAGCCCCTGAAGACTAGCAACGGTATTAGCAACATGACTAACGGCCACTCGGTGCGGTCAAGAGCGGCCCGCGCCGCCGCGCGCGCTGCCGAAAGCCACAAACTGACTGAATACTTCAAGGAGGAGCTCAAGAGCCCCAAAGTTGAGCCTCCACCGTCACCGCCACGCTTAGATAAGACTGTGAACATAGAACCTAAAGTTGTCAACGGCACTGCCAACCATAAGCTAACAGAATACTTCCCCGTGAGAAGAAGCGTCAGAAAGACCTCGAAATGCGTGATGGCCGAGAAAATGCGCGATCTTGAGAGGGCTGTGAGAGAACAGAGAGAAGATGGACTGCAGGTATGGTTTTGACTTGTGTTTCTCATTTAACAGTCACATCAGTTATATTAACCACTAGCTTTTGCCCGCGGCTTCACCCGCGTGAAATTTAGTTTGTCCCATAAATTATAGCCTATAGATATGTTATTCCGGGTTATAAACAATAATACTGTAGTTTCGTCAATATCTGTTCAGTAGTTTTTGCGTGAAAGAGTAACATACATACAGACATTCATACAAATTTTCGCATTTATAATATTAGTAGGATGAAGTAGAAGCTAAAAATTATAAAGATTTATTTTTTAATAAAAATACAATTTATTTTATGTTTTTATCTTTTTGTAAGTGTTATAAAAATAATTACGAAATTCATTCAACCAATACAGCATGTCAAAGTATTTCCTTGATATAGAACACCATAATGAAGCTTTTAGGGGAAATCTTAACAAACTACCACAAAATCTCATTTCAAAGTCAAAGGTTTAACCTTCATCATCGTCTTACAGGTAGCATACTTCGAAGGCAAAGGGCGCGGCGTGATCGCGACGCGAGCATTCGGCCGCGGGCAGTTCGTCGTCGAATACGCCGGCGAACTGGTGGGCGTGGCCGAGGCGCGCGAACGCGAGGCGCTGTACGCGCAGGATCCCAGCGCTGGATGCTATATGTACTACTTCAGACATGGCGACCAGCAGTACTGGTGAGTAGTCAAATTCAATTCAAATTATTTATTAGTATGTAGTGCTGCGTGTCGATAGACGAGGCGTCGTGGTGTAGTCGCGGCGCGAGCATTCGTCGTGAAGCGCGCGGGCAGAGTAAATACAAATGAGTAGGTCATCTTCATAGAAACGCACCGAGCGCGGTTTGTATGTGAGCGCGCCAATATACGTATGCGGCGCGCACGTACACACTGACAAAATTCGGCGCAACCACGACTGTCTCCCCGCTAATCCCCGCCAAATTTTGTCAGTGTGTGCGTGCGCGTTTCAACGCGAGCTCTCGGCCGCAGACAGTTGTCGTGGATTTTCGGGCGAGCTCGTGGCTCTTTTATCTTAACTAAGACGAACTAGGCTTAGGAAGTAATGATGCCACCATTTTTTGGCTTGGTAGAAGTATACGAGCGTAAAGTTCGTTCCTCAGGGAGAAGCCACACAGTGCGGTGCGGCGCCGTACTGCAAACATTTTGCCGCATCACTGTACACAGGGTTGTATGTGGCGCCGCGCCGCGACCGCACCGCACCGTGTGGCCTTTCCCTTAGGCTGTTTCCTGACTTGTCGGTGCGGTAGCGGCGCGGCATCGGTATGCTCTGTATACGCTGTACAGAAAACGATACTATATTTCAAAGGAGCGTTCCTGATTGGCGCGGCAGCGGCGCGGCACAGACTCAGGAACGCTCCATTGAAATATAGGCGCTCGGTAAGCTTTCGGTACCGCGTATGCCGCGCGTGCTGATGTCGAGCCGCTGCCGCACCGACAAGTCAGAAAACGGCATTAATTACTTTATTTGCGACTTTACAAAAAAAAAAAAAAATATAACAACACCATCCATTGCAGCATCGACGCGACAGCCGAGTCGGGCCGCCTGGGCCGGCTGCTCAACCACTCGCGCAACGGCAACCTGGTGACCAAGGCGCTGTGGGTGGACGGGCCGCGGCTGGTGCTGCTGGCGGCGCACGACATCGCGCCGGGCGAGGAGCTCACGTACGACTACGGAGACCGCTCGAAGGAGTCGCTGCAGCACCACCCCTGGCTCGCGCTCTGACCTGGGTGAGTTCGATGACCGATTGTTAGAAAAAAAATATTTTGTTGGCATTATTTATAGTTTTGAAATTCATAATTTGTGCCAAATAAACGCTTTTCTTCTTCAAAAAGTATATTGGCCACAACTTGGCAGTCGACAGGACATTAGACTACATTTTAGTTGTAAATTACATACTACTATTACAACTTCTTACGATTGTGTCTAGCTTGATGTAATGTCTTTTGTTTATGTAAAAGTGTCACGTATTTTTTTAAAGATTCCCGTCATTGAGTATAATAATTAGACTGTGTCACAATGTTTTTAATACATCCAAAAAAACCTTTCATTTTATAAATATTCAGCACTTTATCGACATCTTATATGGAACGACACTAGTCTCATTCACTTGGTAAATCAGATTTCATAAAAACATCCAAATACCTATTTCCGGCCCGGAAATTCAAATTCGTCATTGTGATGGATGACTGACACATTATTTATCGATATGGAATCCAATCATTAGTCTTTAACTAAAGCTAACAAATCTATTGCATTGGATTGTAACAAAATGTATGTTGTATAGAAATTGTTTTACACATATTATTATAATAGAAGCCCGCAGATGTCCCGCGCCTAGACAGTCGCAACCTTTTTTTTACTAGAGGATTTTGCAATTTCTACCTAACGAAGCGTAGTACCATTCATGGCGCGACCTATGTGAGGTCGTTCACCTCATTTTGTCTGGCCGCTAGACTATCTATTGCGCAAAACCCTGATGTAATGAAGCCATTGTTGACATGATCAAACAACAGTTTCAGCTATAAAATTATGTTATGTTGTTTAATTATGTAATTATTAGAGAAAAAAATGCAATATTAATTTATTGTTATTTTTTTGTCCACAGGCATGTCTCCAAAAATCTCAGTTGGACTACTAAACATTATTTATTAATTTAGTTTTAGTTATTATGAAGTTTGTTAACAAAGTTTCTGTTTAAGGTTGGACAACTGTGTATTGTTAAGTATTGAGACAAGTGGCCTAACTCTAGTTTTGATATGTGACCGGGTGTATGGTTAAATGATGGAAAATACTGCCTTATGCCACTCGTGTTAAGAGCGACAGTCGTACGTCTAAGTTGTTAGTATAAGTGAAGGAGATGTTCCAAGGTATATTCTATGGGACTGTTTTATATCAAAGATGTTTAGAGCTGTTGTAATATCTGAGGCCTTTTATGGGAAACTGTTAGATTTGATCTTTGAAAGACAGTATGAATAACGTATATGGAGGTGAAGTTGTGATGTGACACTATGTTGTCACTGCATTAGACTCGCCAAATATTGGAGCCAATTATGTGTATAAACTTGCATGGAGTCACTACGCCACGCCACGGCCAAGTTCGGCAAAGACTTGAGAGGGAAGGAATGTCTAAAGTATTATGGTATTGCTACCTGATCGCACTGAGAATGACTAGTCTCGCGAGCACCAACTAGCACAACGTCAAGCCACAAAATCGAAGGCTAAGCCAGAGACACTGATCACATGGTACAAAGGAAATCACAATCTTGCGAATGTATTACTTATTATGACAACAATAAGACGTGTTTTTGAACAACAAAACTATTGTTGATAACACAATACTGGTCGCGACACCAACTCGAATAATCTTTATAATTATTGTTAGAATACTTTTAATGTTATTTAAATGACAGATAGACGCCAGGTTGTAAGTGTTGCTCATTTGTGTATGATCCTACTCAAATTTCTCGAAATTCATTTTCTTGTTATTTGCTGTCACCAATAAAGATTGAGATAAGAAATTCGTGCCGTATATTATATTAATTCTTAGAACTGCCCACCGAAATCGAATCGGTCACCACATTTCATAAATCATTTTAGTTTAATGAGGAGGAATTGTCTTAGCTATAGCTGCCACTGAACAAAAATATTTTATAGTTATAAAAAACTAACGTAAGCCTGCGGCTTCGTTCGCGCATTGTCATGATGTAACAAGTAATAGGCAGAATAAAAAAGGAACATTAAAATTCTCAATTCAGAGCCCCGATTACGGTAATTTTTAACGTCAACAATCCAGACACGCTTCTCGATTCTGCGATACGATTGGTCGTTCAACAGCGTACGTCAGCTGTTTTGACCAATCGTATCGCAGAATCAGAAACGCGTCTGGATTGTAGACGTTAAAAGTTACCGTAATCGGGGCTCAGATCATCAGATCGTTATTAGTTTCAAAGATTGCTTCTAAAACACATTTCTTAGGTAACTTTTTCATAATATTTGCTTTCATTTATTGGTTACCAAAAACTATGATTTATTACTTGATTCTCAAATAAAATTTTCAATTAATCATAGTGGGCATGAACCGGTGACTTCGAATATAATTAACGTCCAATTTGAAACGTTATGAGAATATATTTACGAAAAATTATGGCGAGGAAGCCCTTGTTATAGATCTCCTTGCATTTCCTTATTAATGTACAAGTCCATTCAGACTTATATAGAAAATATAAGCGTATGTGTGATAGACTGTATTCCCGGATTGGAATGGAGAGGTATTGATATGTTGTAGGAGATATAATTATGTTGAATGCGTCGTCGAGTTGTGATTGGATCATCCGTAGGTGGCGACGATGTCTCATAGCAATAATAAAGTGTTCTAAAGTTGTTTTTGATTAACAATATTATGTCACAATGCAGAGACCGCGTCAAAACCAAGCATTGATCTGATTCTAAAACTAGACAATACTATAATGATCTAATATACAACCCGATAACGCACATACAAAAACTAATTTGATACATTCAAAATAGTATGAATTTAATGCTAAGAAATTTTTATATGTATCTTAGAATAATTTAAATGTAAGCAAATACAGCTGGTGGAATTAGCCGTGATCACCAAAAGATTAATTATTAATTTCCTAGAAGTTGTTACTTCTGTTAATTATGAAGGTGCAGTCATTGAAATTTTAATGAATCATCATATCGGTATTTGTAACTGATATCGTAAAACCAAACCTGACAAATAAGATATATTTTTGTTAAAATATTTTTTTTCTTTTGTCACTATTTCAACGAGCAATAATACTGTTTATTTAAGTACTTATAAGGCCACTGATTCTAATGTCTGCCGACCTTCGTAACGGATAGTGTTTAGTACCAATGTGCACTTGATTTTTATAAATATAAACTACGTAATGTGTATGTAGCTTAATGTGGCTGGATTTAGAAGTAAAAAAGAAAAGATATACTTGATCATTAACTTATTTAATATATTCTAATAAAAATAAAAAGTAATAATTATATTATAATCTTTAAAATATGTAATTTTAATGGTAGAAATGATGCGTCTTTGTGATTATTGTCGTACCTAATTTTAGAGAGCCCACGTTTAATGGGCGTAAGTTAGAGTAATGCGTTGGTTTTGAACTTGATTCTAAAGTAATAAGTAATGTGGTTCCATAATATTAGAAAAGTAACTATTTAGTTTCATTAATATTTTTGTATTTCCTGCAATTTTCTCCTTTCCTAAATAGCAATATAGTAATAATTAAATACTTAAAATATAAAAATCCAGCAACATTAGGTGATTAAAATGAATAGTATTGCTTTAGTAGTTCCTATTCCCCTTTATATGTATACTAACGCCTTGTACGGATTCCTATCCTACCTTTAACGAAACCTTTATCTATCGGCATTGCTGTTAAGAAGGCTTGTAATATTTTGTACTAAACTAACAATTAATGTCTAGGGTTACTGTAAAATTCTTATTAGTTACAATTTAAATAATATCCTACCCTACTCCATGAAATACTAGGTTAAAATAATATATTTGTGATGCATTTTGTTATGTAAACTAAATCGAACTGGAATGATATTGATAGTTATTTGTAGTTAATGGAGTTTATTTTCTACTCATTGATCTAATTATTTTGAAGCACTGCATGATTAGAAATCAACTAAAGTCGAATGGAACGAATGCTTCGTGACCTTTCATATAATGGAGTGTTGCGGAAAACTGTGCCCTTTGACTTTACTTTAATCTTATTTTCCAATACATTAAGATATATTTGTGTCTCAAATACAATATAGATAATTGACATACAAAATTGACTGCAATAATTTCCTCATAAGTTTTTATTTCTTTACGCACTGCTGATGAGATTCATATCATAGATATAGTCATAAAACTAGATTGAATTAATTTGGTACCTCGCATCTGCGCGTGGTCGTTGACTTGACTGTGTATGTATGTATGCGCATGGGCACGATACTTGCTTCTACTTGGCGTCAAATTAATACAATCAAGTGGTAGTGTCTATTGCACTATTTCTTTTGTTTAACTGATAATGTAGATCTTAGATAAGTTAATCATTTGAATTTATTCACTGCCGATGTTAAGCTTGTTAATATTGTTCGTTTATCATTAATTATCATTTTCCGATTGTCAATTTTCGCTATCGGCGTAATTAGATTAATTCTTCCAGTATCATTCACTTGTTATAACGTTCATTTACTATTAGCATTGAGTTGTATTACCATATATGGAATTTACAAGTGTGTTGTTCATTAGCTACTGTTATTGGTCGCTTATGTTCTAGCCAAGTGAGCAGCGTGGTGTTGATGCATGTTCCGTGATACGCAGCAATACGTCAACCGTTGTTGCTTCCACTCATTTTCCTAGAGGATACGCGGCGATAGTACAATAATGATTGTTTCAGTAAAACGTAGATCAAAGTACTATTTTTGTAAGTCAGCGTTAATTTCCCAACAGTTTTATAAGATTTGTACTGAGATGTTCATGTTGATAATGTTGCGGTCGAATTACAGTTGTAACTACAGTATTTTAACGGCTATTTTCCTACATAGCGGGGTGTTATGAGACTTAATAATTTATTTTGAAACGCGGGCTGCAACCCACTGCCCTAGATAATCCGTAGTGATTGAGTGAAATATAAAAATTGAACTTTGATCTGTAAGTTTTATTTAATCCTCTAATTATAATTCATAGACAAATTTCTGGCGCCAAAGTGTTAAATGAAACAAATAAACTTATTAATTTAGCATACACTCGTTTATTTACTTAATATTGATACAAGATATATTTGACCACTGTTTATGCAATAGTTACGTTGTGGTGCATCTTGAGATAGTAAAGCTGCGTCTGCGACTCTAGTTCTTGCAGAGATCGCACTACTGGCGCCATTTGGCTTACGTGATCCTGGAGACAAAATAAACATTTATTAGAAAATAGGATAAGACACAGAATACGAAACATTCTAAGCTAGAGAGAGTAACAAAAACGCTGCAACCGCATTCTGGTTTGGTTTGGAACAATTTTCTTTAGTTGAGGGTTCTTTCGTGAGCATTATTTAGTTGGTGATTGAAGACGTACGAAAAGAAACGTACCTGGTATCCTGTACCCATTTGCTTTCTCTTCTGTCCGTACACGACTTTGCCGTCGAACTCGTTGGACGGAACCTTCATGTCAGGCTCCACTTGTTGGATGGTGATGTTCAAATGGTCTTCGATGTCTGCCAAATACTAGAACAGAAGGGCGGCAATTTACTATTTTGGGCATTATGAGTTTTATAAAGATTTATTTGATAATAGCTCTTCCCTATAATATTTAAAGACGCGCCCCACCATTCTTCCGCTAATGTTTGAGTGTTATGGGTAGACGCTAAATTATCCATGAGTGCACACGCGTCACGCACACTACAATAATGATTCGCTCGGATTGCTCGGATCATACTCCCCGCACCCCGCGCTTTCCTCGACCAAATGTTGGTGGGGCTGGTTTTCTTGGATGAAACGATATAAGATGATTTTATTAAAAAAAGAAATAGTCGCTAAAGTAGTAAAGGGACTTTCTAAACAGGCAATATTTAGACTATCAAGATATTTACCTGAGGTTCGTTATACCACATACAGCAGCCCTTTGGTCGGTCGTCGATGAGATTCGTGTTCCAGCAGTTTCGGCCGCGAGACGAGCACCACTCGCCGTGGTACCACACCTGAATAAATACAAAGAATTTACTTTTCTCAATTCATTTTTAACTATAGGCATAGTATATTCCAGCGGTAGTGGAGTGGAGCAAAATTTCTGACGTTTTAGGCCCAGAACCACACACGACGCGACCAGTTTGAAATGGTTGCGTCATGTGTGGTCTCACAACGGAATCTATGGCAGAAACTTAAATGCAATTCAAAAGTAACTAGAAGTTGCAGTTTTGTTGACGCGAGGTCCAAATGCTGCATGATTGGTTATTTTTGACATGACATTGACAGATATGTCAAAATCCACCAATCATGCAGCATTTGGACCTCGCGTCTACATATTGCCATCTGGCGGATTTTTCAATCGCGAAAACCCTCATTGCGTTTCATCGTGTGTTCTGGGCCTTAGGTTTATGTATGTACCTATACCGTGACAGCTCTTTTGTAATTGATACCCCTCCCGCAATTGCAGAAACCTTTGAGTGGGTTCCACAAAGGTTCTTGCAATGAGGGCTATCGTTTTAGCGCTCACCAGTTTGCGCCACTGTAGAGTAAGGTCCTGTCACTTGCTAGTAGCGAAGACAGTGGCACCATCTGGTGAGTGCTAAAGTAGTAGGAGGACTATCGCATTTGCACTCATCAAGATGGCGCCACTGTAGAGTAAGGTCCTGTCAATCGCCAGGGGTGCCAACTGTTAAGTATAAAAACGATAGCCCTCATTGGTTAAGGTTTAGGGTTTCTCGAGTCGAAGCTGCGCAAGTGCTGGCAAGACGACGACTCGAAAACACAGTGTGAAGCACTAAGCCTGTACTTACAATGGTTCTAAAGAAAGTATACAAAGCAACTGACCTTCTCAGGAACAGTGGACACGAGGCTGATGGCGAGCCCCATGCGTTCGGCGCGCCCTACTCGCCCGATGCGGTGCACGTAGTTCGACTTCTCGTCAGGGAGAGTGATGTTGATCACTGTGCAGAAAATATGCGTTATGTAGGGCTATTGTAGTGGCGACAACAGGTAGGTTCTTTCGTTTCAGCCAAATGACGTCCACTGCTGGACAAAGGCTTTCCATAATGAGCGGTCCTGCCCTGCATCCAGGTTCCTTCCGCGACCTTTACCAGATCGTCGGTCCACCTAGTAGGAGGCCTGCCCACGCTACGTCTTTCAGTCCGTGGTCGCCACTCGAACAGGTGTAACAAACAAACTATGTTTGTGCTCATCAGTTGGCGCCACTGACATAACCACTTTCTATCTTTTACTAAACCTTCACTGATTGAGTTTTATTGGAGGCTAAGCTGTATAGACTAGCTGTAAAGGAGTTGCACTGGTGGGAAAGTGCATTTTTGCGTTGCGAAAAATTTTACCACTTGACCAGCTCGCGGTCACGATATCAGCATAAAGTACTTACTGAAAGGCAGTCCAGAGATGTCAATGCCTCTAGCGGCGACATCGGTACAGATCAGGAACTTGACCTGAGACTGTTTGAACATCTCCAGGTTCCCTTTGCGCTCGGCCGGCTTGCGGTCGCCGTGGAGACACACGCAGGAAAACTCCTTGCCGAATGTCTTGAAGTATCGCTCGAGGTTGTCGCAGTCTAGCTTGGTACGGCAGAAGATGATGGCCCTGTTTCAGGAATATTAAGTTAAGGTTGTGTATGATGCACATTGTAAGTCCTACTAATAATATTATAAATGCAAAAGTTTGGATGTCTGGATGTTTGTTACTCTTTCACGCAAAAACTACAGAACGGATTTTGATAAAACTTTACAGTTTTATTGTTTATAACCCAGAATAACATACGATCTGTGAGAAACTGAATTTCACGCGGGTGAAGCCGCGGGCAACAGCTAGTCATTACTAAATAGTGAAGTATCAGTGTCTAGTAGCTTTCTGGGCTGTGGTGTGGAAGAGAAAACTTTTAATCAGGGGCGGTAAATATTTTACCAGTTAGCGAATCTTGGGTGTTTCCTGGGTGGGGTGGGGTTTTTGTGTGGTTCACTTAAATATTTTATTTGCTACTACTTCATTGTCGAACCGATCTAGTATTCTAGTGATGGTTTTCAGGTTCAGAAAGAAAAAACTTACCTGTCCATCTTATGTTCCCTGATGGCACGGACGCAGTACTCTCCCTTGAGTAACTTGATGGCTTCGGACAGCGTTTCCGGTGTCGTGTTGCCGCTACGGATGTTGTCTTTTGCGTGAACACCGTCAGTTTGGACATGTCTGGATGAGAAAGAAAAATTATAATTAAAATAGGCTGAGCTTCATGCCAATAAAAAATGTTTTTTTTTAATATCCTAGGACATTTTTACACTGCGCTTCTAGTCCCAAACTAAGCAAAGCTTGTACTATGGGTACTAGACAACGGATATAAACATACTTAAATACTTTTTTTTGTAAATACATACAACTTATTATACACAGAAAACACCCAGTCCAATACAAACAAATATGTTCATGCACACAAATGTTTGTAATGTGCGGGAATCGAACCCGCTACCTCCGGAATAGTAGTCCGTTTCGAACCACTACACCAAACGAACGAAATATGGACTTGGTTTAGGCACTTGACCATAAATAAATAAACTAGAAACTTAATTATTCCATATTATTATGTGGGCGCTACTGCCAACAAATAATATGTTCGTGACGTAATAAGCAAAACATACTTGCGCAAGGTTTCCCACAAGCGGTCCTTTTGTGGGTCTACCATGACGACCACGTGATGCACTGTCTCGGGCACGGCGTCTTCTCCTTTCAAGTCCACCCAGGTTGGGAAGTGCATGAGTTTCTCCTGAAAAGAAACAGTAACAATTGTTTTTAGCGACTGTCTGATGACGCAACCAGTTTTACCAGTTAGCGAGTGAGCATGTAACGTTTGACTTCTTCACAGAGATTCACCTACATTCTTTGAGGTTTAGTTACAGAGGTAAATTCATATTGCGGTAGTGCATATTTTTAAAGATATTCACACTATTCTGTCGGGAGATATGCGACCGCGAACGTAGCACGAACGAGATTTGCGTATACCACTAATCAATATGTAATCACTAATCATACACAACATGCATTTTTTTGTTCCTTTTCGGAATCAAGTTCAATAATATAAATCCAATAGAATAATTCACGATCAACATACCGCCATCTTCTTAACTTCAAAGGCGTGGAGCGTCGCGGAACACACCACCATTTGCAGCCTTCGCCCGTCCGAGGTGATCTTTGGGATCTGACGATGGAGGCGCTCGATCAGTTCTCCATAACCCGCCTTGAGAAGCCCGTCCGCCTCGTCGAGCACGAAGAAACGGCAGTGAGTCAGCGCGAGGTATCCTGGTACACAAGTTGCAAGAATTAAAAACTAAAAGGGAAGATTTGTGATTTTGTAATAAATCAAATCTAGGCCCTGCTACAATAAGTGGTTCGATCCGGTAAGCGAGATAGGGCAAAGAGCTTCATGACAATGTATAGTCAGAGTCGGAAAATAAAATTGACGCGCCGAAGCGAAATTGTGTGCATGCACCTAATTTAGACAGCTCAGCATAACAAGGGGGTAATTTTATTTTTATTATGTTATCCTCATATAGTATAAAAGATTTTGGGCAATGAGGGCTATCGTTTTAGCGCTCACCAGTTAGCGCCACTGTAGAGTAAGGTCCTGTCACTTGCTAGTAGCGAAGAGAGTGGCGCCAACTTGTGAGCACTAAAGTGGTAGGAGGACTATCGCATTTGCACTCATCAAGATGGCGCCACTGTAGAGTAAGGTCCTGTCAATCGCCAGGGGTGCCAACTGTTAAGTATAAAAACGATAGCCCTCATATGTTTATGTATCTTTCATTTACTAGACAAAAATACAAACCTCCTTGAATGAGATCCTCAAGACGGCCTGGTGTGCCAACCACTATGTCCACCCCAGCATTGAGCTGGTTGATCTGGTCCTTGACGTTGATTCCGCCCACCACGAGCAATTCCCGCACTTTCGGGTTCTCGAGGTACTTCTTGAATTTGGTTATCTGTGTGCAAGTCTGTTCAGCCAGCTCACGAGATGGCTACGAGAGAAGGACTTATTGATGACTTGTTATCCCAACTAATATTATAAATGCGAAAGTAACTCTGTCTGTCTGTCTGTCTGTCTGTCTGTTACGCTTTCCCGCTTAAACCTCGCAACCGATTTTGATGAAATTTGGCATAGAGATAGTTTGAGTCCCGGGAAAGAACATAGGATAGTTTTTATCCCGGTTTTTGAAACATGGACGCGCGCGATAAAGTTTTTCTGTGACAGACAAAATTCCACGCGGGCGAAGCCGCGGGCGGAAAGCTAGTCATAAATAAAATAGTCTTATCAGGCAACTGTCTCTGCCCCTCTTCATGAAGGTCAGTGTTCTACAGGCATTAACCTGTAGCCTGTAGGCTAGGACTAAGATTCGCGCCGTGATAACTTTTATCGACGTCAAAATTTATGGGCAAAATCGATAAAATGGCGTGATAACCGCTTATCGCGGCGCGCATCTTAGGCCTACTGAACAAGGAAGCTTATCATAAGTTCTTTAATTACACAGGTTTAGAAATAATGTATAGGGCCAAAAACGCGGAAAACATCCGGCGTTCACGCGGCAATCTAACAGCATTATTATAAAACACCCTAATGGCTGCTTGCTGTTAAAAAATAATCGCCGCGAGATCGTCTTTTCGTAAAAACGCCGGATACATAGCATATTTTAACAAATAAGTCACAAATTAAAGTAATAAACATACCTCTATGATGATAGCCTGAGGAGCATTGTTCACTGGCTTGCTGTCCACAGCTGCGCCTGCCACTACGATGTTATGCTTCACACACTCCTTGGGAGCTTGGCAAATAGCAATATAGTCCTTTGGAATAGGATACTGAAACAAAAAACTGATAATGTACAGAAGCAGTTAGTTGCAAAAGGAAACCTGTGATGTTTTAAGTTACATCTAAGAGTGTTGGCCTAGCTAAGACAACAAATAAATTGCTTAAACATAATGTACAGTACATAATGTCTTATGATCTGAGTTTTATGTGCATAAAAGTTTTACATAAATTAATAATATTACCTTGAAAGGAGTAGAACCAAAGTTGAAGCTCATCTCTGCATTTTTAAGCACTACAGCAGGGAAATAACAATCTGACCGTCTGGACTGATCCAGTTTGAAAGCCACACCAAGATCTTCTCCATTCTTGGTATACCTGATTTCACCATTGGTCAAACTCAGAAGACAACCTATAAAAATGATAACAATGATCTAACTAAAAAAGAGTTTTATTTAACACATTAATTCTAATTAGAATAAGAAACAACCATAATAATGTAAATAAAACAAACAAAATACAAAAAGAGGAAGGAAAATGGAAATCTTTCAGTTCTTACTGAACTATTTTTAGCATGTGTATTCTTTCTTCTTCTATTATACTCGTGACTTTTAAGTGTAAAACAATAACTTGTTCAGATATAAGTTGAACATGCATTTTATTAATTACATTCTTTGAATAATGCATTTTAATAATACCTCTCAATGTGTGAGACTATTATGACTTTTATATTGATAAAATAATAATACATACCAATGACATCATTCTTCCCATAAGCGGTACCATAATCATCAAACTGCTTGGCATTAGACTTTTTGCCTGTGCCACCAAATCCATAGCCCAGCCTGTCAGTGCCAAGGTCCAGTTTAGCCTAGAAATTGAAATTAGAAAATTAAATGATACTTATTTTTCTGAATTTTAGAATACTAGGAAACACTAAATATTTTTTTAGTAAAATGCAATCAAATGACTGCTTTACCTCTACCATCAGACAATTTATTTGTCGTAAAATTCAAACTTACAGCTTGGGTAGACCACCCAACACGGCACAGGCCTTCATCAGTCACTGTTGCTTCATAATAATAATTCCCCTTAGTGTGGACACCCTTGGTGGCCCGGCAGCCGTGCCAGGCCTGCTGGTCTCGCGACTGGCAGCGCGTGCCCTCTGGAGTCACTGCCAAAGCATCTGTTCGATCAAAAAACGACATAGTCCATTCCGACGACGTTTGCGTCAGCACTTTACTCGTCTTCCCTTCTTGTAAATCTTTCAATGTTTCCCAAACTATCTGCAAAATAGGCAAGCAGAAGGCACCCGTCTTTCCACTGCCTGTTTCGGCTGCCATTAACACATCTCCACCTCCAAGAATGAGGGGAATAGCTTCAGCTTGAACATCTGTAGGCAGAGTCCAATCCATCTCTTCAATAGCCTTCCCCAGTTCGGGCAGGACCCCGAACTCTTCAAAAGCGGTCATAATTGAAGAATTTAGAGCCGAATAAGTTTTTTACAAGCTTTCCTTTTCAATTTCACAACAAAATCACAATTTTCACACAATCCACACAGCCGGCGATGTTTTTTGACAGGAATGAAAAAAATAATACTGTCAAATATAATGTTGCCAAGTTTTAGGTTTTACCTTGAAAATAGGGAAATAAAGTTAGAATTAAACCACAATGTGAATCTCTTTAAAAGAATAAAACAAAACAGCAATTTTTTTAATCTACTTAATCTAAACATACATATTCCTAAAAATAAAAACTACCAACTATAAATAAATCCTGCAGCCAACTGCTGCATGATTAAACTGCTATAAATAAAGCTCTTCAAACATTGATATTCTAGTTAGCGGGGAAATTATTTTTATTCTACTGGCAGCCCTCAGTTGACATTTTGTTTTTTAATAATTATTTCATTGTTTACTCAAACGTATCTAGTTTGTAATGCCAAAAAATTGACTAGTAAAATGTTTTTAAGGCTGAATAATATTGTTTCCGTGATCAGCCATAATAAAAAACATCAAACAGCTGTTTTTGACATAAATCTACATAACCTAAAAACCATATCAAAAACAACACTGAGTGAGAAGGGTTATAATGTTATTTGAAGCTATAAAATTGTATAATTAATTTGTAAACTTCTTATAAGACATAATGGAATTAGAAATACTTCAAAATTCTAAAGCCGAACCACTAAAAAAGACAACAAAGCTATCAACTGTTGGAAAGACTTTAATTTATACCACTGGGGGTCTTGCACTAGGCGTTAGTATTGTTTGTATACCCTTCGTTTCGCCAGCCTTGAGGAAGGTTTGTTTGCCTTATGTGCCAGCTACAACGGAACAGCTTGCTGGAGTAACCAAAGCATTAGCTAACAGAAGTGGAAGATTACTCGATGTGGGTTCTGGCGATGGCAGGATTGTATTCACAGCTGCGAAACTAGGATTCAAAGCTGAAGGAGTAGAACTTAACCCGTGGTTAGTGTATTATTCAAGACTAGCAGCCTTGCTAAACCCTGCCCATCGTGGCACCAAGTTTTACAGGCGGAATCTATGGACATTTGACTTAAAACCTTATAACAATATTGTGATCTTTGGTGTCGAGCAAATGATGGATGAATTTGAAAAGAAATTGTTGCAAGAAGCTAACAATGGAACAGTTATAGTCGCCTGTAGATTTCCACTTCCTAGTATGACACCAACAGAAACTATTGGACATGGAGTAGACACAGTTTGGAAATATGTAATTAAAAGCACAAAATAACGTAAGGCAATATAATTTACTTAGATAGTAATAAAAATATGTACAGTTATGTATTTTTGATTTAAAATCTACCACTTCTTTTCCTTCCAGTGTATTTTGTGTCAGGTTTGGTCTCTTTCCCTTGTTTCCTACGTCTCTCTTTCTTTTCTAATAACCATGCTCTAGTATTCTTTAGAGGTTTACCTCTAGCCCCTCTGGTAGCTTCCCGCCTTGCATATTTAACTTGTAGACTATTATCAGTTTCATCTGTACCTGAATATAAAAACATTGATAATAAGTATTTGTTATTTATGATGGAAAGTTATATTATTATTATATTAATTTTCTTATAGTTATATTATTATTATATTATTGTTATATTATTATTATAGTTATATTATTATTATTTTAATCGCCGTGTGGTGNAGCTGTCCATAATTGGGTTCTTTGTTTTGTCATAGATGGCACCAATACAAAATTACACCCCCAAACAAATGGGGAGAGCATTGGATGCTGTAAATGCTGGGGGAAAAGATAAGCACGGCTGCCCTCCAGTTTGATGTTCCTCGAATAACCTGGGTTACCTCCGCCATATCGAATAACAAATGATCGAAAGTAAAAATATCAAACACGTTTCATCGAAAACTCAAAACACCGAACGATTAAAATATAGAATTTACAAAATGATCGAAATAATCTTCAAAAGATCTAACGATTAAACTATCGAAAATCGATGTTATTGCATAGTTTAATAGGAAGATGGAGGTAAGGGTTCCTTGTTAACTATGGTACCCTAGAAATAAAAAAAAGTTTTATTTATATTCATCATAATTATGACATTTAGTTTAAACTTCTTTAATGATTTTCGATATTTTAATCATTCGATATTTTGAACATTTGATCATTTGTAAATTCGATATTTTGATCGTTCGAAGTCGAGGGATGACGTTACCGAAGAAGGCATTCAAAAGAAGAAGAAGGCAAATGGTTCGATGAAATAACGAGATACATAGAAGTTATAGGTTTAAAAGATGTTTTAGATGAACCCAGTTGGACATTTAATACCGACGGAAGCGCATTTTGTCACCAGATGGTTGATTGAAAATCTGATACTTGAAAATCGAAGACTGATCATGTTGAAAGTTCAAATAGCAATAATAAAAGTTGATTTGTGACATCATTTGTTTCATTCATGTGTTCAATACAAAAGTGTCCATTATTGGATGTTCATAATTGGGTCCATGTCCATGACTGGGTGTCCATTACTGAATTTTTGATGTCCATCAATGGTGATTTCGTAAATTTCAATTTATATATTTTTTATTAATTATCTATTAAACATACAGGATTTTTGGTTTTGTTTAAATGTTCCTCATGTATTTGAGTGCCGAAAAAAAAATCACCACTTTTGTATTGTCAAAAAACATCTCCTTTTTAAACGAAATTCGAATTTAGTCCGCTTAACATGTCCATGATTGGTTCCGTCACCCTACTTGTAAGTAATAACACCTACTCTAGACACTGGAAATATAATTGATATCCTAAATATAATGTATAATTACGTTCATTCGTTGTGCTCTACATTATTTTCGTGCATACAGGGTGACAGGTAAAGCGATACATTCCTTGAAAGGGGTTAAAGTAGAGCTTATTTGCAGTCATTTAAGTCATATGACACCATGTCCGAAACTTGTTCATTTCCAAGTTATTCAAGATTTAAGTATTTTTTAAAAAATCTCCAGTTTTTATGTTAAAATGTACCCTTGTAATGAAGAATACGGAATAATGTTAACTTTTTTGTTGTATTCGTATAGCTAAATAATAAGATTGACATTTTAAATTAAAATTTGCAAGAAAGAATCGTCATTACTCAAGTAAAAGCTAAAAAACCATGTATTATTTTGCAAAAAAAATATGTTTTAGGTAATTAAACGAAGAATTTCCAAGAAAAAATGTAAGGAATGTTGTGTACAAATTACAGAATTTAGTTCCTTGATTCATTAGCTATTCAAAAAGGTACAGCAGGGTTCGAAAATATCCGATATTTATTATAAATATCAAAATATCGGATATTTATGATATATATCCGATATATATCAACTTTGATATATATCAATTTTGTATGAAAGCCATATTATTATTTTATTGTATTATTCATGAATACTATTGCATATGTGCTACATAAACATGTTTTTAATGTTTTTAAACCTTAAAATCAGACAAATAAAGCAAAAACATAAAATATTCTTTTAAATACGGCAAAATCAACTAAAAAAATAAAAATCTTATGTCAAAAAGTACAAATACAGTAACAAATTTTAAAAGTTGATATATATCATCAAAACCGGCTTGATATATATCGGATATATATATATATCAAGGGATATATATCAAGATATATATCGGATATCCGATATATATCTTGATATAATATCCCTTGATATATATCCTCGAACCCTGCTGCTGGACAAAGGTTTTCCATAATGAGCGATCCTGCGCTGCCCGCATCCAGGTTCCTTCCGCAACCTTTACCAGATCGTCGGTCCACCTAGTAGGAGGCCTGCCCACGCTACGTCTTTCAGTCCGTGGTCGCCACTCGAACAGGTGTAACAAACAAACTATGTTTGTGCTCATCAGTTGGCGCCACTGACAAAACCACTTTCAATCTTTTACTAAACCTTCACTTTTTGGGTTTTATAGAGGCCAAGCTGTATATCCTAGCTGTAAAGGAGTTGCACTGGTGGGAAAGTGCATTTTTGCGTTGCGAAAAATTTTACCACTTGACCAGCTCGCGGTCACCATATCAGCATTACTTACTGAAGGGCAGTCCAGAGATGTCAATGCCTCTAGCGGCGACATCGGTACAGATCAGGAACTTGACCTGAGACTGTTTGAACATCTCCAGGTTTCCTTTGCGCTCGGCCGGCTTGCGGTCGCCGTGGAGACACACGCAGGAAAACTCCTTGCCGAATGTCTTGAAGTATCGCTCGAGGTTGTCGCAGTCTAGCTTGGTACGGCAGAAGATGATGGCCCTGTATCAGGAATATTAAGTTAAGGTTATGATGCACATTGTAAGTAGAATGTAAATTGAATTATCATCATCATCATCATCAACAGCCCTTTACAGTCCACTGCTGGACTATGAGCCTCCTCCACTATAGTGGAGGGTGAGTTGAAATTGAATTATAATCATGACTAAATAATAAAGTATTAGTGTCTCGTAGTAGAGTAAGAGCTAGTGAACGCCAAACCTACGTCATTTTATAAAAGCTGAAAGTTTGTCCGCGTATGCTCCCAATATAGGATATATGAAGTTTGGGTCATCGTGGCTTGGTTAACGTTATACCATTAAATCTGTTTTTTTCTGAACTGTGGTGTGGAAGAGAAAACTTTTATAATATTATATCCGGGGCGGTAAATATTTGACCAGCTAGCGAATCTTGGGTGTTTCCTGGACGGGGTTTATATGTGGTTCAGTAAATATTTTATTTGCTACTAGCTTTCCGCCCGCGGCTTCGCCCGCGTGGAATTTTGTCTGTCACAGAAAAACAATATCGCGCGCGTATTTGCTCACCGTTTAGACCTACCCTGGACTACGACAAACATTTTAAAACCAAAATCAGCTCAATCGGCCCAGCCGTTCTCGAGTTATAATCAGACTAACGAACATCAATTCATTTTTATTTATATAGATAGACTAGCTTTCCGCCCGCGGCTTCGCCCGCGTGGAATTTTGTCTGTCACAGAAAAACTTTATCGCGCGCGTCCCTGTTTCAAAAACCGGGATAAAAACCATCCTATGTTCTTTCCCGGGACTCAAACTATCTCCATGCCAAATTTCATCAAAATCGGTTGCCAGGTTTAAGCGGGAAAGCGTAACAGACAGACAGACAGACAGAGTTACTTTCGCATTTATAATATTAGTTGGGAAGTTGGGATAGACTAGGTACTTCATTGACGAACCGATAGTGATGGTTTTCAGGACTTACCTGTCCATCTTATGTTCCCTGATGGCACGGACGCAGTACTCTCCCTTGAGTAACTTGATGGCTTCGGACAGCGTCTCGGGTGTCGTGTTGCCGCTACGGATGTTGTCTTTTGCGTGAACACCGTCAGTTTGCACATGTCTGGATGAGAAAGAAATATTAGAATTAAAATTTTAGGTTTACTTCATACAACCCAGTCGAGTTAAATGCGCACCTGGCGGCCGTGACGTCACATCGACACGGGTACGAAAGGGGCGAAGGCGGAGAGATGTGCGGGTGAATTCGAGAGAGAGTCGCATTCCAGCGGGGAGCGCAGTTAACTCGGCCGGGTTGTACTAATAAAAAAAAGGCTTAGGAACTTGGCCTAGTACAAGGTGTCTCAAAATAAAGTTTATATTTAGTGGATCGATTAAAAAAAAAGTAAGCCGTGTATCGAAAAAATGTTTAGTAACTATTAATGTACACATTCTGGGAATTTATTTGTTAAAAATAATATTGTCCAAATGTAGACCGCGTTCGTAGCACTCATTTAATCGAACCGTAAAATCACTGCTGACGGCTCAGGCAGGTAAACTCAGTGATGGCTGCCATTTCTTGACGGATATTTACGCCAGGGAAGTTAGTTTAGTGGCTTAAACTTTAGATTTAAGTTAATTCCATAGGATAAAGTCCATAGTGGGTAAATTAGGACTGTGTGGAGGCCTATTGATGTCATCTCTCCTGGAGATCAATTTTCCAAAGAAAATTTCACATGACCAGCCTCTGATTGGCTTCTTGGGGCTTTAACTCTTGCATCAATTGGATTTTGTAGGAGTGTAGCTTAAGGTCATTGTGAAAAATGCGGTGCGCTTCCGAATTGAAAGATTCGGATCGTCACGAGCGGACTGATTAACACTCTCCACGTTTTCTGCCGTTTTTGATGACTATAGTCGCCCGGATTTTTACTATTCCAGCGTTGTACGGGTCTCTTAAAACTTTTTGGCCCATTTCTTAATAAGAAGAATGCTTGGGGCATCATTTAAGTGGCGAAATCTACGCGCTACAGTTGCAGAATAACCATTTTTGAAAAATTCTCGCAAGGACAACGCGCGGTCTGCTCCCGAGAAATACTCCATAGCACCTAAATTCCCAAGAGCCAGGCTACTGATTGACATAACCCCCGCACACCTCGGATTTGTTGCGTTCACGCAGTAAGCTAATCAAATGTAAACTTTCTTTTGAGACACCTTGTATTCAAACGGATTTAAACTAGAAACTCGATTATTCATTATGTATAATGAATATGTACGTAATAATAAACCATACTTGCGCAAGGTTTCCCACAAGCGGTCCTTTTGTGGGTCTACCATGACGACCACGTGATGCACTGTCTCGGGCACGGCGTCTTCTCCTTTTAAGTCCACCCAAGTCGGGAAGTGCATGAGTTTCTCCTAAAAAGGAAATATTATCGTTTTTTTAGAATCAAGTCATAGCAATACTCATCGAGTATCATACTCAATAAGAGAATTTGATGCACAACATACCGCCATCTTCTTAACTTCAAAGGCGTGGAGCGTCGCGGAACACACCACCATTTGCAGCCTTCGCCCGTCCGAGGTGATCTTTGGGATCTGACGATGGAGGCGTTCTATCAGTTCTCCGTAACCCGCCTTGAGAAGCCCGTCCGCCTCGTCGAGCACGAAGAAACGGCAGTGAGTCAGCGCGAGGTATCCTGGTACACAAGTTGCAAGAATTAAAAACTAAAAGGGAAGATTTGTGATTTTGTTATAAATCAAATCTAAGCCCTGCTACAATAAGTGGTTCGATCCGGTAAGCGAGATAGGGCAAAGAGCTTCATGACAATGTATAGTCAGAGACGGAAAATAAAATTGACGCGCCGAAGCGAAATTGTGTGCATGCACCTAATTTAGACAGCTCAGCATAACAAGGGGGTAATTTTATTTTTATTATGTTATCCTCATATAGTATAAAAGATTTTGGGCAATGAGGGCTATCGTTTTAGCGCTCACCAGTTAGCGCCACTGTAGAGTAAGGTCCTGTCACTTGCTAGTAGCGAAGACAGTGGCGCCAACTTGTGAGCGCTACAGTGGTAGGAGGACTATCGCATTTGCACTCATCAAGATGGCGCCACTGTAGAGTAAGGTCCTGTCAATCGCCAGGGGTGCCAACTGTTAAGTATAAAAACGATATCCCTCATTGGTAAATAACTCTTTGAAATGAAATGTTTATGTATCTTTCATTTACTGGAAAAAAATACAAACCTCCTTGAATGAGATCCTCGAGACGGCCTGGTGTGCCAACCACTATGTCCACTCCAGCATTGAGCTGGTTGATCTGGTCCTTCACGTTGATTCCGCCCACCACGAGCAATTCTCGCACTTTCGGGTTCTCGAGGTACTTCTTGAATTTGGTTATCTGTGTGCAAGTCTGTTCAGCTAGCTCACGAGATGGCTACGAGAGAAGGACTTATTGATGACTTGTTATCCCAACTAATATTATAAATGCGAAAGTAACTCTGTCTGTCTGTCTGTCTGTCTGTCTGTCTGTTACGCTTTCCCGCTTAAACCTCGCAACCGATTTTGATGAAATTTGGCATAGAGATAGTTTGAGTCTCGGGAAAGAACATAGGATAGTTTTTATCCTGGTTTTTGAAACATGGACGCGCGCGATAAAGTTTTTCTGTGACAGACAAAATTCCACGCGGGCGAAGCCGCGGGCGGAAAGCTAGTCATAAATAAAATAGTCTTATCAGGCAACTGTCTCTGCCCCTCTTCATGAAGGTCAGTGTTCTACAGGCATTAACCTGTAGCCTGTAGGCTAGGACTAAGATTCGCGCCGTGATAACTTTTATCGACGTCAAAATTTATGGGCAAAATCGATAAAATGGCGTGATAACCACTTATCGCGGCGCGCATCTTAGGCCTACTGAACAAGGAAGCTTATCATAAGTTCTTTAATTAGACAGGTTTAGAAATAATGTATAGGGCCAAAAACGCGGAAAACATCCGGCGTTAACGCGGCAGGCTAACAACATTATTATAAAACACCCTAATAGCTACTTGTGGTTGAAAAATAATCGCCGCGAGATCGCGTTTCCGGGAAAACGCCGGATACATAGCATTTTTGACAAACAAGTCACAAATTAAAGTAATCAACATACCTCAATGATGATAGCCTGAGGAGCATTGTTCACTGGCTTGCTGTCCACAGCTGCGCCCGCCACTACAATGTTATGCTTCACACACTCTTTGGGAGCTTGGCAAATAGCAATATAGTCCTTTGGAATAGGATACTGAAACAAAAATCTGATAATGTACAGATGCAGTCAGTTGCAAAAGGAAACCTGTGAAGTTTTAAGTTACATCTAAGAGTTTTGGCTTAGCTAGAAGAACAAACAAATTGCTTAAACATAATGTACAGTACATAATGTCTTATGATCTAAGTTTTATGTGCATAAAAGTTTTACATAAATTAATAATATTACCTTGAAAGGAGTAGAACCAAAGTTGAAGCTCATCTCGGCATTTTTGAGCACTACAGCTGGGAAATAACAATCTGATCGTCTGGACTGATCCAGTTTGAAAGCCACACCAAGATCTTCTCCATTCTTGGTATACCTGATTTCACCATTGGTCAAACTGAGGAGACAACCTATAAAAAATTTACAACATAAAACCTCCTCTTTTTGAAGTCAGTTAAATTCTAATTAGAATAAGTAGCAGCCATATAAATAAAACAAACAAAATATAAGAAGAGTTAAAAAATGGATATAAACACATTTTGAACAAAATTGATCTGAAGTCAATTAAGTTTAAGGTATTGTTATTGTCTCCCTACATTCAGTTCTTACTGAATTATTTTCAGCATGTGTATGTGCTTTGTTCTTCTGTTAAACTTCTGAATAATAAGTTATAAGTGTAAAACAATAACTTGTTCAGATGGAAGTTGGACATGCATCACATGCATGTTATTAATTACCTTCTTTGAATAACACCACTTAATATGTGAGACTATTATGTCCTATACAGGGTGTCCCGTAATGTAACGTCAAGCCGGAACTGGGTGTTGAGGCAAGTTATGCTGGTTATCAGAAAAATATAAAAAAAATCTATGTGGCATATTTTCAAAATAAAGGGCATTTAAAAAAAATCAAAATTTCTACTCCAGGTGACGGTCTTTTTACTCGTGTTGCCACAAATCTTCACTTTTTCCAAATTTTTTTTTGTTATGTAACCCTGAATAATGCTTCTCTAAATTGTTATCAAAATTACAAAACCAGCTGCTCCAACTTGGATGAAAAAAATACATTATNAGAGAAGCATTATTCAGGGTTACATAAAAAAAAAAAAATTTGGAAAAAGTGAAGATTTGTGGCAACACGAGTTAAAAGACCGTCACCTGGAGTAGAAATTTTTGATTTTTTTTAAATGCCCATTATTTTGAAAATATGCCACATAGATTTTTTTTTATATTTTTCTGATAACCAGCATAACTTGCCTCAACACCCAGTTCCGGCTTGACGTTACATTACGGGACACCCTGTATATGTATTGATAAAATAATAATACATACCAATGACATCATTTTTCCCATAAGCTGTGCCATAATCATCAAACTGCTTGGCATTAGACTTTTTGCCTGTGCCACCAAATCCATAGCCCAGCCTGTCAGTGCCAAGGTCCAGTTTAGCCTAGGAAATGAAATTAGAAAATTAAATGACACATATTTTTCTGAATTTTGAAAAACTAGGAACCACTAAATTATTTTTAGTAAAATCCAATCAAATGACTGCTTTACCTCTACCATCAGACTATTTATTTGTGAATATAGTCATAAAATTCAAACTTACAGCTTGGGTAGACCACCCAACACGGCACAGGCCTTCGTCAGTCACTGTTGCTTCATAATAATAATTTCCCTTAGTGTGGACACCCTTGGTGGCCCGGCAGCCGTGCCAGGCCTGCTGGTCTCGCGACTGGCAGCGCGTGCCCTCTGGAGTCACTGCCAAAGCATCTGTTCGATCAAAAAACGACATAGTCCATTCCGACGACGTTTGCGTCAGCACTTTACTTGTCTTCCCTTCTTGTAAATCTTTCAAAGTTTCCCAAACTATCTGCAAAATAGGCAAGCAGAAGGCACCCGTCTTTCCACTGCCTGTTTCGGCTGCCATTAACACATCTCCACCTCCAAGAATGAGAGGAATAGCTTCAGCTTGAACATCTGTAGGCAGAGTCCAATCCATCTCTTCAATAGCCTTCCCCAGTTCGGGCAGGACCCCGAACTCTTCGAAAGCGGTCATATTTGAAGAATTTAGAGCCCAATAGGTTTTTTACAAGCTTTCCTTTTCAGTTTCACAACAAAATCACAATTTTCACACAATCCCACACAGCCACACACAGCCGGCGATGTTTTTTGACAGGATCAATGAAAAAATAATACTGTCAAATATAATGTTGCCGAGTTTTAGGTTTTACCTTGAAAATAGGGAAATAAAGTTATGTTAGAATAAAACCACAAGGTGAAATCTCTTTAAAAGATTAAAAGAAAATATAGCATTTTTTTTTATCTACTTTATCTATACATACATATTCCTAAAAATAAAAACTACTAACAATAAATCCTGCAGCCAACTGCTGCATGATTAAACTGCTGTAAATAAAGCTCTTTAAACAAATTGATATTTATATTCTAGTTAGTGGGGACATTATTTTTATTCTACTGGCAGCCCTCAATTGACATTTTGTTTTTTAGTAATTATTTCATTGTTTACTCAAACGTATCTAGTTGGTAATGCCAAAAAATTTACTAGTAAAATGTGACTAATGTTTTGAAGGCTGAATAATATTGTTTCCGTGATTAGCCATAATAAAAAAAACATCAAACAGATGTTTTTGACATAAATCTACATAACCTAAAAACCATATCAAAAACATAACACTGAGTGAGAAGGGTTAAAATGTTATTTGAAGCTATAAAATTGTATAATTAATTTGTAAGCTTCTAACAAGACATAATGGAATTAGAAATACTTCAAAATTCTAAAGCCGAACCACTAAAAAAGACGACAAAGCTATCAACTGTTGGAAAGACTTTAATTTATACCACAGGAGGTCTTGCACTAGGCGTTAGTATTGTTTGTATACCCTTCGTTTCGCCAGCCTTGAGGAAGGTTTGTTTGCCTTATGTGCCAGCTACAACGGAACAGCTTGCTGGAGTAACCAAAGCATTAGCTAACAGAAGTGGAAGATTACTTGATGTGGGTTCTGGCGATGGCAGGATTGTATTCACAGCTGCGAAACTAGGATTCAAAGCTGAAGGAGTAGAACTTAACCCGTGGTTAGTGTATTATTCAAGACTAGCAGCCTTGCTAAACCCTGCCCATCGTGGCACCAAGTTTTACAGACGGAATCTATGGACATTCGACTTAAAACCTTATAACAATATTGTGATCTTTGGTGTTGAGCAAATGATGGAAGAATTTGAAAAGAAATTGCTACAAGAAGCTAATAATGAAACAGTTATAGTCGCCTGTAGATTTCCACTTCCTAATATGACACCGACAGAAACTATTGGACATGGAGTAGACACAGTTTGGAAATATGTAATTAAAAGCACAAAATAACGTAAGGCAATATAATTTACTTAGATAGTAATAAAAATATGTACAGTTATGTATTTTTGATTTAAAATCTACCGCTTCTTTTCCTCCCAGTGTATTTTGTGTCAGGTTTGGTCTCTTTTCCTTGTTTCCTACGTCTCTCTTTCTTTTCTAATAACCATGCTCTAGTGTTCTTCAGAGGTTTACCTCTAGCCCCTCTGGTAGCTTCCCTCCTTGCATATTTCACTTGTAGACTATTATCAGTTTCATCTGTACCTGAATGACAATCATTGATAATAAGTTCTTGTTATTTAAGATAGAAAGTAACATTAATTAGGTATAATTAAATATTTAAGTAAAATAAATTACCTAAAGCTGTTGGTAAAGGTGCTGAGCCACCAGTCATAAGCACTAAAAAGAATTTCTTGGCTTTTGCCGAGTTGGGATAGTCTATGACCACTCCTCCATAGAAACCTGCTTTCATTGCTTGAGATGTGAGCAATTCTAACTGGCTCTCATTCTCTGGGTAGAACTGAAACACTGCACGGGCTGATCTGGACTGAAATAATAAAATCTATTGTTATTTACAAATGTCAAATTAAATAAAAGTATTTGTATTGTGTCTTAATTACCAGAGATGCGTATAGAGAACTGAAGAATGTATAAAGCCTTTTGACAGGTTTGTGGGACTTTTTGTCTGCATTAAAGAGCCACTGTAAGGCTGACACAGATATGGCGCCATCAAAGCAACCAGCTCTGAAAGGCACACCTTCACCCATGTCTGCTAGAACTAGATCACCTTCTGTCTCTCTTTCAATGGCAACATCTGGAAAAACAGATTAAATAAAGTTGTCTTCAGATACTACAGATTATGTATGGAGTTTTTATCATTAAAAATGAGTTTTCACCACAAAGTGAACTTTATAGTGCCTTACCTAACATGTCAGGGGAGATATCCATACCAACCCACATGTGGCCATTTTCTTCAAGCACAGACCCTGATAGCCCGGACCCACAGCCAATGTCCAGTAACAAACAAGGCGAGTCCTCAGGGAGAAGGAGAAGCTCCAGGCATCTTTCTGTCATTTGAGCCTGAATATCAATAATACGGGAGCTGCAAACAATAACAAAACAGATTTCATAAAAAATACTAGTTAGTCAGCTGTACACAGTATCGGCTAATCGTAGGTAGTTACCACATACTTTTGTGTGTATTTTCTTGCCTCATCAGCATTGTAAAACTAAAACAAAAATTAATAAATTAAAGTTATTGTAAAGTTAATAATAACAGTAATGTTATGTATATAATAAACGGTATCTTACGACTTCAGGTGGGGCTAAATGTTCTGGTCGTTTAGACATTTTTATGCGTTAGCAAAAGCAATGTATTAGAATTAAATAAAATCTTTGTTTATTTTGAACAAACACCACGAGACATAACCTAACTTATAACTGTCATCATTGACAGATACGGTCAAAACTTTTTTTATAAGCTTGCTTGAGCATAGTTATTTGGCCATGAAAGAAAAAATCCGATTATCTAGGATTTCCTGCGTCGTTTTTGATATAGATCGCTCAAAGCCAGTTGAGGCGAACGACCTAATATTTGAATACAGAATACAAACAACACAATCTGCCAGCTGCGCCACACGTCGCGCTCTTGATAAGTCTGCAAGCCTGCTTATTCCAAGACCGTGAAAAATGCAAAAAAAAGAAGTTGGATGACAGCTGTAAGCTGTCATTAATGTCATGTGTCAGGGTTACGCGAGCGGGAATTTTTGTTGTGTTTTGCATTTTTTGTAGTTAGTATTTAAAATCTATTTTATTAATCCAAGATAAAATGCGTTAATTTTAATCGATAATTATTAATCCTTGGTTCACACCCGATATTAAAATGCCCAAAGCTCTAAGTCTTAAAAAGGTAATGATAAGTTAAACCACTACATTGGAATTATCTAAGGAATGATTCCTTGATTAATTTATATTACTATTCCAATGCAATTTTTCAGACAAAACAAGGCAACTTACCAAAAAATCAAAACTGTATTACTCAGTTTTTTAAAAATACTTCTAATGGTTCAAGTCAAGCTAATGGAAATCATGAAGTTTTATCGCAAAAGGCTCTTCCACAACAGGAGGACAATAGTAAGAATTTACCGAAAAAACGAAAAGCTCCATCACCTGTGCAAATAGATCTATGTGACACAGAAGATAAATTATCTGATATACCTGTTCATTATGAAAACAATGATGATGATAAAATACATAAAAAGGCTAAGATCCAGGTATCTCATATACAGAAAACTCCACCAAAGAGGCACACAGGTAAGATTTCCTCACCTGAGAAGGAAAATAGTGTTAAAATACAAAGGTCTTTTAACATTGAAGAGGCTAAACAACAATCCATAGATTTTGGCAAAAACAATGTTACAAGACAAGCTGCTAGAAATGATATACTAAAGGAGAGTCCTTTATCAGGTAAGATTTAACATTTATTAACTAATTTGTGTTTCAGTCAAACACACTTTAGTCTTCAGTTTACTAACTTTCCATGTAAACTTTTCAGATTTTGAATGCTCACCGAAAAAGACATTGTCTCTTGTGAGTTCAAGAGAAAATACACCTAACTCACCAATTGTAGATAGTTCAACAAATAATATAGAAAGAAAAGTTGTTAAATCAATTTTTAAGAATCATGGAGAAAATGTATTTGATAAATCCCCAGGAAAAAATGGTACCCCACCAGATAATAATATTTGTTGTGGTGCAAAAAATGATGCTAAATTGAATATTACACCCAAGAAGAGTCCTATTACAACAGGTATAATTTTGAAGTAATTTTTCATATTACCAACTTAAGATTGGATTTTTTTCTTACCTCTGTTTTAAACATATTTTTAATATGCTTCTAGAACTTCGAAGATCACCCAGAATAGCTAAACTGCTTACCCCCGAAAAGATATTGAAGGAAGCATCTCCTATCAAAAAAGCACTAGACTTTGGTTACCAAGATGATTTTGGTAACTTACCAAGTTTAGATAGTTCAACAAATAATATAGCAAGAAAAGATGTCAAATCAATTTTTAAGAATCATGAAGAAACTGTATTTGATAAATCACCAGTAAAAAATGGTACCCCACCAGCTAATAATATTTGTACCAAAAGGAATATTACACCTAAGAAGAGTCCAATCACAACAGGTATGGTTTGGAAACCTTATTTGTATATTGTTTTTCATACTAGGTTTAATTTATTACAATTCAATTTGAATATCAAATTACCAGTTCCACATTTTGAATTCATCAGGTCCTGATAATAATTTTAATCATACTTTATTTTTCTCATAGAACTTCGAAGATCACCCAAAATAGCCAAACTGCTTACCCCTGAGAAGATATTGAAGGAAGCATCTCCTATCAAAAAGGCACTAGACTTTGGTCACCATGATGATTTTGGTGATGATTTTATGGATGAATGGGACTTAAATGAAATTGAAGAGGTGAGAATAGCTACTTTATTGTTATGACACTTTTATTTTAAAGGGACAAGGTAATTGCTGACTATATCAGTTTCTGCTTACTACAGACAATATTGTATGTTTCAGGAAACAGTTGAAGATCTTGATTTGACATCAATGCAAAGATGTGAGGTCATAAGTGTGACCCGACAGCCAACATCACTGAAACTTTTACTAAAGAATGACAGAAATAACAAGGGCACTTGTTACATTGAAGGATTCTGGTTAGTCTTATTTAGCTTAATTTGGGACTAGAGGCGCCGTGTAAAATGTCCAAGGATTATTATTTAGCAGAACAGTGCATGCTCACAGACAAATGTATGATGGCCACTATTAAATCTTCGGTGCAGATAGACTTATTTTACAAGTTTATTGGTTAACCAAATTACACTTTTATTGGTTATATTTCAGGCTAGACACACCAATATCGGAGGGCGAGATCCTAAGCATCCTAGCTTCCCGTGATTCTTCTGGAAAGTTCTCTGTAACCAATACTTCTGGGCTGATGGTGTTACGGCCAGACCACCTGGTTTCCTCCACGAGTGTCGTCGCCGGCGTGTTTTGTAAGCGCAAGGCAGTGTTGCAGGAACGATGGAGGGGCATAGATTCGGCTAATAGTGCTGTAAGTACCTATAGCACTTAAAATGTCATATTTTATTCCTTATTGTCTATTACCTGTACTGTATCTCATTCATCTCATACCTGTAAATTTGCTTATTATTATTTATTCTATTCTACTCTATAACTTGAAATTTGCTTTTCAGATGACTATAGGAACACTAATACATGAACTGGTACAGAAAGCTCTAACAAAAAATATTTATGATGTAAAACAGTTGAATATTGAAGTAGATAAAATTATAAAGGAATCTATCCAGTTACTTTACGATGCAGGGTTGTCGGAAAATGAGTGTCGGACTGATATGCAGGCATATGTTTTACCACTTGCGGAGTTTATGCAGACTTACTTAGCTAAAAACCCGCAACCATCAGTAACGGTGGGTATATTAATAATGTGTGTTTTAAAACATGAGTCAGTTAAGAATTAATTCGCGCCACTAAATGTGTCCGGCTCGAAGGACCAAAATTAATTATTTTTTTCGTTACTGTATATAAGTAATATTTCATTTGGTTATAGCAAAATAAAAAGGGCAAATGGAATGGACATGTAAACAAAGTTTTGGACATTGAAGAAAACTTGTGTTGCCCAGAACTTGGCTTGAAGGGGAAAATTGATGCCACTCTAGAAGTTGCCATACATGAGAGAAAAGGTTTATATTTATTAATAAGTGACATAATGAATGTGTTGATTGATTAAAACTAATTATCTGGATGGTAATACTACGGTGAATGTAATATTTTTAGGAAATAAGCTGGAGACAGTGCCATTAGAGCTGAAAAGTGGTAAGGCGAGCGAGTCGGCAGAGCACAGAGGGCAACTGGTGCTTTATGGCATGATGCTGGCGCTGCAGCGAGGCGACAGCCCGGCGGTGGCGGAGCAGCGAGGATTACTGCTGTATTTGAAGTAAGTTGAAACAAATAAATAAGTGTAATTTTCATTATCATCGCTTAACTGGCTTCATCAATACTTGCATCAAACTTGCTTTACTCACTGCTGCCTGTTGCCACTGAATACATTATTTAATAATACAAAAAGAAAGCATGAAAATAAGTTTTCATATCAATAACTTGAGATAGAATGGGTTCGCCATTACTGACACTTTTAAGATTTATTTTGATCGCCAAGAAATCCACAGCACAATCCTAGCTAGAGACTAAACCTATGTCTATAGTCTGGTCTGCGAGCACGTAGAATTTTGTCCAATGACCCCAAGCTACCCATCCTTATCGCTCGCGCGTAATTATGTTATCGCACACTCACTGCGGGCGCCGCACAGCAATTTAATTATGCGCGAGCGATAAGGATGGGTAGCTTGGGGTAATTGCACAAAATTCTACGTGCTCACAGACCAGGCTTTATCACCAAAACTCATCAAAATCAGTTCAGCTGGTTAATATATTTTTATATTGATCGTAGGAACAGCGTGGAACTCCGCGAGGTGTCGTGTGGGTACCCCGAGCGACGCGATCTGATTCTGCTGAGGAATAATCTTGTCAAGAACCTCGCAGCCGGGCCGGAGGACGTTGACCCTGGTAAGGATTCGTAATAATAATAATCAAATTGGGGAAACCCTTTTTCATGCAATACTGAAAAAGGTGTGAATAGACTGTCACCCGTATTCAAAATCAAAAATCAAAATCAAAAATATTTATTCAGTTTAGACCACAAGTGGCACTTATGAACGTCAATAGAAAATAATAAAAAAAGAAAAAGGTAGCCCTTATGGGGCACTTTACATGTCTCCTTATCTTTTGGGCCCTACCAGCGATGCTTACTTGAGTCACAGCTTGAGTGAAGCATTAACGCTATACGAAGTCGAACGCACAGCGTTGAAAGCTCTGTGATTGGTTCGTGTGTGTCACTTCGTCACTCAAGTGTTATCTATGAATAGGTTTTTGGGACCCTGTGCGTCCATGCGCACTGTAAAGTTTGTGAATACGGGTATTTGTTTCCATAATACCTTACCATATTTAATCTTGCTGTGAGATGTTGTTATTAAATAAAAGAGGTATTGTTATCAATAATTTTACAGAACAGCTTGTGGACATAGAAGACGCGTCAGTGCTACTTCAGCAGAAGCTCCCAGGTCCTATACACCGCGAGAGCGTATGCTCCAAGTGCCCGTATCTTACGTTATGTTCTTTACACTTATGGTAAGTGTTATCATCGAGCGACGAAACCAAACATTTTTTAAACAAAAATTGACTACACCTGCATTTGTTTTATGATGTCGATTCTTTCAAAAAAAGTCCGACACTCCAATCTCAATGAAGCTAAACATCTGTCGAGTTTTTTCTTTTGAATGTATTGAAGAATACCTAATCTAATTCCAAATACCCGTACCCGAGGTAGATCTTTTCTTTCAATCATATCTATATAAATAAAAATGAATTGATGTTCGTTAGTCTGATTAAAACTCGAGAACGGCTGGGCCGATTGAGCTGATTTTGGTTTTAAAATGTTTGTCGTAGTCCAGGGTAGGTCTAAACGGTGAGCAAATACGCGCGCGATATTGTTTTTTGTGACAGACAAAATTCCACGCGGGCGAAGCCGCGGGCGGAAAGCTAGTTATAAATGAAAATATTTCTATATTTATAGGCACACAGACTGTCGATCCGTATCCGAGAGCCACCCGTTAAGCAAACTGCGCGAGTCAGCACTAGGCCACCTCACACCCGAGCACATCAAATACTTCTTACACTGGACAGCCCTACTGAAGATAGAAGAGAGAGGGCAGCTGGCTACCGCGCCCTTGCACGCGCTGTGGACTGACAGTGTGGAGAAGAGGTATGTGTTTGTATTAAAATACTTGACTCTACTTTTCAAATTGAGTACTCGCTAAGCAGCCTCAAAGGATCCGCGAGTCGGCTTTGGGCCACCTCACTCTTGCGCACATCAAGTACTTCTTACATTGATCAGTGCTACTGAAGACAGAAGCCCTTGCACGCGTTGTGGACTGACAGTGTCGAGAAGAGGCATGTGGTAATGTTATTAGTATAGTTGGAACTAATCCAAGAATTAGACATACTTGGGTCTAATTTAAGTAAGTTTAAAAAACAAATCCGGGATTTGTCTTGTGGCAACTAAATTGCGAGCGTCAGGTGATGTTTGCAGTTCGCTCCTTTATTAATTAGGTAGTTGATAATTTTTCTTTTGTCACTTTGTTTACTTTTTTTTATTTAAGTTTATATTTTTTACAACAAAATTTTATTCATAATGGTTTGCCCAACTTTATGTGTATAACGGGTGTAAAAAAACCTATCCCGAAGCCGAAGACTACTTATTCTCCACATCATGGGGATCATTTTTTTCTTTGTGACCATACCTGGGAAACTTGTGGTTTAGGAGATATTGAGGGTCAAAGTCAGAATATTTTTTTCAAGATTTTTACATTATCAATTTCAATTCGTTGTTTAAAATTTTTTTTTCTAAGAAACCTTATTAAAATTTTGAGTATTTTCGTCACAATAAGGCTTTTTTCTTTACAATAAGAAATGGACNTTAACATTAACCGTAGTTCGAGCTTTTACAGTAACATCAATAACTTGAGATAGAATGGGTTCGCCATTACTGACACTTTTAAGATTTATTTTGATCGCCAAGAAATCCACAGCACAATTCTAGCTAGAGACTAAACCTATGTCTATAGTCTGATCTGCGAGCACGTAGAATTTTGTCCAATGACCCCAAGCTACCCATCCTTATCGCTCGCGCGTAATTATGTTATCGCACACTCACTGCGGGCGCCGCACAGCAATTTAATTACGCGCGAGCGATAAGGATGGGTAGCTTGGGGTCATTGGACAAAATTCTACGTGCTCACAGACCAGGCTTTATCACCAAAACTCATCAAAATCAGTTCAGCTGGTTAATATATTTTTATATTGATCGTAGGAACAGCGTGGAACTCCGCGAGGTGTCGTGTGGGTACCCCGAGCGACGCGATCTAATTCTGCTGAGGAATAATCTTGTTAAAAACCTCGCAGCCGGGCCGGAGGACGTTGACCCTGGTAAGGATTCGTAATAATAATAATCAAATTGGGGAAACCCTTTTTCATGCAATACTGAAAAAGGTGTGAATAGACTGTCACCCGTATTTACAAACGATGCTTACTTGAGTGAAGCATTAACGCTATACGAAGTCGAACGCACAGCGTTGAATAGAGCTCTGTGATTGGTTGGATAGGTTTTGGGACCCTGTGCATCCACGCGCACTGTGAGACCTCATAGTAATGTTTGTGAATTCGTGTTTGTGTTTCATTCATAATCCTTACCTTACCATATTAATTTAGTCTAAAGGAAATGATTTCAATAATCTTACAGAACAGCTTGTGGATATAGAAGACGCGTCGGTTCTCCTTCAGCAGAAGCTCCCCGGTCCGATACATCGCGAGAGCGTATGCTCCAAGTGCCCGTATCTTACGTTATGTTCGTTACACTTATGGTAAGTTTTACAAAAGCAGACGTCGATTTTGAGAATCCCACATTCCTGTATTAGCACGGCTAATAGACTTCTGTCACAGAACAACGAAACCAAACATTTTAGAAACAAAAAATATGTTTATAAAGAAGCATCTCATTCCGTTGATCGTACAGTCTACCCAAAAAAGTCCGACGCTCCAATCTCAATTAAGCCAAGCATCAGTCGAGTTTTTTCTTTGAAATGTGTTAAAGATAGCTAATCTACCTACTTCCATATATGTATGTATACCTACTACACTCCACTATAGTGGAGGAGGCTCACAGTCCAGCAGTGGACTGTAAAGATCTGTTGATGATCATAATGGTATTTGTAGATCTTTTCTTTCAATCGTAATTAAATTAATAGGTATACTTTCATTTTTAAAGGCACACAGACTGCCGGTCCGTATCTGAGAGCCACCCGTTAAGCAAACTGCGCGAGTCAGCACTAGGCCACCTCACACCCGAGCACATCAAATACTTCTTACACTGGACAGCCCTACTGAAGATAGAAGAGAGAGGGCAGCTAGCTACCGCGCCCTTGCACGTGCTGTGGACTGACAGTGTGGAGAAGAGGTATGTGTTTGTATTAAAATACTTGACTCTACTTTTCAAATTGAGTACTCGGTAAGCAGCCTCAAAGGATCCGCGAGTCTGCTTTGGGCCACCTCACTCTTGCGCACATCAAGTATTTCTTACATTGGTCAGTGCTACTGAAGATAGAGGCCCTTGCACGCGCTGTGGACTGACAGTGTCGAGAAGAGGCATGTGGTAATGTTATTAGTATAGTTGGAACTAATCCAAGAATTAGACATACTTGGGTCTAATTTAAGTAAGTTTAAAAAACAAATCCGGGATTTGTCTTGTGGCAACTAAATTGCGAGCGTCAGGTGATGTTTGCAGTTCGCTCCTTTATTAATTAGGTAGTTGATAATTTTTCTTTTGTCACTTTGTTTACTTTTTTTTATTTAAGTTTATATTTTTTACAACAAAATTTTATTCATAATGGTTTGCCCAACTTTATGTGTATATTTAACTGTGGAAACTTAATTGGTTTATGTGTTTTCTTACTGCACCTAAGTTAAATTATATTGTAACTGTATGTTTCCCAAAAATAAATAAATAATTCTTTGACATAATACTACAACCCGGTAGAGTTAACTGCGCAACTGGCGGCCGTGACGTCATATCGACGCTCTGGTACGAACGCGAATGGGGCGAACGCGGGGGTGTGCGGGTAAGTGGGAGGGAGAGTCGCATTCCAACGAGGTGTGCAGTAAGCTCGATCGGATTGTATTTATAAACCTTTAAGAACCAAATTCCCTCGTAGAACTTATGTCGTCATTGTTTGCCAATCACATTGACTATTTTTAGGGAAAAACGAGGTACCTGTACATCCAATTTGTTTCTGAAGTCTGTACAAGAATCTGGCGATAGATATCTCCATGTGTTCCTAAGGAAAATGGAAAGTAAGTGTTTGAAATAAAACGTAATAATGCCTGTCTGTTTAATAAATTATGTGTCATATTTTTTACTTTTTTTATAAAATGTTGTAGATTCACAAAGTGTAAAAAGTATAGAATCCAAAGGACCCCAAGAAGGTGAATTTTCCATAGTGAGCATAGAAAAAAGACCGTGGATTGCTGCTGGAGTAATCTCGCTCTTAAAAGACAACGAAATCCACATGCTTCTAGAAAGGTAATCACGAATAATTCCTATACTTTTTGTGTGGGGAACTTAGGTTTGTGTTTACGTAACTGTTACCATATAATAAGGATGTTTTTTCCAGAGACCTAAGCCGTAGAATGCCTAAAAGCACTAAATTCCACATAGACACATACGAATCGTACGCAACTACTGTACAGAATTTGACCAACTTAGGTGTTTTAATGGATGACAGCGAAAGAGCACAAAGGCTAAGGAGGTGAGAGGTTTTATATCATCTTTTTTAACTTTATGTTGAATGAGTCAAGATTTTCAGTACAGCACCTTGCGTCAAGTTGTAAGCGTGACTGTAACATATTCTGTCGCATTAAAACCCTAACTGCATCGAAGTCAGAGATAAAATAAGGCGGGACTAGCCACTCGGTTACAAATCCGTCAATATAACTTTTTCAGAAGGTTTTCTGACGTGGCCTTAAGGCGCACAAGACATCCTTTGATGTATTTAATTTGTTTTCAGTTTGATAATAGACAAGGACGTCCCGTTATACGAGACCAAACAGCCTCGCGAGGTGGGCCGGCTGGGCAGCAAACTAATGCGCGGCCTCAACATCGAGCAGCAGCGCGCCGTGCTGCGGGCGCTGGCGGCGCGCCACTACGCGCTGCTGCGGGGCCTGCCGGGCACCGGTGAGTGTGTAGCGACGCGGGCGCGGGCTGGGACGCGAGGAGCCGCGAGTGGGCCGGCTGGCAGCCAGCTGATGCGCGGCCTCAACATCGAGCAGCAGCGCGCCGTGCTGCGGGCGCTGGCGGCGCGCCACTACGCGCTGCTGCGGGGCCTGCCGGGCACCGGTGAGTGTGTAGCGACGCGGGCGCGGGCTGGGACGCGAGGAGCCGCGAGTGGGCCGGCTGGCAGCCAGCTGATGCGCGGCCTCAACATCGAGCAGCAGCGCGCCGTGCTGCGGGCGCTGGCGGCGCGCCACTACGCGCTGCTGCGGGGCCTGCCGGGCACCGGTGAGTGTGTAGCGACGCGGGCGCGGGCTGGGACGCGAGGAGCCGCGAGTGGGCCGGCTGGCAGCCAGCTGATGCGCGGCCTCAACATCGAGCAGCAGCGCGCCGTGCTGCGGGCGCTGGCGGCGCGCCACTACGCGCTGCTGCGGGGCCTGCCGGGCACCGGTGAGTGGTGCACTGTTCTATGACATAGGTGAAGTCAAATCTCTCAGTCAATTGTTTTCTTTTTTTTGTAATTTAATTATGTTGGTTGGAGAGTCAACCGCTGAAAACCAGCGTCGGGGCACGCGTGGCTCGATTAATGCTGAGCGGGCGCCTTTTTGGCACAAAATATACGTGTATAGTTTTAAGTCCCTTTGTTCTGTTTTTTGTTTTCTTTTTGTGACAAATAAAGTTTTTCTTATTCTAAATCTTACAAATCAAAACTTGTGCGAGTACAAGGAGCAGATGCCCGACCGACGCGAGTCTGCTCCAGCGACGACCACCCGCCTTTTAATGTAGTTTCAGGACCGTGGCTTACGCATGCCGAGTGCATCGTGGAATTCCGTTGCACGCGTCCGCGCCACACTGCTCATACTATTCCGATGGGCGCATGCGCAAGTTTTAGCATACACCCTAAGGCCCGGTTTCCAATGAGGCGGAGCGGAACAGAGAAGTGTTTTGAATAACCAATCAGATTCCTTGGTTTTCTAAATAATGAAATCTGATTGGTTATTCAAAACACTTATCCGCTCTGCCTTGGTGGAAACCGGGCCTTAATCTGCATTTTTTCAAAGAACTGTAGATTTTTTGTAGATCCACACGTGCTATCAATAATGGCACCACAAGCTTTATGTCTATTATGATGTAGCGTCAGCGTATACTGCATTTGTTTATTAGACAAAACACAGTAGGTCGCGCGTCACGACTGACGCACATCTTATTAGTATATAAGCAGTTAATAATTAATAAACTACGCTCTTGATTATCGCACACGCATCCAGCTGTTTCATTTGTCGTCTCCCTGCTCAGGAGCCAAATTGGTGACCCCGACGTGATGTGTTTTGTCTAATAAACAAATGCAGTATACGCTGACGCTACAATGTTGTGTGGTCGTAGGTAAAACGCAGACGTTGAGCGTGCTGATACAAATGGCGGTGGCGCTGAAGATGCGGGTGCTTGTGACGGCGCACACGCACTCGGCCGTCGACAACTTGCTTGCCAGGTAGTTAATCAAAGATGAGGCAAATATTACAGCACCTTATGTAGTTGAAATTAGGTTCTATTTTGCATTAAAAATGTAGTCTGATTTGCTAGCGACTGTACTTCATAAAACAAAAGTGTAATGCCCGTTTCACATCAATCCTTAATTTTTAAGTGACCCCTATGAAAACAAAATGCCTGTTATGTCTTACCATAGGGGTCACTTAAAAATTATTAAATTGATGGTGTAAACGGACATAAATCGATTAAATAACTAAATTGCATCGTATATCAACTGCATTTGGACATTATTCGCTCGAAATTCTTTGGTGTTGCGTCACCTGAAGCATAAAGTTGTATAATTTTGCAGGCTGCCGAAAACCATCCGTATAATGAGACTGGGCCCCAAGTCACGAGTGGCGGCGAACTTATCGCACTGCTGCGAGCAGGAACTAGCCGTCAAGTGTGAGACGCCCGAAGACCTTGAGAAACTCTACGACTCTATGGTAAGCAAATTATTTTCTTTATTTTTTTGTTTTATTCTGCATTTTGCAATCGGTTTTAAAATGCAATTTTTTTTTCTGATGCTGCCACTAATCTATTTTTATTACAGGAGGTAGTTGGAGTGACGTGCTTAGGAGCATCTCACACCATGCTGTCGCGAACGACCTTCGATATGTGCATTGTTGATGAAGCGACTCAGGTGATAATGAGAGCTAACTTCTTGTTTTATAAAATAAATGATATTGGACCTTATTTCTATCTCTATAAGAGCCAATGTGTGTTAATCTGTATTATTTTCAGGTCCTCCAAAGTACAGTTCTGAGGCCCTTGTTTGCTGCGAAGCGTTTCGTTCTGGTGGGAGACCCGGACCAACTGCCCCCAGTCGTACGGAGCAGAGCTGCCAGGTATTATATTTTCACTAAGTCTTATACTTAGCTCAAAGCTTAATAGTATAGCAGACCTCAAATATTCATTTTTAGTATTTTTCTGATTCAACGATTGTGGTAGCAATATTTCTTTGCAAAACTGGTTTTTTGGCGGTCTCTAGGTCTACTGCAGTGGATTAATCAAAATAGGCATGCTTTTCAATTTGTCGACCATATATTTACATCAATAGGATTATGCATGGTCAGCAACATGTCATTAAAGCTTATTGATAAGCATTTAGTTTTTATTTATGGTGGAAATTGGTTGTTTTAGGCGACTGGGCATGGAAGAGAGTTTATTCCACCGTCTCATGAGCGATGCAGCCACGTCGACTTTGGCATTACAGTACCGCATGAACGCGCCGCTGGCCGCGCTCGCCAACACCGTCGCTTATGGCGGCAAGCTGCTCTGNTGCACTGTTGTATGACATAGGTGAAGTCAATTGGTTTCTCTTTTTTGTAATTTAAAATGTTGGTTGGAGAGTCAACCGCTGAAAACCAGCGTCGGGGCACGCGTGCATGCACGCGTGGCTCGATTAATGCTGAGCGGGCCCCTTTTTGGCACAAAATATACGTGTATACTTTTAAGTCCCTTTGTTCTGTTTTTTGTTTTATTTTTGTGGCAAATAAAGTTTTTCTTATTCTTATTCTAAATCTTACAAATCAAAACTTGTGCGAGTACAAGGAGCAGATGCCCGTCCGATGCGAATCTGCTCCAGCGACGACCACCCGCCTTTTAATGTAGTTTCAGGACCGTGGCTCACGCATGCCGAGTACATCGTGGAATTCCGTTGCACGCGTCCGCGCCACACTGCTCATACTATTTTTCGATCCGCGTCCGGGCGCACGCGCAATTTTTAGCGTACACCCTAAGGCCCGGTTTCCAATGAGGCGGAGCGGAACAGAGAAGTGTATTGAATAACCAATCAGATTCATTGGTTTCCTGAATAATGGAATCTGATTGGTTATGCAAAACACTTATCCGCTCTGCCTTAGTGGAAACCGGACCTTAATCTCCTTTCAAAGAACTGTAGATTTTTTTGTAGATCCACACGTGCTATCAATAATAGCACCACAAGCTTTATGTTTATTATGTTGTGTGGTCGTAGGTAAAACGCAGACTTTGAGCGTGCTGATACAAATGGCGGTGGCGCTGAAAATGCGGGTCCTTGTGACGGCACACACGCACTCGGCCGTCGACAACTTGCTGGCCAGGTAGTTAATGAAACTCAAAGTTCTTTTATTTGCATGGACTATTACTGTAAATGACTCTTAAGTGTTTATAAAACATATATTTTGTCTTATTTTCATAGATAAATAGCAATAACATAATATAAATTAAATAGGTACCTACTTAAATACAAGATAAAATTTTACCGATTACGTCACCTATTAAGTTACAAGATTCTACGCAATTGGTTTTAAGGGTGATACTGGTGGCATTCTGAAATGCTAAAGAAGCAAAAAACGGATTATCAGTACCTCAATAAAAAGAACTCTAACTGATTATCAGTCCCTCAACAAAAATATTCTTTTTTTATTTTGGCCAGAGGACCTCGTATTTTTGTTGTACAATTTTTAACTCAAACTTCAGATTAAATTTATCTTACAAACAGATACACAGTCACATATACAGACATACATACAGTCATACAGACAGATAACAAAAATACCCTTATTTATTTATTGATGTACTGATCTCTACTTACCACGTATAATTTATTAGTTATTAGGGTGGTTTCATGCGAATTTGAAGAAAATATTTCACCCCCAAGGGTGGAAAATTGGGGATGAACTTTTTTATATGCAATATCTCCGCCGATTATGAACCAATTTTTTTTGGTCTCAGTGTACTGCCTACCTTCAGTGGTAACATCAAGGTAATAATTAGTTAACTAAAAAGCAAGAAATAAGTAAAATTTTATAAAAAAAAATAAAACCGACTCCAAAAAACCTATACTAAAACGTAGAAAAATAATTACTAATTACCTACTTATTTATTAGGACGAATTATTAATATTTATGTAGGTATACCATGATTGATACTTCGCCAACGACGCGGTCGCTCGAGCCCGCCTGGACGTCGACTTGCAGGCAAGTATATGACGTCACACCTGCAGGCGATAGAAGAGAGTCTATAGCGACTGGTTACGTCACGCTAGCGCTGCAGTACCGAATGAACGCGCCACTAGCCGCGCTTGCTAACACCGTCGCGTATGACGGCAAGCTGCTCTGCGCCAACGACGCGGTCGCTCGAGCCCGCCTGGACGTCGACTTGCAGGCAAGTATATGACGTCACACCTGCAGGCGATAGAAGAGAGTCTATAGCGACTGGTTACGTCACGCTAGCGCTGCAGTACCGAATGAACGCGCCACTAGCCGCGCTTGCTAACACCGTCGCGTATGACGGCAAGCTGCTCTGTGCCAACGACGCGGTCGCTCGAGCCCGTCTGGACGTCGACTTGCAGGCAAGTAGGTATATGACGTCACACCTGCAGGCGATAGGAGAGAGCCAATAACGACCCGGCCTGCAGTACCGCATGAACGTACTACTGGCCGCGCACACACCTGTTATTTAAATAAAATAGTTTTTATAGACTACTAGCTGACCCGGCGAACTTTGTTCCGCCTTAATGGCAATAAATAAGCAGACTTTTTTTTTTAATTTCGAACGGGATAAAAAGTATCCTATGTCCTTCTCCTGGCTCTAAACTACCTCCCTGACAATTTTCAGCTAAATCGGTTCAGCCGTTCTTGAGTTATAAGCGAAGTAACTAACACGACTTTCTTTTATATATATAGATACCAAGCCACACAATGGAATAAAATTACTCTGCTTTGTTTATACCTATTTTTAATTTTGTTTGCAGAAAATATCCGAGGTAGCCACTTATCCCTGGCTATCGCAAGCTTGCAGTCCAGAGGCGGATGACGCGGCTGTCTTCTTAGACATACAAGTCAACGCGCCCACGCATTCAAGGAGCTGCGCGAATGGCGACGAGGCGAGCGTGGTGCTGGCTTTGGTCAATGCACTTGTCAAGGTATTTTGATTCTTTTGTGTACTTTATTTATGAAACCGGGACTTAAAATCTCGGAGGTGGCCACTTGACCCTGGCTATGAGTCTTCTATAGCTTGTAGCCCAGTGTCATTGTTTTCTTTAATTATTTTTAACCCCTAGGGCGGCGTGAAACCGACTAACATCGGCGTAATAGCACCGTACAGAGACCAAGTGTCCCTTCTCCGGCGAACTGTGGGACCTCTCGGCGTGGAAGCCAGCACTGTGGACCAGTTCCAAGGACGGGACAAGGACGTCATCGTGTACTCGTGCACGAGGCAATACCAGCCGGACGGCGATAGGGAGGTTAAGGTTAGTAAGTAATTAGGTAATCAGTAATATGCATTATCTATACTAAGGATTGTATTTTGAAAAGACGGTAAAACCAGATTTTGATTCAAACAAAAATTCAAATCTGTGATTGGTTTCATAGGGTTCAATTTCCTTTGTCCTCCAGGAAGGCGAGGTCCTGAACGACAAGCGGCGCCTAGCCGTGAGCGTGACGCGCGCGCGACACAAGTTCATCGTCGTGGGCGACTCCCGCGCACTTCGCCGCTACGAGTCTCTACACCGCATGCTTCAAGCCTGTAAACCTGTGTGCATACCACCCGCTGACCTGAGACAAGTCGTAGATCGATACAGGACGGTGTGAGAAAAGAAAGGCGAGGTCAAATGACAAGCGGCGCTTAGCCGTGAGCGTGACGCGCGCGACACAAGTTCATCGTCGTGGGTGACTCCCGCGCGCTTCGCCGCTACGAATCTCTACACCACATGCTCCAGGCCTGCAAGCCCATGTCCATACCGCCCGCTGACCTCAAGCTTGTCATAGATCAATACAGGGTGGTTTCGTGAGGTTAAGAAGATGAGGTCTAATGACAAGCGGCGCGTAGCCGTGGGCGGGACAAGCTAAGATCATGGGCGAGTCTATCAACGTCAATAAGACTGAAACTGGTTGTATTCGAATTTAAACTCGCTTGAACCTATCCTCGAGTATCCTGAAATATTAAGAACTTTCAATTATGTATCTCCTACACGTTGTCAATTATATTATTATGTAGTTCATTTTTTAATATTTTGTTGATCATGATTTTGGAGTAGACTATGTTTATTTAATTTTTAATAATAGCATAATGTATATTTTATGTAAGTAGCTATAATCATTTCAAGTACAATTTACACGTGCCTTATACATATACATGTGTTTTAGTATGAAGTGTATGTATATTTGCTAAGTATGTGTTCTTGAGTCAATTGATATGCTCTTAAGTTTCAGACTGTTATTGTAAATGAAATGTATGGTATGGAAAAGTAAATTGTATCAATAAGTAGGTGTTTTCTTTATTCTAGCGACGATAATCCATATTGTACCGTATATCGAAGATAATAAGTACATTTTACATGTATCTTCTAGTGTTGACCTAGAGGAAATAACTTTCAAACTGCACGCGGTATTCAAAACCTTGAGATTCTTTGGCACATGTGGCCGCATTGCTATACCATTTAATTTTGTTAGGTTGCCTTTCTGAGATCTGTCAGGCAATTTTGACAGTTCACAGATAATAAATATTTACATACGACCCCGAACTGCGGGTGTTTATTTTCATTATCTAAAAAATATTTTATTCTCCTAACGAATGTTATCAGTGTGATGTAATTAAGTTCTCGCGTAATTAACGATTCAAGAAGTAAATTGTTTATCGTGTTTGTCACATTTTTCCGGCCTTAGCGGCATTGCGACGTCGGTAAGTGGTGCCAGAACTATTTTAGTTGCTAAAACTTTTACTTTTGTGTTCTAAATTAAAACAATTGAATTAAAAAACTATCTATTGCTTACCCTACTTATTTATTTAAAGTACTGGCCTCGTGGCATTGTGTAGAACCAAGAAAACCAATCTTGTTTTAACCTATTTTTATAATTTAAAGATTATGTTTTAATTATTTGTTTAAATACTTTCAGGGTTTGTAGAATATTCAAAAATGGTTAAAGCGGTGGCAGTGATAACTGTCAGTGATACTTGCTTTAAAGATCACTCAAAAGATACCTCGGGGCCCACCCTCGCAAATCTTGCAAGAAAATCATTTCCTGAAGCGAACATACACACACTCATCATCCCTGATGAGAAGGAGCTTATTGAACGGGAGCTAAAGTACTACTGTGATTCAAATGTTGAGCTAGTACTGACCACCGGAGGCACCGGCCTTGCCCACAGAGATGTCACCCCAGAAGCTACGAAGGCTGTCATTCAAAAAGATGTCCCAGCGATTACTGCAGCCATTACAATCGAAAGTCTTAAAAAAACACCAATGGCAATGCTATCTCGGTCCGTAGCAGGGATAAGAGACAAGACCCTCATAATAAATTTTCCGGGCAGTAAGAAAGCTGTAACAGAATGTTTCGAAGTGGTACATCCTGTATTATCTCATGCTATATCGCTGCTCCAAAATGATCTGAGTGAAGTGAGGACTATTCACGATTCCATGCAATTTGGCAACACCTGTCCCCATCACAGTAATGTGGATATTAGTAAAGTGGCATTAAGACCCCGGGAGTCACCGTTCCCCATGTTGGAAATGTCCGAAGCATGGGAACTAGTAAACAGCATAATGGAGCAGTGGCCTGAACACTTTGAAATGGTTTCTCTAGAGGAGGGACTGGGAAGAGTGGTAGCACAACCATTACGTGCTATGGAACCTATGCCGCCTTTTGAAGCTTCAGTAAAAGATGGTATGTAAATATGGCATTTTGTTTACAACAACAAACATTTCGTAACTTTTAAGTAATGTAGCTGTGGTAATACCTATTTATCAACAGCAAACAGTAATTTGTTCCGCTAGCTAAGCAATTTTAGTTTACACATGTGACAATAGCACACTCATTTGTATTGTATGACTGTGAATCTAGTAGGTAGTTAGTTAGGCTTATTTTCCTTTTATTTGTTTTTTATGAATACACTGTTAGCAAGATAAAAAAATTCTCATACTGATAGTAAAAATAATTGTGCATTTACTTCATTTGTAGCTGTACTATACTAAAAAATTAATATTCTCTTAATTAAGTATACAAATAGGTAATGCTTAAATACTGATAGGATGTTGTTAATCGTTTTCTTATATTCACCTACCAAACCTATCATCACAAACTACCTACGCTTATTACTGTAGGTAGATTATAGCTAGTTCATACAGGGCATTACCAAATGAATAGTTCATTTGGTAGGCTAATATTGAATTTTTTTATGAGGATTAGAGGAATAGTTATTCTCTCTTAAGACATACACTTTTTTTTCATGTCGCTAATGATACTGAACTGCCACTACTACCTACACAAATCTATTCTACAATATTATAAATGTGTAAGTAACTCGGTCTGTCTTACTTTCACGCGTATAACGCTGAACCGATTTTGATGAAATTTGGCATAGAAATAGTTTGACTCCCGGAAAAGGACATAGGATAGATTTTATCCCGGTTTTTGAATCAGGGACGCGCGCGAGAAAGTTTTTCTGTGACAAACAAAAACTACAACTACTACTAAAACGTTTGTTTTTATTTGTAAGAGAACAATAGTGTCTAGACAAACCTAAAGAGGATTTAGGACGCTATTTGGATAAAATATGTAATTTGCTCATTAATGAATAATAAATAAATAAATAAATAAAAATCTACGCGGGCGAAGCCGCGGGCGGAAAGCTAGTGTTAAATAGTTTTTTCACTGCAGGCTACGCATGTATCAGCTCAGACGGGGCGGGCGTGCGGCGCGTGCGCGCGGCGCTGACGGCGGGCGAGGCGCCGACGACGCCGCTGCTGGCCGGCGAGTGCGCGCGGATCAACACCGGCGCCGCGCTGCCCTCGGGCGCCGACTGCGTGGTTCAGGTCCGATCATCATCATCATCATCATCATTTCAGCCATAGGACGTCCACTGCTGAACATAGGCCTCCCCCAATGCTTTCCACGTTAATCGTTTGGTAGCGGCCTGCGTCCAGCGCTTCCCTGCTACCTTTATGATGTCGTCGGTCCACCTTGTAGGTGGACGTCTCACGCTGCGTTTTCCGGTACGCGGCCCCATTACAAAACCTTGCTGCCCCATCGGCCGTCAGTTCGGCGTACTATGTGCCCTGCCCATGCCCATCAGGTTCGATACTTGGATTTCTTTTTTTTTCATTCTTTCTCTGAATTAAAATAAATTACTAAAATGTCACCTAAAATTAAAACTTGCGGTGGATGCTTTAGGAAGATATAGAATAAGCGGAGGTCTTTGATGTGTACGTGTCAAAAACACTATGACTTGAATAATGCCGGTCTCATTGAACAGCGGTTCCGTAGCACATTGTTTCGCAAGCTTAGGGACAGGTGATGCGTCGCCTGGAGCACGTTAGCTCAAGCGACACACCAACAAGGGGCGCCTCTGCCGCGAGCTCCTTCAGCCTGGACGCTTCGATTCTGGAGCAGCTTAGACACTTGGCGCTGTCCAGTACTCCTGACGCTGGATCTGTCGGCCTTCCAGATCCCTATCATCGGGCTGCGGAAGCTTCGCAACGAGATGCGGCAGTTCCGCATTGAGATGCGGGAGAGTATGAGGACTATATGCGCTGAGCTCGATGCTATGCGGCGCGAGATGCGGAAGCCGACGGGACGAGTGGCGTGCTGCGAGGACAAGGTCTGATCCTTTGAGAAGCGTCTGCATAATGTCGACCAGGCATTGATACGGGTCGTGTCTGACCCTGAGCTCAACGAGTGGGACCTGGAGGCACTGCTTGCGGTCCTAGAGATCGGTCATCTCCCGGAGAATAAGCGGGATAGCGTCCCAGCAGGGCATGGCGCTAGACTAGCAGGACTTCGTATTAGCCAAGCGTGTGGACGTTCATCGCGTTGCGCACGCGTCTTCATAATGAGAGGCTGACTGGTCTTAACTGTCAGCTCTTCCACCGTATGCACGAAGGGTGCCGCAGGTTGCAGTAGCGGTACCTCTTGGACGAGGAGGGGTAGAATATTCGCTCCATACGATGGCATATTAGCTCTGATCGATGGGGGATCTTGAAAGAGTGTCTTCCGCCGAGTTGATTGTCGATCTGCAATGCATCATTACTCTTTATTTATTTTATACTTTACTAATTTTATCAATGCTGCAATATCACGCTATTTCACCTGCAGCTAGTCATAAAATCTAACGACTGTTTCTCAATGGCAGGGTGACATTTCAGGTCCGGCTCGAAGGATCACACAAATCGTGTAATCTGCCGTTACCGATTGTTTTTTCTACTTTTCTCCAGGTGGAAGATACAAAGCTAGTATCAGCTACTGAAGATGGCAGTACCGAGTTGGAGGTGGAAATAATGGTAGCGCCGTCAGCACAGCAAGACGTCCGCCCCATCGGTTCCGATGTGCCCATGGGAACTGTTTTGGTTTCTAAAGGTGATTATTTTTATTAGTTTTCTTTGTAATAGTGTTGAGGAAAGTTGAATAACCATGTTTTTTTGTAGGTGACGTATTGGATGCAGCTCAAATCGGTGTACTGGCTGGAGCAGGCTACCAGAATGTCACTGTACGAGGATATCCAAAGGTATCGTAATAAAAATCGCATCTATTACATCATACCAAGAACCATATTTATTGCTAACAAGAACAACATACAAAACTTCTGTAATATCTTTTTACCTCTAGGTATTTTTCCATAGCTCGTTAAAATAAAAAGAAAAAGTAGATAAGGGTTTATCAGCTAGTAGGCCAAGGTGGCAAAACCTCGACGAAGGTTATTGATTGTTTAGGTACTGACATGTTTTTATGACCTTGGTTGATATTAGTTGATACAAATTGTTATAGGTGGCGCTAATGTCGACGGGTAACGAACTGCAGGAGCCGTCGGAGACGAAATTGAGACCGGCGCATATCAGGGACTCCAACAGAACCATGCTCAAAACTTTGCTGAGGTACACTACGAGCTGACACATTTTTTACGGGAACTGTTACCATTAGAGTACATAGTAACATAATAGAAATACATAATCCATTTACTCACTTTAAGGCCATTATTATTCTATCACACTGCTCCGCGCTTGGCCGTGACATGGGCGGCCGCAAAGTATTTTTTTAAATTTTGTACATAGGCCTTTCCAGTTCGCTTATACATGTCCCAAATATAACTTACCCTACTACTACTACGGGGCAACATATACGCTCGTATTCACAAACGATGCTTGCTTAAGTGACGCAGCAAATGAAATGCACAGCGTTGAATAGAGCTCTGTGATTAGTTCGTGTGTCACCCTGTGCGTCCACGCGCACCGTGAGACCTCATAGTAATGTTTGTGAATACGGGCGATATGGGCTGGTGCTAAGAAGAACGGAAGAAACTCAGTCATCATCAAATAAGGGTGTAGCTTAAAGTTGTCGATGTTTACAGAGAGCACGGCTACGAGAGCATAGACTGCGGCATCGTCCGCGACTCGCCGGAACAGTTAGCGGGCGCGTTAGCCGCAGCCCTGCGCGCCGCCGACGTGCTCGTGTGCTCCGGCGGCGTGTCCATGGGCGAGCGGGACCTGCTCAAGCCCGTGCTGCTTAAGGTACTGGACCAGCGTTGCCAGTTTTTTTTTTCGCCAAGTCGGGACTTTGGTACTTTTTGAAAATAGCGGGATTCTTCCGTCAAAAGCGGGACATAGTAAAAAAACGTATATACTCGTAATCAAAGGTTTTCAAATATTTCTCTTTTTATTTGACTTAAAATTACGTTTACGTGACAATAGATAGCAAAAGTAGCCATAGAAAATGTATTTTAACAAAAAAATAATATTTAAAATCAGATTTACTGTATCGTTAAATTCGTCTTTAGAATAAAAAAAGAAAAAATTAAAAAAGTTTTATTCTTTAGAATAATATGGCGTTTCAAACAATAGTCTGGTGAAGTGAGTGTCTCTCTCCGAAAAGCGGGACCGAGCCTGTCCCGCGCGGGACATTTAAATTTGATCAAAAAATCGGGACGTCCCGCCAAAATCGGAACGTCTGGCAACGCTGTACTGGACATAAGGCCGGGTTTACTTTGGACTGCGGCATCGTCCGCGACTCGCCGGAACAGTTAGCGGGAGCGTTAGCCGCAGCCCTGCGCGCCGCCGACGTGCTCGTGTGCTCCGGCGGCGTGTCCATGGGCGAGCGCGACCTGCTCAAGCCCGTGCTGCTTAAGGTACTGGACATAAGGCCGGGTTTACTTTGGACTGCGGCATCGTCCGCGACTCGCCCGAGCAGCTGGGACCTGCTCAAGCCCGTGCTGCTTAAGGTACTGGACATAAGGTTGGTTTTACTTTGGACTGCGGCGTCGTCCGGACTCGCCGGAACAGCTAGCGGGCGCGTTAGCCGCAGCCCTGCGCGCCGCCGACGTGCTCGTGTGCTCCGGCGGCGTGTCCATGGGCGAGCGGGACCTGCTCAAGCCCGTGCTGCTTAAGGTACAGGACATAAGGCCGGGTTTACTTTGCTAACTTAATATAGTAATAATAATTGACAGCACTAGTCAATGAGGGCTATCTAGCGCTCACCAGTTGGTACTACAGTAGAGTAAGGTCACTGACTTACTTGTGGCGAAGACAGTGACACTAATGAGGGCCATCGTTTTAGCGCTCACCAGTTGGCGCCATTGTAGAGTAAGGTCCTGTCACTTGCTAGTAGCGAAGACAGTGGCGCCGGCTGGTGAGCGCTAAAGTGGTAGGAGGACTATCGCATTTGCACTCATCAAGATGGCGCCACTGTAGAGTAAGGTCCTGTCAATCGCCAGGGGTGCCAACTGTTAAGTATAAAAACGATAGCCCTCATTGGCGAGTGCTGAAGTGGTGGGAGAACTATCGAATTTGCACTCCAGGATGGCGCCACTGTAGAGCAGGCTCATATTCGCCAGTGGTGCCATCTGTTAAGCATAAAACCGAGAGCATAGACTGCGGCATCGTGTCCATGGGCGAGCGGGACCTGCTCAAGCCCGTGCTGCTTAAGGTACTGGACATAAGGCCGGGTTTACTGTGATAACTTAATATAGTAATAATTATAATAATTGACAGCACTAGTCAAAGAGGGCTATCTAGCGCTCACCAGTTGGTACTACAGTAGAGTAAGGTCACTGACTTACTTGTGGCGAAGACAGTGACGCTAATGAGGGCTATCGTTTTAGCGCTCACCAGTTGGCGCCACTGTAGAGTAAGGTCCTGTCACTTGCTAGTAGCGAAGACGGTGGCGCCAGCTGGTGAGCGCGAAAGTGGTAGGAGGACTATCGCATTTGCACTCATCAAGATGGCGCCACTGTAAAGTAAGGTCCTGTCAATCGCCAGGGGTGCCAACTGTTAGGTAAAAAAACCGAGAGCATAGACTGCGGCATCGTGTCCATGGGCGAGCGGGTCCTGCTCAAGCCCGTGCTGCTTAAGGTATTGGACATAAGGCCGGGTTTACTTTGCTGACTTATAGTAATAGTGGTGAAGACAGTGGCGCCAATGGTAAGCGCTGAAGTGGTAAGAGAATTTTATTATCGCATTTGCACTCACCAAGCAGGATGGCGTCATTGTAGAGTAGGTTCATATTCGACAGTGGTGTTAACTGTTGAGTATAAAAACGATAAAACGTTGAAATGGAACGCGAAAGTTTATAATCTTATAAAACGATAGCCCTCGAGTTAGACATTATGAGCTTTCAAAAAGCGCCCCTACAATTTTTGCATGTCAATGAGCAACGCAAAAAGTTAGTTTACAGTTCTGTTACTTTGATTCATATTGTTTTCAGGACTTCAATGCGACCATTCATTTCGGTAGAGTGCGGATGAAGCCTGGCAAGCCCACAACGTTTGCTACGTGTGAATTCGAAGGAAAAACCAAATACATATTCGCATTGCCAGGTGAGTTACACATCAAAATATTCCTTGTTAAATCACCAATCAAAAATAGTATAAAGTAGTTTAGTAAAGAAGACAAAGGCCCAGTTTTTTGATTCACAGTTAATAAAATAACTAATTGTTAAATTTTACTACTAATGGTTAAAAGTTAACAAAATGTAAACTAATAGTTAAAAAATGTACTAAAACTCCAGTTATAGTTCCAAAATACTGAACTGTCCTATCCATGACATTGACAGTGGGGCGCCACCGTCAATACCGGATCGCTGGTTCCGATTTTTGCCATGTTGGAAACCATATAGTTGAACGATGGTAGTGCCCCTCTGTCATTGAGTTTGGTGGGACAGTTCAGCGTGGGTCATCTATAACCATTGCTCGAAAAACATATTTTTTTGTTATTTAACCACTTGTCATTTGACATCTGTCAAATTTGACTATTGACTCTGGGCCTAAGTTGTGCATAATTTCTGTCCCTATACAGGCATGAAAACATGACTGGGGATTAAAATGAAAATGTTTTTCTCCCAGGTAACCCCGTATCAGCCTACGTATGCTGCCTGCTATTCGTGATTCGCGCGTTACGCGTGTGCTGCGGCCGGCCCGCGCCCTCGCCGCGTATGCGCGTGCGCCTCGCACACGCGGTCACGCTCGACCCGCGTCCTGAATACGCGCGCGCTACGCTTAAGTTCCCGGAGAGCGACGACTTGCCTATGGCCTCGCTGCTGGGCAGCCAGGTAAGATAAATGATATTGAACACGTGGAGATAACTAAGTTTCTTTAATTAACTAGACTACGACTATGGCATGGCATCCAACACAATATTAGATTGACATTCTTAATCATAGAGTTCGAGGTCTCTATGAACCTGTGAAAAGGTATCGAAACGGTTTCTTTAGAACCATTAGGTAGATACGAACGTCCTAATATGTCTTGGTCATGTTTCGCGCATTTCCTACACAGTGTCTCTACACTGCAGCAAGCTTATACCCGTGCGCTCATTAATCTCAAGTGTTCAGTCACCAAGTCCTCACTGCTATATTCCGCCCACAGTGCAGCAGCCGGCTTCTAAGCGCGTGCGGCGCGAGCGTACTAGTCCAGTTGCCGGGCGCTTCCGACGCGACCCGCGCGCTGCCCGCCGGCGCCACCCTCTCGGCTCTTATCACCGGCCGCCTGGATGTACTGTCTTCTTAGCTCTAACGGTCTACGAAATAACGCTCTGGACCTCCGCTAAAACTAGCCCGGGCGAAAAATAGGTATATTCCTCTTTGATCACCCACATTGGCGTATCTAGGCTTCTTTTTTAGGGGTCGCCATCATCCTTCACCAAGCCATTCCGAGGGGGAGATAAACGCGCGAGTTTTAGCGGAGGCCCTCAAAGATCTAATAGTTTCCACTCAATGGCGGCTTTGAAATTAGTTAGCATCTATTACTTTAACTTTTCGTGAAGCGTTAGAAATAAGTGATACCAAAGTTTTATGTAATGAATGATATTCGAGAAGCAAAAATAGTTTCCTGATACTTCCTAATGAAAATTCTCTGAACTCCATATGACTTCCAATTCAACTAAATAAATATGATGATTGATGATAATGGCTAGTCACAAAGTGAATTTCTCCAGCTCCTATACTACACAACCTTTCTCTAAACTGGGACTGGTTGTGGAATGTTATAGCAAAAAATTAAATATTAGAATTATGATATTATTATTGTTACTTGTTTGTTTCTGTTGTACAAACAATGTGATATGCGTTATGAATGTTATGATGAATCTTATAAATTTTATTAAAGTTGAATCTTATTTGAAATCTCACAAAATTTTGAAGAATAAGTTATTCTCTGATCTGTATTAATTATAAGGTTGAAAACCACGTGAACAAAGTGATTCTAATTACTCTTCCTAATTACATAAAATATATTTTTCGGTGCTGGTTCCTGTTACCCATATCTCAATAAAGTGATTTGTTTGTTAAATAAATATGTATTTTTAATAGTTGACCTAGTAAGCATTTCTCATCACATTCACATACTTTATCAACCTGCCATTGTATAAAGTTTCATTCTGTTCTCTTCTGTTATCGGTTAGGTCAGAAGAAATATAGTAAATAAAACATGAATTATAAACATAGTTAATTTATTTATCGAAACAAAACCACACGCAACGAGCACGCCTCACGCACACATCAGATCAGGAAGTCCGTGCGCCTCGCCCCTTTCTCAAGCTCTAGTCTAGCCTTAATTGTATAACTTGTGTGGTTATTTACATAGAATCTATATCATTATTGTGTGCGTGGCTTTGGAACAAATAAATATGGCGACAAAATAAACAGAATACTTCATAATCAAATGTTCAATGGTATATTTATACAGATGTTTTATGAATATTATTGAAAACCGTACATTCATGGAGACATGAACAGTGATGCAATATGGGAGCGAGGTGTACCTACACATTTTCTCTTATAGCAGGTTGTATTTCTTGATAGCTATGAGCAAAATATATACTTCATTACAAAAATACAAATAAATAATTGTGTAGAAAATATAAGTCAATAAACCGAAAGATTCATCAAGAAATACAAACGGCTCATTTTACTATACTGAACAGTTGTATAACAACAAAGTTAATATAGTACATTGCAGAACAACCGGGCAGGACACGTTTAGACCACTCGCTGCACTTCAAAGAATCTCTTGAGGTAATAGACCTGTCCGAGGGTCATGATTAGGAGAACTGAGGCCTCAAATATCGACCACATGACGACACGAGAGTTGGTGCTCTCATTAATTGCTCGGTGAATGCGATCTCTGACCTGGTGGAAAGAATCTATATATATAAAAATGAAACCCGTTTCGCGTTGTCACGGCATCACGTGTGAACGGCTGAACCGATTTCGATAATTCTTTTTTTTAAATGTTTGTGGAAGTCCAAGGATGGTTCTTACGGAAAAAAATATTAAGAAAATCTCTACGCTAAGGCGGTACGAAGTTCGCCGGGTCAGCTAGTACAAAGATAAAATTTAGATTTCAAGATAAGAAAAAGAATTATAAACATCAAGCAATGTAATTCTAATTATTAACTGTAAGTTGACAACATTTAGTCCTGATTTACTTATCCTTTCTCTTCATTGTAGTGGATTTTAATAATTTATCCTATTTACCTGCATGTATTCCTGTTCATTCTTGACTGTTTTGAGCGTGGCGGCCAGCTCTTTGATCATGTCCTCCAATTTGTTGTGGTCCACCTCATCATCCTTGCCGGCCTTGCTAGGGGCTTCACCAACATTCAAGTTGAACATCACCACCTGAAATAACAATGCAAGATTAATATCAAACTCGTTGGGCTCTTTCTTTGGATTAATATGGATTCTTTGGATTTTGACTTGTTTCATCCTGTAGCAACAACACTATCTTACATTATTATTATTCTGTCTAATGGCTTCAATGGTGCGAATTTAAAGCACACTGGTTTTGCCAAATTGGTTGGGTTATTCAATAATAAACAATAATTTGTCAACTCATAAGGTGACTAAGATTATTTCTAAAAGGTTAGCACAGGAATAACTGGAATATAAAAAAATACTTAGGAGTATACAAATTACAAACCTTAGGAGTCATAGTAGACATTTTATTACTAAAACAGTAAGTGTATTTTCCTGATGTGGGGGCAGAGAATGTGTATATTCCGGAAGACTCTCTTTCTCCTCGCGTGATTACTGCACCATCAGGGCCAGTGATAGTGACGTCTATGTCTAAGAAACCACCTTCTGCTATTTCGAATTTCAAACCTAAAAAGAAGATCAACAATAAAAACACCAAACACCAGTGAGGTTATGTTGAGATTATAACTTAAAAATTAATAGCTGCTCATAATATAGAGCCATGCCCTTATTATTTGCACAGTACTTACCCATTTTTGTATCAGCTTCAACATTTTCAAAAAAACATTCTTCGGCGTGAGCGTCTACAGTGATAGTGTAACTTTTTGCTGTGCTAAATAAAGCCACCAATAATGTTGCGGTAATCCATAAAGATTTCCAAGTACACTTCATTGTGTTGGTATTTTATTAGATAAATTTCTAAATGTATAATAACACTAATAAAATTGAAATAAATATTTTTTTCGAAGATATCGCTGCAATACCGCTGGGCCACGTATAGATGACCCACGCTGAACTGTCCCGCCAAACTCAATGACAGGGGGGCGCTACCATCGTTCAACTATATGGTTTCCAACATGGCAAAAATCTGAACCAGCGATCCGGTATTGACGGTGGCGCCCCACTGTCGATGTCATCGACAGGACAGTCCAGTATTTTGGAACTATATTGACACTCTTGACTTTGTTGACAGATGAGTTGTCACATTTAGACAGTAACATTTTTTTTGGTAAAGTTAATCAAATGCAACGTTAACTAAAAATAGTTTTTTTTTGTTAAATGTACGATAACTATAGTTTTTTTTGTTAATTATTAATTAAATGGGTAATTTTCTGTTGCTCCAAGAGTACCTTTTCATAGAACAAATGATTTAGTTTAAATAGATCAAAACTTCAAGTCTATCTTCCATTAGGGCAAAATGAGAATAGATTCAGCGCTATGACCTAATGGATATACGTCATAGCAAAATTCTTCGTGATAAAGTTCTACTACTCACCGCTAGATGGCAGTAGCATAATAAATGTAGTACCTGTGGTAGATAGTACCTCTGCGGGATTCAAACTCACGACCTCTAGCCGTTTTTAAACCACTGCGCCAAATCTGCCTGTGCCTGGACTTATTCAGTAATTCATTGCATTTAACTATCGCAGTAATTCGTTGCATTTACTAATATATTAGTTATGTTTAGTAATTATTTTCAAAATAAAATTGGAAAAACGGTTAAAGAACCGATTTCCTTAGGTACTTACTTCCGAAAATTTTCATGAACGCAATTGTTCTAATTTTATTAACTCTATTATTATACCAACTGTCAAGAATTATATTCGAGGACAGCTTGTCGGCCGATGCGGAAGTTATATTCGGCACTGAAGCTACTTTTCGGAGTTTGGACAGTAAGTAACCGGTTACTTACTCATGACGTGAACAACACTACAAACAAAAATAAAGCGTCCATAATATTTGCAAAAAATATGTAGATTACTCTAATTTTATATTTGGAACACGTCGTAAAGCTAATTTTAATTTTATTGACGTGAACTTATGAACTTTACACTTTTAATTAAAATTAAAATAAGATTGATTCATTCAATACGTAAAATCCTACGTCATGGAAAGGGTCAAAATCGTCAACCAAACAAATGATAACGTAAATATTAGGATAACGAAATAGACGTAATATTTTTTCTGAGTGAGTAGGTAGGTACCTAGGTAAGTAAGTATTGTAGGTGTACCTATTTTATTAAACATATATACGAATATTGCCGATTTCCGAAATAGGTAGTATTTTAATACAAAGAACAATAATGTGGTATTGCAACAGTTTGGCATTGATTCCAATCCATGAAAACAAACAATGAACAAAAAGATGGGGCGGCTTTTCCCTAGATCTTCATATTCTGTACTATACTATCGTACTAAGTATCATTAAAGGGGAACCTTTTAGATAGAGCAAAGGTTCCTAGTTTGAGGAACCTAGTGCATCTCACTAAAATCGATGGGTGATGTGTATGGGATGTAATTAACATTTTTAAAAAACGTATCCTATATTAATCGAAAACGTATATTATTTAATAACTAGAACTACTTACCTACCTCCAATTCACTTTACCGGCGTCTATTTTATTTATATTTAATTAGCTTAAAGGAATTGTATATGTAGGTATAGCAAAAAGCTTGTATTTTTCCGATACAAAGCATGTTTATAATAAAGTCGATTACTTATGATTGATCTTACGTCTTCATAAAATATAATTATATATTACAATACAATTTATGCACCTACTCTTATAAACTTTTACTTCCACTTTCTAATTACTGTGGTGTACCTGGCCAGTAGAATTAAACACAAAAATGAATTAAATCGGAAATAATTCCTACAAAAGATTTTATTGCTTTAATGGCTTCATTGGTTGTCCATTAAGACTCTCCTAGGTTTTCGACTTTGACAGAGTTGTGCTTAAGTGGTGGGGGCCCCCGAAAGGGGCACTTTTTAGGTTTTCCGGTTATACCGCCTAAAGGACTTACCCTATCGAAAAGTGGTCTTCCTGACGGTCGAAGGGCATTTAATCCTGCATTAAATAATACCAAATTCATATGTTTTGGACAAACCGTTCTCGTGCAAATTTGCGGCAAAGTAGAAAATATGTGTATAATTAATGACCCTCTTCACGTCCAATGGCTCGTTACCCGCAGGCTTCCAAGTCTTGAAAAGGAGCGCCTCAACCAGTGTAACCCTATCAAGGCTTACGAGCTGGATGCGCCTATCCTTGTTCGTCCCAGCCGTTCCTAAACTGCGGTTGCTGCACCTCTTCCTGGCACTCACCTGAACGACTCTGTGTTACCTGCTGTGGCTGCCCCTCTTCCTTGTATCCTCCTTCCTTGTATTTTGTGGCGTCGAACCTTAGACCAGGCATATGGCTAAGCAATGCAATCGTACAGGAGGGTACAAGGAAGAGGGGCAGCCACATTAGGTAACACGAGAGTCGTTCAGGAGAGTGCCAGGAAGAGGTGCAGCAACCGCAGTTAAGGAATGACTGGGACGAACAAGGATAAGCGAATCCAACTCGTGAGCCTTGACAGGGATACGCTGGTTAAGGCGACTCTTTGCAAGGCTTGGGAGCCTACGGGTGACGAGCTATTGGACGTGGAGAGGGGCATTAATTATACACATATTTTCTACTTTGCCGAACATTTGCACGAGAACGGTTTGTCCAAAACATATGAATTTGGTCTTATTTAATGCAGGATTAAATGTCCTTCGACCGTCAGGAAGACCACTTTTCGATAGGGTAAGTCCTTTACGCGGTATAACCGGAAAACCTAAAAAGCGCCCCTTTCGGGGGCCCCCACCACTTACTTAAGCACAACTCCGTCGAAGTCGAAAACCTAGGAGAGTCTTAATGGGCAACCAATGAAGCCATTAAAGCAATAAAATCTTTTGTAGGAATTATTTCCGATTTAAAATCTAATTCTACTGGACTAACAGATGAATCATCTTTTTAAAACTTATGTAGGTATATGTATTCTTACGTAAAAGTTACGTTATCAATAAATCTAGTACCGTAAGTAAGTATAACGTTAAGTGCTTTATAATAATAAGGAAACAACAATTAGGTAGGTACAAGTTGTACAACGCGTTATTCTATCATACTTTAGAAACTCATGTTTGTCAAGTTATATTTATAAAACTATATCTTTACAAACATAACTAGGTAGTATAAGTACTTAGGTTAAATTAACAAAATCGGTGAGTAAAACCACAAAATATAAGTCTTAAAGCCTTCTTAAAACCCAAGTTTAAATACCTAGTGCTCTTATTTTACACCCTTTATTATTTTAACAGCTGCAAAAGTTGAAATATCCTACCTAAGACATGCATGCATTAGGTACATACCTACAAGTAGGTAATCGTAATATCTTATGATGCATTCGTCTCTATAACATTAAATAGGTACTAGGTATCTTAGAGAGTTTTGATTCTCCTTACGTTGCGTAGTTTTTAAATTAACGGCAACGAAAAATACCTATTAGGTACTTACTACGGGTGTTCTTTTGGATGGGGCCACCTGCGTGGATACGAGGACCTTCAAGGATAAAATCAAGAATTAGAAGTCATTAATAATCCTTATTTTATTATGAAGCCGGATATCGAGCTTAAATTAATGAATGCCGGTGTATTAATTTTATTGAGTAAAAAGCCCGTGATATATGCAAAACTGTTTCACCATTGGAACCAGTTTCGGGCATTGTCCGAGGTTTTGATGTATCTATGATCGTCTTGAAAGGTAGGTAGGTACATACTAGTGTCTGGTACCTACCTCATTCTTCATCACACCTGCCACCTGGCACCCAAACCTAGACCCGTCGCGACGGGGCCGACCAGTTTGCGAACCCGTCGCATCATAGACACAGTATATACAGGGTGTTTCTTGTAAGGNCACTGCCGTGCCCCCAGATATTCGAGGACAGCTTGTCGGCCGGTGCGGAAGTTATATTCGGCACTGAAGCTACTTTTCGGAGTTTGGACAGTAAGTAACCGGTTACTCATAACGTGAACAACACTACAAACAAAAATAAAGCGTCCATAATAATTGCAAAAAATATGTAGATTACTCTAATTTTATATTTGGAACACGTCATAAAGCTAATTTTAATTTTATTGACGTGAACTTATGAACTTTACACTTATAATTAAAATTAAAATAAGATTGATTCACATTCAATACGTAAAATCCTACGTCATGGAAAGGGTCAAAATCGTCACCAAACAAATGATGATAACGTAAATATTAGGATAACGTAACGTAACGAAATAGACGTAATATTTTTTCTGAAAAGGTACCTAATATCGAGAGATAGTACCTATCGACACAATTTTCCTATGGACACAGTTCAACGGTTTTGACATTAAAGGGGAACCTAAAGATAGAGCAAGGTTCCTAGGTTGAGGAACCTAGTGCATCTCACTAACGTCGATGGTTGATGAGTATGGGATGTAATTAACATCTTTAAAAAACGTATCCATATATTATTCGAAAACGTCTATTATTTAATAACTAGAACTACCTACCTCCAATTCACTTTACCGGCTTCTATTTTATTTATATTTAATTACTTAGCTTAAAGGAATTGTATAAGTAGGCATAGCAAAAAGCTTGTATTTTTCCGATACAAAGCATGTTTATAATAAAGTCGATTACTTATGATTGATTTTACGTCTTAATAAAATATAATTATTTATTACAATACAATTTATGCTTCTTGAACTCTTTTAAAATAAATCTAAGTTAAATAGGTACCTACTCTTATAAACTTTTACTTCCACTTTCTAATTACTGTGGTGTACCTACAGATGAATCATCTTTTTAAAACTTATGTATATTCTTACGTAACAGTTACGTTATCAATAAATCTAGTACCGTCAGTAAGTATAACGTTAAGTGCTTTATAATAATAAGGAAACAATTAGGTACACAACGCGTTATTCTATCATACTTTAGAAACTCATGTTTGTCAAGTTCTATGTATAAAACTTTATATCTTTACATAACTAGGTAAGTATAAGTACTTAGGGAAAGTAGTACGAGATGATCCCCTTAAGCGGGAATCGCTGTAAAATACATATTTTTCAAGGTAAACCAAAAATAAAGACGATTACTACTAGTATATTTATCTATCCAACTTTCCTTATACTCAAAACCAGAAATTAATTGAGGTTTCATTAAAATATTTCATTTTTTGCAAAACCTTACAAAGTGATCATCTTGTACACCCCTGTGGGTAAGATGATCCCCCAGGTAGGGGTAAGATGATCCCTATGATTCTGTTCTATGATCTATTCTTTTCTGGTTATATTCCTTTCGGAGTACCTAATTATGCGAACAAATCGTTAAAAAGTTAGAAAAGAAAAGCATTTACGAATTAAATAACGAAAATAACTGATTCTTTCTTAGTACCTGCTAAAAAGCATTTAAATAATTGAAACGCTTTTTGGCTGGAGCTGTGTTGAATATATCACAAATAAATTCACCTGCTTCATCACCCTCTACCCCAGCACATGCTTTATGGACCCATTTTCCACATGCATAACATTTTATCCATCCTTCACCCTTGGTATCGGTTGAAAACTTTTCTGTTCAGTACAGCCACTCAGTATCATCTCCTTCAGACTCAGGTGAGTTATATGAAGTTCTCTTTCTTTTATTTCACTTCCCTTTACCTACTCCATTGACTTTTTTGTTTTAATTCCCAGGGATCATCTCGTACATATACAAAGGGATCATCTTGACCCAAGTCCCAGTTTTTGTTTAAATATTTGCTAAAATAATCTACAAGTACGCGGCTACGTTTTTATGGCCAAAATATTAAAATTAAACATAATAGAAAGCCTAACGACAACAGTAATTACATTTACATTGTTTGAATAAAAGTAACATAAGCTCAAAGTCATGCCTATTTTAGATCAGAAGTACACAATTTTTCTTTTTTCTCGACAAATTCGATGTATCGCTCACGCCACCATTACGATTTGACTGAGGCGGGGATGTGTCTAGAGCTATGTTTTACCAGTGAAAGAAACTAAATGACGTTAGTGGTTTCAGCACAATCGCGAAAGATCATCTTACCCCAGGGGATCAACTCGTACTACTACCTACCTACCTAGGTTAAATTAACAAAATCAGTGAGTAAAACCACAAAATACAAGTCTTAAAGCCTTCTTAAAACCCAAGTTTAAATACCTAGTGCTCTTATTTTACACCCTTTATTGTTTTAACAGCTGCAAAAGTTGAAATGGCCTACCTAAGACATGCATGCATTAGGTACATACCTACAAGTAATCTTAATATCTTATGATGCATTCGTCTCTATAACATTAAATAGGTACTAGGTATCTTAGAGAGTTTAGATTCTCCTTACGTTGCGTAATTTTTAAATTAACGGTAACGAAAAATATTAGCTAAGTACTTACTCGTACTACGGGTCACTCTCATCTACGGGTGTTTTCTTGGATGGGGCCACCTGCGTGAACACGAGTACCTTCAAGGATAAAATCAAGAATTAGAAGTCATTAATAATCCTTATTTTATTATGAAGCCGGATATCGAGCTTAAATTAATGAATGCCGGTGTATTAATTTTATTGGGTAAAAAGCCCGTGATATATGCAAAACTGTTTCACCATTGGAACCAGTTTCGGGCATTGTCCGAGGTTTTGATGTATCTGTCATAGTCAAAGGTCGATATGCAGTCTCTTCGCGGAATGACTGGTCTATCCTAGGTTTGACCAAGGCTTTCGGGCCAACCCCGAAATAAATTTCAATTTCGGCCTTTGACTAAGTCAAACCTAGGAGTTCCTAAACTGTTCAGTCTAAGGTCGATATGAAAATNCACAAATAAGTCTAACATGTTAGGTTTTCAACGGCAAAGTTTCAATTAAATTGTTTAAATTTTAGAGGTAGAAAATATTGTTCAAGCAAACGACGGTATGTCTATGGATAATCACAAAAAGCTACGTATTTCTTTCGCAGAGCGACGATCGACCTATCTCACCTCCCCAATGGTCGAAGCGTTACTGACGTTAACCGAATAGAACGCTGTGATTGGTTGCTGGTGTTCGGTTTAACGGCAATCTTGTATTATTACTCAAAATTTTAGGTACCTAAAATCGTGTGACCAACGTATTTCGCTTTCTCAATTCAAAATAATTATAAGAAGATATTTTTTTGACTACTGTGTGGAAAGTATATTTAATTACGATGATTTTAGTATATGCTACACACAAATTGAATGAAAATTGTGAATGCAGTAGCCAAATGTTTCATTGCAACTAGGGTTTCTGATTTCTCGACCTATTTTTTTTCTCGAGTTTCGGGAATTCTCGAGGCCAAAATCTCGAGTTTTCTCGGGTCTCGAGTTTTTTAATTAAAACTGTTGAAATCGGTTGAAATTTAATAAAAATACAGGTTTTTTTAATCAAATATAAGTACTTTTGTTGCACAACAATCAATATTAGAATTTATTACCACTTATTCGGGTAAGGAAAGAAACAAAAATAAAATCTTCATAAATTAATATTAACTAATAAATCATAACTTAGTAATTAACTAATAGAAACAAAAGTCATAAAGTCGCGTGTACTTACTTTAAGGATAACTAACAATAAAAATCTGGAGCTACAATTGAATTACTTGTATTCCAAAGAACACAAATCCAAATAGCAAAATTACGATAAATAAACCTACATAAAAACGAAAAAAAAAACTATTTAATTAACTTTTAAATTATTAAAAGATAACGACTTGAATAAACGTATGTACGAGTAAGTACCTAACCTAACAAACAGTAAAAAAAAAATCATTTTTTTAAATCAGTCAGTTAAACGAACTTAATAATATAGCATAGGTGAACATATTAGTTTCGATTAAGATCATTACTTGAAATGCAAATCAAATCAGTTAAAAAGGAAAGACTAACCAGTCTAAAAGCAACTTTAACCTATTAAATAATTAATAACTTAGTTACTTTTATCTAAAAAAATAGGCTTTCAAGAATATTAAAGCTTCAAATTCGAGACTCGAGAATTCTCGAGCTCCGGTAATTTTTTTCTCGTCTCGAGAGAAGCCAAATTTCTCGAGTTTTCTCGAGTTCGAGAAAGCTCGAGCATAAACCCTAATTGCAACCGAAGGTGTGACACGATGAGAACGCGAAAAATGATCCCGTTTTTTATCGTTTCATGTGATTTTTTCGTATTATTTTTGCTTCTATTACGATAAAATTTATTTTGTATGTAACTAAATAGATATTTTATCATCTGATTTCAAAGGTATTGTTCTAACTTATACCGTTTATGAACTATTATTGTGTGACCATCAAATTTGGACATTGTCAGAAACCGCCTAAAAAACCGCCCAAAAACATTAACCCATCATAATTATTTTCTATTTTTTTTAATACATTAAGCACCCTTTCATTCTANAATGATCGAATACATAATCGAATAAATTGATTAAGTACTATTAGATGCCGGTAGAAAATCTATTCTCATCAATAAAATACCGGATACTTACTTTCACATACCTACTTATTGCCTCATTTTAAATACAGTTCATCACTTAGTACAAAAGCGTGCGGAGCAAATTACTTTATCAAATAGAACACATAAATTGTTAAAAAGCGTAATTACGTAATTTAAAAAGAACTACATATTACAAAATCAGATGTAAGCACTTTATTTCAAAAGTAATATTTAATCATTTTTACAATTCAGAATTATTACGAAGTTTAAAAAATGAAAGTTCTGGTTTTGAAGATGCCGAGTTCAAGTAGCCGTATACTACGCAATTTACTCGTGGCATGTTTTTAAAAATACAGCGGACAGTGCATGCAATAAAATTATTATTAAAAACACAACGCGCGCGACACTCGCGACGGATGGACTGCGAGGTTCGCTTAGAGCTCGTGTAAAGCGTGCGTCTGTGTGCGTGAGTCTGATTTCGAGCGTTTGTATGAAGCTTCCGTACTGTTTGATTTATCTACTGTGTCATAGATTTGCATTTTATTATTACGAATATTTGTGGTGCCTTAATTTAGGGTTCCGTATCTAAAAATCATTTAATTTTGTTGGTCAGTCTTTAATTATAGTAAGTAGGAGGTACCCTTATTTCAGAGGAACATGCGGAGTTATTAGAAGGTGAAATTAATCAAATATTCTGGTCTACAATATCTACCTAATAAAATAGATTGAAATTGAGATAAGCTTCTTTAAATTGCCGCATAATTATTTTGTGATTCATGATTAAATTTGGCAAAAAGCAATACAGGAACCTTAGGTGCTTCAGTCAAACTCGCACTTGACCGTTTTTTTCTCAAGTTATTTTTCTTGGTTTCTTTCTTTTTGAGGCTCTACTCGTACTTTATTGTAATTTGTAACAAGTAGCTTTTGACCGCGTCTTCGCGCGTGTGGAGTCCCTATTAGGAAGTTTATTTGTTTACCAAACAAAACTCGATAGAGAAGTTATAGTCGCACAAAGTTTAATCCGCTATATTTCTGTTCATATTTATTTTCTAAAATCAATTAGGCACTAATGTCCCAGATTCCATCCAACACTTTCTTGGTTTCTATAGAAATTCTAACGAATTTCGATCCTACGAGTAGGTCATACCTACTTATTCATCATAAGCTAACTTACCTACTTCTTGTTTTGTTAGGTACTTACTGTGAAGTTAGCACCTGGTCAACCACCTGGCGACCTTACATTCCTTTGTGTGATGTAAATTTTGAGTTTTTTTATTAACTAGTTTGCAACTTCCAGCGATAGCGGAACTTAAACGGAAGTAATGTAAGGTCATTTAGCTACTAAAATGACATTCACTATTAGCGACAAAATGCATTGATTGAGATGGCTTTAAGGTATGGGTACCTATAGTAAGCTTGAAAAATATAGTTTAAAAGAGAAACACAAGATATATTTTTACCATAGTAAATTATTTATTTAACAATAGGTGTACGTACACACACAGTCGATACACGCATATGACCAAACAATTTTACAACAAAATTAATATCCTATCAAAAACAGTATCACAATACAAATTACCCTACCTACCTACCTAAACTTAATTAGGCAAGTAGTGATTTAAATACTATAATAACGCTATTTCTTAAAAATAGAATGATAATAATATAATAAGACGTTAAGCTCAAAAATGGCTTTCTCTCAGTTGTAAGTTATTGCTGTTTTTGAGCATTTTTGCACATTCTTTGGTTTGTGCGAAGAACTCAAATCCTATAATGCTCCTTACCAACAATAAAACCGGCAAGTATCAACTCTTCTTTCTGATATAGTACAAAATCTCCTAAGGTACTCTCCTGTAGGCCTAGGATGCGCGCCGTGATAAGCTTTTATCACGCCGTTTTATCGATTTTACGCGATAGGCCCATACATTTGCCGTCTAAAATCGTCGATAAGATTTTATCACGGCGTGCATCCTAGCCCGGCTGGCGGGTGTAACGCGACCAGTGATGTCCGGGTACGGTTTTGGTTAATCGATATCGAGTTTTCTGAACGCACCAACTGTGCCGTACATATCGTTGTCCATAATAGGCGCTGGAGTCGTATTGCTTAAATCTTTCAGGTTTTTCACGTAATCACTGAGGTCGTCCACTCGGTTTCTCCACCGCCGAGCTAACGCGTCGATGGATTCTTCCTGGCCACCCCATTCCTCAGGCAGTACCCTGGCTGGAATGTGTTCCAAGAGCTCTTCGACTTTAGAATGGATGTAGTACTGTAACAATTTAAATAGCAATTTATTAGCATACCTACTTATTTAAGTAAACTAAATTACAATAATACGATATCGGACTAATATCAGGTGAGATAAGAATCTTAAGATCGTGTGTTTAATGAAAACAAGAGAATTCCAGTTTAATGAATGATTAATTAACATGCGTTAGTATTTCTTTGTTGACTCTTGAGTCATCAAAATAAATATATAGAAACAATGTGCAGCTGGGTATTGACTCGCAAATCGCAATTTTTTAAGTAAACGTGATTGCATCACTTACCCGTCGTCGGACCTTCTCGTTGACACAGGAGCGCATCAGCTGAAGTGAGGAAGCAAGGAAAGGGCGCGCTCCCACCACGTGGATCCTCTTCATCCGCTGAGGATACGCCGCTTGTGCCAGGTAGATACTCCGCCGCACTGCGCTTGCTGCTGCCATCACCTTTGCCGCGAGAGACGCGCGAACGTTTGATACCTAAATAACATTTAACCAATTTTAGAACTAAACTAGGTTTCACCTTAGTTATTTACTCTGTGGTTAAGCTAATTAAAATAGGAAAACTCACCTCCCAAATGAAGACGTCACCAGCAATCATCGTTTCATCATGCATTCGCACGTCACTGACGAGTAGAACTGCTCTAGTGGCGTCTGTGATGTCAGCTGAGCTATCCGAATACCCAGGACGAACTCGTGCGATCGTTATACGATAGCCCTCATCAGTCAACTTTGGTAACGGGACTACATCTCTGAAAAAAATTATTGCAGATTATTAATTAGTTAAGTAACCTGCCCCCCTAGACAAAACGCACTTTTTGATCGAATCGAAAATCGAATCCGTCAAAACTTCATACAAAAAAGGGGCTTTTCGACCACTTTTCGACTGGTTTGCGATTATAATTTGCACTTTGTCTAGACCCACTGAAATACTAAACTGTTTATGGGATTAAATAACCGGAACCTAAACTGGCCCTCCATTAATTCCCGAATGGAAGCAACTCAAAAGTAACCAATTAATTGGTAGGTAGAGGTACTCACATGAATTTGCAGACCTCGTTGAGTGGAGGAACGCTAAGGGAGGTGTATTCGTAGAGATCTCGGAAGCGCGACCGGGAGAGGAAGAAGGCTTTCAATTTGTTCCTTGCTCGTTCCAAATCCATGCGGCATCCTCGGACGAACATCTCGAGAACTTGTTTTTCTGAAAATAACAAGTGATACTTTTTATTTTACAGTCAATCGTGATTAAGCAAAATCACTTTAATTCTCTCGGAACAATATAATAAATATCATTCTGCGTTACGTCTCTATTGATTAATGGAGATAATTTTAATTTAGTAGATATTAATAGGAATTCTTGTTTATGATAATATTATGGCTTATGTTGGATATCAAGTTAAACAATATACTAACATGTACGTGACGTCAATTGTTACGTAATTAACATAACAAATAATTAAACTGTTACAGCGAGTGAACGATCGAGAACGTCGATGCGCGTGAGACAAGGCAGCTGGTTGTACGTTTAATTACATAATTTAGTCCAATAATTACAGTATCGTACCTACGACTTGTACTGGAACTTCCAATGTAAACATGTGAGATTGGTTAATTAAATTCATAGGAAACTATCGACAACTTTTCACCCGCCTCTATCGATCACGCGACGCAAGTGTCACATCATTATCTAACCAAGTAGATTGTGAACAATGGCGGAAAATACACAAAAGTTTGATAGACTAGTAGGTATTATAGGAAAAATTACTGTTCTTTCTAGTTGTAAAACTTGTAAACAAAGGAATAATTTAGCAACCTTCATACTGTAGTACGAATGACTTTGCAAGGTTTTACCGTTTGATTCATTTCTTAATGATAAAGTATCAATTAAGACTTGTCTTTGTTTTCTTTTGCTGAAATACCTATAGGTACATCACGTATTTCAGCAAAAGAAACAGTACTTCGCACACCCAGTTAAAAGGTGGTGCAACTCAAAATAACCCAAAATTGAGTAGTTCTACTATACCTTTCTATTTTGTGTTAGTGTCCCGAAACCTAATTTTTTTAAAATATAAGTAAACTTTGGATAAAGTAGGCAACATTTGTTTAAATGCTATAGAAGTTAACAGTCACAGAACTGTCCATTTATAGTATCTTGGTCAAGGTAGAGTGCGGTAATCCCTCAGCACAACCGTACAGCACAGCAATTAGAATTACGTACGTGCGTAAACATACATTACTGAACTTGTCACCACTGTGGCTGCATTGAAATTGCTTTGTCTACAAACAATACCGCTGGGGGCTCGACAGTAGGAAAAGGCTTTGATTAATGCAGAGGATGCCTAATTCGGAACTAGGGCATGAATATCGGAATCTCGGAATCTCGTAATATCGGAATCAGATAAAAGTTTCAATTGAGATTTTAAACAAAGCGTTTAAGCTCGCCACAACCTGCCACAAAGCCCAAATTACATGATTGGCAAAGACCAATGATTTTCTCATGTATCTCCACCATCNATACAAAGTGTTCTATTATGCCAATTTGATGTCTGTTCTTTGTGTGAAAACTTCCACGTTACTGACAAGACAACGGCCACTGCGTTTTACCTTTAGCATTTCAATGATAATATGTAGAGCAGTGACGTGAAGCAAGTCCTAATTTCATAAATTTATATGAAATCTAATATTATTCATTAATACTAGATTATAAGCAAAAAATGAATTTGTCCAGTAAAAAAATTGAAAAAAAAGAAAAAAAAGTTGACATTAATGAAAGTTTTGCCCAAGCGCTTTTTTCAATATGATCACAAAATAATCAGCTTTCTAAAAAGTATCAATTCAATGTTTTGGAGAATACGGAACCCTCTGTGATAAATTCCAATTCGCACTTTACCAGTTTTTAATAACATTCAAAATATTCGCAAAATGAGACCTGTTTCTACACACGCGGAAAATTCGCCGCGGCGCTTCATCAATTCCAGTCCAGGCCGAAAGGAACGTCACCGCATCACGTATCATATCAAATCAAAGGTCACCAAACTGGTACCACGGACTCCACCTGTTACCAACATAACTGCTGAATTATGTGATAGGTAAAAGATTATGTCCTGGTGGTTGTTGAGTAAGCAGACCGGTTTCATTGCCGGTTTGCACACATTCGACTGGCTAGGCTACATTAGACTGTTTACTAGGAAGCTGAAGGTGCAATGGGACTAGATCCACCAGTGAGATGATTGTTCATTGTTATGCTATTAGTTAAGTAAATTAGATAATCCAAATAGAACTCCTAACAGTAATCGCCATTTAAACAAAACGAGCACCAGACGCATAATGCGATCTACTATGACACTCCTGCCTGCTAAATTAAAATTAAACAATAGACAAAGGTGAAGGCTACTCAGGTCATTGCATACCTAATTTGGGTTGGTTAAGTACTTTCTGAGTTTTCTGACACACTCACTCGGACCACAAAGAGTATTTTCAAAACACCATTGCTTACATACAGACCTTCAGAAGGCCACAAAATACACCCTCTCTTCATCTGAATGTTGATGAGGTGATGCTTTTGTGATGAAGCTCCCCAGAATAACTAATTTTAATGACTTAATTGATCGACCACAAAGAGTGCGTTTTGCGAAAGTGTTGTTTGCTGTGAATTTAAACTTGCGGTCGTGCTCGAAATCACTAAAATGCAAGATTGGCACAGGCGGTGATGCAAGAAAACAGGAGCGGAATGGAAATTGTATCGCAACTGACTCCGTGGCTGCAGCTGCAGGCTCGAGACGTTGATTAGCCGGAAAATTAGTTAATTTAAGTAGGTACATTAAATTAAAAAGTGACTTAAAAGCACAAAATTATGCTTTAAGTGTCATAAATTAGGCATCTGTGCTATTACAGTACTACAGTCGGATATTAGAAAACCAGGAGCAAAGGTTTGTCTAAATTGCCTTAATAAAAATTATAATAAAAATTGTCAGCAAGTTTCTAAAGTCAGAAATTGAGCAAAATGAAATGAAATCAATTTTAGTTTTATTGTTACATGGGTTTTTTTAGACTACGCGTTCAAGTTTGCTTGGTGGACGCACTATTTTTGCACGTAACATGGTGGAAATTCGATCATCACATTAGCGAGTTTCATTTAGCACATGTCTGTGAGTTTACTTATTAGAGATGGGTATTAACGTCTCTTTTAAACAAATATTGCCCTGCAAGTTAGCATGTCCGTGTAAGGAATTTGTGAGTTTTGTGACGTGTGAGTTGTTAGCTACTGTTCCACTGAATTACAATACAGTAAATCAAGCGGAGCCTTCACATTGAACTTGCGTTATTTGCCTCGGTAATGGTCAAATACTTACAACAAGTTAATGTACGAGTTATTGTATGAGTGTTTATTATATCGTTTTGTATACGTAAGTAGTCTTGCATTGCATCTTTTTAGAGATCTTTGATCTCCCGTGTTCGGCTGACGCGCGCGCGCCTACACACGCGGCCGCGTGGTTCATAAACATTAGCAGTTTTTCGCATAAGTAATTTTGATTTTTAAAGATTACAAATGTTTTTATTATACATGTAAATTTTTTAATATGAAAAAATACTCATACATAAAAATTGCCAGTCAATACCAAACATTTTTAAAAGGTATTGAACATGGTACGGATCCCTAAATAAAATGTTACAATTTAGTGACATTACCGTAGGCTAATTCTGCGATGTCATAATTTGTAACTGGTTTCTTGTTTCCTCTTTGCACTTCCCGTTTATGATAAACAGGCAGTTAAGTTACTTCCGATGCCAGTATACCTACCTACCTACAGTAAAGACTTATTATTAACAAAGAGACCAAATAAATAAGCTTACTAAAATCGAAAATTAGTTTAATCACATACTTAGTGAGCTTCCCTGTTATTTCAGGACAGGACGCGATTTGCAACCAAGCATGAATAAAATTAGGTATGCAAATCCTCCTAGCCTAGACTACATCCATACAAAAAGCCAATATTAGGATTATTAGCTCTTTGATTGTTTATCTTTTTGTTTTAGATCGGGACTTTTTCTTATTTGTGTAGCAATATTATACCTACCGTGTGATGCCATTAAAACAGTGGACTGACCGGATAATTACTGATTTTAAAGCAAACATGCATAATTTGAATTTTATCGGTTCAATTGGGTACACAAAACTATTTAATTATTACTACACTTTAAAGGGTGTCTTAATTGAGGCTCATAGAAACAACAAACCAAAATCAAAGGGCAAATAAATCGCAGAGAGGCTCTCCCACACATTTTTGTATGAATCTTATTTTATCTAAATTCATATCAATTTGATACCGCCTACTTTATTCTCAGTTTGGCCCTAAGGTTGACTGGAGGAAAATACGGAAAGGCATTAAGTTCGCCTTATGTACACTGTTCTATGTGCATGTAAGTTTGAAATAAATAAATAGTATTGCTGAAAAACACCATTACAAATCAAATCAAAATAGAAGAAAGGACATAGAGAAGTTGACCTACATGCAACACAAACTAATTTTGTTGTTGGTCACGTAATGTTTTGTAAGGGTTAATGTATTGAACTAGTACCTCATTATTGCTAGTTTAAAAAAATAAGATCAAACGTATGATATTGGTATTAATATTAAGAAAATTATACTATGTTTATCAATTTAATTAAATTGGTTGGTAATGGTGATAGATGATTGTTAGCCAATGCCTGCACGCACTGTAAAGATGCAAAATGAGGCGAAGGCCCTCTAGCCAAGTGATGTTGTAGTTATGGTAACATTATAGTTAACGTGTGACACTAAAATTGTATGGTCATTAATTAGTCAGACATTTACACTAATATTAATAATTTGCATTGAGTCAGAGTTCCCGTAGAGTCGAGGGTTGCGTTTCTTTAGAATGGCTTTTATTACTTAGTTCATTCATACTTGCAAATTGGTTTCCATAAAGGATTACACATTATTGGTTTCCACAAGGAGGACAATTAGAATAAGTTCATAACCATAATGTGAACTTTAAAAAATTCCATCTAAGAGCTATTGATAAATAATTTATTCATTTGCTGTTCATCTGTTGTTTTTTGTTTGTCTGGCACCGACATTAAACTAATTTTATCGACCGATGTTTGAATTTAGTGTTAAGGAAAAAGGAGCCCATTTTTTTAAACAAAGCCTTATATAATTATGTTAATCTTGGGAACGTGTTTATAATTTTGAGAGACATTTACAAGTAAAATGTTAATAATATTGAACACTTTAATTTAGTAATTAACCCAGAACAGACAGTGAAACGCAACTGCAACGAAACTGCAACTTCCTGATGATTCTGATGAATGAAACTGAAACTGAAAGTTTCAAACTGGTCGCGTCATGTGTGGTCTCTCAACGGACGCTATGGCAGAAACTTAGATGCAACTGAAAAGTAACTAGGAGTTGCAGTTTCGTTGGAGTTGCGTTTCACCGTCTGTTTTGGGCCTAATTGGTGAAAAAGAGGACTAGTTATACAACTATGACTGGTTATTATGTTATAATATCTTTCTAAAGCTCTACGAATTCTACGATGCTGAGATTGCTGAGGTAGGGTAGGTATTATCAATCAAGGCTACACGATCAAAAAAAAAATTTGTTAAAAGACCATTAACTTATTCTGCAATAAATAAAATATGTATATTTATCACAACTTGCAAATTCGTTTATTCATAGCGATTCGACGTCACAGAAAACTATTTTTGTTGTTTACAATACACAAGAAAACCTGCAAGATATTTATGCGTAGTCATTCATTATGGTAATTATGTATTTAAATCAGTCTGTCTGATTAGCTTAATCTACCTATTCCTATTTATTTATTAATATATTAAGTAAAACAACAATACACACTGCTGATTATAAAAGTGCCATAAATAAATAAATAAATTCCTTTTAATTATAACAATACATATAAGGATCGCGACATCTACTTAATAGAGATTTTAATTAGGGATTTTTAAATGAGGTTTTGTTTTATAAAGTCGTAAAAATGTACGATTACTTGTACAATTGAATTGTGCGTAGAGTTTAAAAGCCGACTGCCAAAAATATGTAGAATTAATTCGCCCATTGGTTGACTGGGTGAGATTATTGAGAATGCCTCGTGTACATGCGTGTCGTGTAAAACATGTTATCAGTTTTTTACTTGTAGAAATTAATCACGTAACGTCACTTGCAGTATTGATTTATACAGCAAAGAAAAATTTCGCGACCTAATCAATTTGTTTGACCTTATTAAAATTAAATGAGTATTGCCTACCTACGCTGTCTGGCTCGGGCAAGTAGGGCGAGGCGGCGAGCATGCTTCGCAGGTCCCGGACCCCTCTCTCCAGGTCCCCGGGCCCTTCCCCAAGCTCCTGCTTGATCACCTCCGCCTGCTTCAACGACGGTCCTTCGAGAAACGCCATCACTGCACTGAAACTGAGCAAACTAGCGAATGCGCACGCGCTCTGACGCAGGTCAAAACTGCGAGCGTTTCGCGAACGACAGCTTTATAAACAAGCCTCGATTAGAAAAGGTAAGGACGATTAAAGCCGCGTTCATACAGGTGTCACTTTGAGCTAGGTTTTTAAATTAATTAAAGCAATAAAAGTTGTCTAATTTCAGATCTAAGGAAACTAGATTTTGAAGGTCAATTGGACTCCGAGCGACAATGGTGTCGTCCACTTTGATCACCAAGGTAATCTTGGAAATAGACCGTTTTGAAAAGTTTCTGGCCACGTTCAGCGTCATTTTAAAAATAGGTTCTTAAAAACAAAAAAATAAATTTAAACTTGCTTTTTTATAATTTATTCGCTCTATCTACATTAATATTATTTTTTTTTTCGTCTAGGTAGGTATACTAACTTTGTGTTATGTTTTATGTATCACTTTTAAGTGATTATTATTATAATAGAGACGATAAATTGTAATACTAGTTAACCTTTGTAGAGTCACGTAGAAGATCATGGGGCATGCTAAAATATGTGACATGTGTTAGCAGTTTAGCACCCAACAAAATTAATAATACCTTTGTAATAAATGCGCAATGCTTTCTTGTCAATAATTTAAAAACAGTTTATTATGGACTACGCTTATGGGCCGGAAGACCTAGCGTGGGCAGGCTTCCCACTAGGTGTACCGACGATCGTGTCGGTCGCGGGAAGAGCTTGGATGCGGGCAGCGCAGGTACTTATGGAAATCCTTGGGGGAGGCCTTTGTCCAGCAGTGGACGTCATTTGGCTGAAACAAACGAACAAACGAAGGACTAAGCTAGCCCAATGAAATACATTAATTTGTAAGATACCGGAACATGAGCCACGCAAGGTCCACGGAAACGCACTTAGCTAGTTATTTTGGATAATAAAACCACAGATAATATAATAAAACTTACTCATTAAAGAATGTTGAAAATAATCTTCTTGCATTCTGACCAAAACATTTTTATTGTAGTTATTTTTTTAAGAGAGACACGTTGAATAAAAGTGTGCACTGCACTTTATAAACTGAACAACTTCGTATTTAAAGACGAATGTATTAGCAATCGGCTGTAAATCAACTTTTTAGGATGGACTTAACAGTATTTTGTGATTATTTAAGTTTATTTAAGTAGGTTTATAAAAGCAATGCCTTGGTAACTTCGTCCATCCCATATGCCCCTAGCACATGATAGAGTTTCTTCTACCTGTCTGTTATTTTCTACTAGTTAAAGTTTACTTTTGCTTTACTAGTTACCTACAATGCTGCAATGACGAGGTATAATATTTATGACATCTCGTAGACTGCACCATGCACTCTAAACTAATAAGTCGGCCATAATAATATGGTTCTATAGAGGTAGAGTCGGGCAGTTAATGAGTATAAAAGTGCGCACATTACACCGATTTGGTATGGGCCTATTCCTCACACAAATTAGAAGCCAATTCTAACTAGTTAATCGGCCGATAAAAACTCTACAGTCCTCCTAACTGTAAAAGCTTAAACTTAAATTAAATTAAACTAACAGCCAGCAAAAGCTTGGAGAAGCGTATAATATCTCCTACGAACCCTATTTTTTATTTACTTGTATAAATTTGATCGATAATCTTGCAATTAAGTTTTATGACTTTTATGGTACTTTACACATATTAAATTAATGCGGTGGTCCTACCACAAAATTGGGAGGTTCCAAAATGTTAATTACCTACAATATCATTTTTCAAAAAGGCCAGTCACCTTCATAGACTACAAGTCTGCCCATAATTTTATAGCAATCTTGAAATCTTGATTTTTTCAAAACTGGTTTTAAATTTTTGTGTGGATCATTATGATTTTATCAAAAATACGTGGTAAGTTTCTTAAGTTACAAGATCCACAATGTTCACAATGTACCTACTTAACCAGTTATTTATTTGTTACTTGTGTAAGTAGTTATTTTTACCTTATGTCTAATTTTTCACCCTACTTAAAACTAACAAGAGTGAGACTTTTTGAAGTAAATAAGATGTTACAACATTAACACATGAGCTATTATTCATTATCTCTTCTGATTTAAATAGTTTCACTAACCTACCTACCTAGGTAGTCTAGTAGTAGTAGAGCAAAAAGCCAAAGTTAAGTAAAAAATTTACGTTGGGTTATAAAATATGACTATTCATTATTCTTTACCATCAATGTAAAAATTCTTAATTTTTTGTAGGAAAGTAAATACCTAATATTCTCAACAATTAAAAATTACCTTTTTTGACGCAAATGTATTTGATCCTGTTAACTTTTAAACTTTTAATTTCGCGCCAATTATATTACCAGTGAAAACAGCGTCATCTGCTGTCTAATAGTGAAACTACTAAAGTGTAAAAATATCTCTAGCAGCGCCATCTAGTGTACAGTAGAAAAAGATTTTTAAAGCAGACTGTATTTACAGCTTGGACTAACTCTTTTTAGCCAATCACGTGTACTAAATAGCGACGCCCATTGCTCTATTTGCTGAAATAAAAGTAAAACTGACATTTGTCAAACGTCTAACTTCTACGATGTTCGATTTTCGAATTTCAACGGAAAACACTTGATTGGGTTGATTTTGGCAACTTGAAAACGATTTTCATGAATGTGTATTTTTGTGGAATAAGCATGGATATTATTATAAATATAAATTAAAACTGTCTTAGTTACCATGGAACCTTCGAAGGAGGCTATTGCAGTGCGGATCACCCGCCTCAATCGCCAAATCTTGGGCAAAGTGACCAGTGGTTCTAGCAAACTGAACAAAAAGACAATAGATCGTGAAGCTCTGTTGGATGCCCTTACAGTTCTTTATGATGAGTGCAATGATGATCCAGTTAAGAAAAGCGACGACCTTGTTAAAACCTTTGTGGACAGATGTGAGTATAGTTGCACCTGCCCCTACGCCCACATTGCTTTTGTTTTGATTTGATTTGTCAACAGTAATTTAACTGTTGCTTACTATTATTCTAGATCGCAGTACACTTGCCGAATTACGCAGAACTAGAGTATGTCTCTCAGATTTTGAGATTTTACAAACTATTGGCAGAGGCCACTTTGGTGAAGTCCATGTGAGTATATCAACATACTTTGTTTACTTATTCATGATAAACAAATATTGAGAATACAGTTAAAAATCGAAGCACTGATGATGTAGTTAATTGACCAATTTTAATTGAAACTGTTGAGAAAGGTGTTAAAGTTTGCAAATATTTTTAATTTAACAAAATAATATCTAATAAGTAGTATATCCGTTAAGCTTAGCACCCATAACACAAGCATTAAGTTGCTTACTTTGGGGCTAGCTGGCGCTGTGTGAAATTGTCCAAAGATTTATTTATTATTATTATTTATTAATTATAATTATTTTGAGTACAACTGTATCTTTAGATGGTCCGAGAGAAAGAGACAAGCGATGTGTATGCAATGAAGACCATGCGCAAGGAGGAGGCTCGCAAGAGAGCCACCACTGAGGACGAGCGAGATGTGCTGGCGAACGCCAACGGGCCCTGGATGCCACGCCTGCAGTATGCTTTTCAGGTACTATAGTAAATAATATTGTACAGTTCAATAGTGTTTACCTTGATCTGCTGTCGTCCATACATTAGCTTAGTAACAGAGTAAATACAAATGAGTAGGTCATCTTCTTAGAAACGCACGGGCGCGGTTTGTATGTGAGCGCGCCAACACGTATGCGGCGACAAAATTTAGCGGTGATTAGCGGTAATACAGTCGTGGTTGCGCCGAATTTTGTCAGTGTGTGCGTGCGCGCCGCATACGTATAGTGGCACGCTCACATACAAACCGCGCTTGGTGCGTTTCTATGAAGATGCCCTACTCATTTGTATTTACTCTGTTAGTAAGATAGCCAGTATGCACCCAGTACAAGTTTCTATAAACCCTTGTCTTAAGTCAGCTAGGTCTTTTCTGTACCCCACCCTGATGATTGACCTCTCAACTGTGGCTAATACCAGCTCCAGGATCAAACTGGGAAAAACTACAGAAAAAATCAGCCACAGTTGAGATGTTTGGCAACTGATATTTATTTTTGTAAAATAATATTATCAAAAACCAAATTCAAATCACACAACAAACATGTTCTTTTAAATGTAGCCTAATTGTTCAGGTCACCTCACCTTTTTCGTATTAGGGTTTATGTAGATAATAACACTCAAATCATATCCCGATCCAGGACAACAGCAACCTGTACCTAGTAATGGAGTTATGCTCTGGCGGCGACCTGGCCGGGCTGCTGGCGCGCCGCAGCCAGCCGCTGGCCGAGCGCGACGCCGCCTTCTACGTGGCCGAGACCGCGCACGCGCTCAAGGCGCTGCACGGCTTGGGCTACGTGCACCGGGACATCAAGCCGCACAACATCTTGCTGGACAGGTGCGTGCTTGACGCTAGACTTGTCGCTGGTGGTTGTTAGCCAGCCGCTGGCCGAGCGCGACGCCGCCTTCTACGTGGCCGAGACCGCGCACGCGCTCAAAGCGCTGCACGGCTTGGGCTACGTGCACCGGGACATCAAGCCGCACAACATCTTGCTGGACAGGTGCGTGCTTGACGCTAGACAGACTTATTGCTGGTGGTCGTCAGCCAGCCGCTGGCCGAGCGCGACGCCGCCTTCTACGTGGCCGAGACCGCGCACGCGCTCAAGGCGCTGCACGGCTTGGGCTACGTGCACCGGGACATCAAGCCGCACAACATCTTGCTGGACAGGTGCGTGCTTGACGCTAGACAGACTTATTGCTGGTGGTCGTCAGCCAGCCGCTGGCCGAGCGCGACGCCGCCTTCTACGTGGCCGAGACCGCGCACGCGCTCAAGGCGCTGCACGGCTTGGGCTACGTGCACCGGGACATCAAGCCGCACAACATCTTGCTGGACAGGTGCGTGCTTGACACTATAGTCTGATCACTGAACACGTAGAATTTTGTCCGATGACCCCAAGCTAGCCATCCTTATCGCTCCTTATGCTGTCGCGACTATGCGACGGGCGCCCGCAGTGAGTGTGCGAGCGCAACAGCAACATAATTACGCGCGAGCGATAAGGGTGGCTAGCTTGGGGTCATTGGACAAAATTATACGTGCTCGGAGAACGGGCTTTAGACGCATTTGTCGCTGGTGGAGCGTGACCGCCATGTACAAAGCTGAGACCGCGCCCTAAGGATGCAGAATTAGTAGTTTGGTAAAATTCCCAATCCAAACTCCAAAGCATGGTTAGCGCGTAAGGTATAGTATTTCACATTCAGCAATGTGCCTTCCTCACCCCTGGGCCACACACATCGCAATTCCGGGCGCCATTGATTTGATATTGGAACGAAGGTTTGCGACTAAAAAAGCACCAAAGTATACGTGAATACTTGGCTACACGCATCGGAATAGCGCGAAGCTTCTGGTTATCGAATTTGTGTATGGTCCAGGGGTCATACGAAGCTTAAGAGGCACGGGTCACAAGCCGACAGTTAAAAGGTGAACGTAAGCCTAGGCGCAGACCATTGACTAGTTGGCTGATAGTTGGGTCGGGCTGTTAATCAGTATGGAGATGTTTGAAAGTGCGTACATTACACCGATTTGCTATCGTCTGATTCTTCATACAAATTAAAAACAGGCCCAACTATCGGCCAACTAAAAGTCGGTGGTCTGCGCCTAGGCTAAGGGTTCTTCAGTAGCTCCCATTAGCAATGAACAGAGTGTCTAGAGTTCCTTGCGTAGCCTTTTCAAAAGCCCAAAATAAATGACTGTTGTCCTGACTTAGATGCGGTCACGTGAATCTGGGCGACTTCGACTTCTAAGCCCAAAATAAATAAGTTACTTTTTCTAACTCAGATGCGGCCACGTGAAGCTGGGCGACTTCGACTCCTAAGCCCAAAATACTTGACTTTAGGTCCTATGTCCCGTAGATGGGGCAGAGGGCGTCCACAACAGTCCTCCATCGCGTTCGGTCTTGAGCTTCGCGCTTGATCTCGCTCCAGGTCTTGCCGATTTTCTATGCCTCTGCTACAGTGCGCCGCAAAGTTTGCTGTGGGCGACCACGTTTGCGTTTTCCTTGGGGGTTCCAATCCAGAGCCTGCTTAGGAATGTGATCGGGGTCCCTTCGGAGAGTGTGGCCAATCCAGTTCCACTTGCGACGCTTGATCTGCTGGTCGATCGGAATTTCGTGGCAGCGTTCCAATAGCTAAAGCTAAAGCCCAAAATAACATACTTTTACTAACTCAGATGCGGGCACGTTAAGATGGGCGACTTCGACTCCTAAGTCCTAAGCACAAAATACTTGACTTACTTGACTTAAGGTCCTAAGTCCCCTAGATGGGGCAGAGGGCGTCCACAATACTACAGTGCGCCGCCAAGTTTGCTTGGGGCGACCACGTTTGCGTTTTCCTTGGGGGTTCCAATCCAGAGCCTGCTTAGATCGACCAGCAGATCAAGCGCCTGATTTGCTAGTCGATTGGAATTTCGTGGCAGCGTTCCAATAGCTATAGCTAAAGCCCAAAATAACTTAGTTTTATTAACTTAGATGCGGGCACGTGAAGCTGGGCGACTTCGGGTCGTGCGCGCGGCTGGCCGAGGGCGGCGCGCTGGGCGCGGGCACGGCGGACTACGCGGCGCCCGAGCTGCTGGCGGCGGCGGACTGCGCGCGCCGCCACTCAGTCTGTCTCGCGCTCTGCCGCGGCATCGCCGCCAACGCCATTGTGGGTCCGCTGGAGTACAGTAATACCCGGCCGATAGGCACATGAGCAAAAAAATGGATAGTTGTTAAATGGCACACATATAAAAAATGTCAGGCCAGGAACTGGAAGCAATGATGATTGAGTATTGATCAACAGAACAAACAATATGGTTCTTTTATTTTGAACATGAGTCGAAATAGAGAATTGATTGAAGTTGAAGACCTTAAAGGCCGGCAACGCACCTGTAACGCCCCTGGGTCTGCTATGGGCGACGGTAATAACTTAACATCAGGTGATCCGTCTGCTCGTTTGCCTCCTGTCACATAAAAAAAAAGCTAAGCACATAAGCTACTGTACTGCCTAATCTGGCACTATAAATATAATAAAGCTCATCTATGCGAAAATGTAATAAATAAAAGATTAATCTTTATGAATTCCTAATACCTATAACAAATGTTTTTTATTTCTAGTAGCAACTCATAAAAAAACATTTTCTATCATTCATTCATCGAATTTGCCCATAATCAAAAAAAAATATTTATTAGGGTATTACTGTACTTATAAAGGTTTGAGTGTAGTGGTGTGTGTGGAAACATATTAATAAATTAAAAACTCAAATCTGCTTCGCGTTCATGAAGTAGTTAGCAACTAATACTCGCATGGTTTTGGCCATTTGGTAGTTAACATGACATGTGTGTGATGAGTCATGAGGATGATGTAGAACTAGGTATTATTTATTTATTCTTATGTTTTTGAAAGTCATGCTTGTTGTTATGATATGAAGATGAAGTCTCTTTTACAATAATTTGCTATAATTTATGAGATTATTTAAAAAGTAGTAAATTCTAAAGTTTTCAAAAGGCATGTATGTTGTGTGTCTAAAATATTTTTCCCTTTGTTTACTTTTCAAATTGATACAATTATGGTAAAATATTAATTCAATCTTTAGACTGTGGCGTCTACATCGCTATGATCAGTTAAAATTTGAAACTTCTTACTTCTCCCAGTTATTTTTAGTAATTAAGTTTGCTACATAAGTTTGTTATAAATTTGTTACTTTACAGTCGGCGTGCGACTACTGGTCCTTGGGTGTGGTGGCGTTCGAACTGGTCACGCTAAAGCGGCCGTTTTCCACCGGGGAGGAAGACTCTATTGCTGAAATTCTTGCCAATATACAAAAGTAAGTATAGTAGTACATACTCGTAGCTATATTAAATTACAACACTCGTCTAAACACCAAAATTGTAGCATAAAATACGGCTGACTTCGTCATAGTAAAAGCCGAGATCTAATAAAATAGATGTGTTGGTGGGTGGTGACAATACTTTGCATGGTCCTTTAGTTCTATGACTTACGCTAAAACTCGCGCAGGCGTCTGTATTGAAATTAAGTATTAGCAGCGCAGTGTGGCGCAGAATCGAGCGACGGGTTTTCACACTCGCCGCTGGGGGCTGATAGGCGAGCGCACGCGGCGTGTGTTCGCCGCAAAGTTGCGTAGCAACCGCTCCGTGCATCCGCGCAAGTTTTAGCATAGGCGTTATATCTACACGTTAAAAATCTGTCAGCGACTCTTCGCATGGTCCTTTCAGTCACAAATACTTTATTTCCTTTTAGATACGAGCGCGAACCAGACGCAGAGCCGCCGTTCGAGCCGGCCCCGAACGGGCCGTCGGACGCCTGGCGCTCGCTAGTGNGTTAATTCAATTTCATAATCAGCAAAGTATAGCTCAAATGTGGGCACGCAAATCTTACAAGTACCTGGACACCGGCAATGCGCCAAATTGTAATTTTCACTGCACTGGCCTACATTATCCTAAAGCAACAATAGGGTTTAACTGATACAATAGAGAGAGTATACGCCATACAACCTTTGAACCTGTAACTGGCTTTTTTCTGCTCATCATCTTCTGCAACTGGAATCTTCAATTCTCATACGAAACATTGGTTGCAAGCAAATAAATGGTCACGTGAAGCTGGACGACTTCGACTCCTAAGCCCAAAACAACGTACTTTTATTAACAGATGCGGGCACGTGAAGCTGGGCGACTTCGGGTCGTGCGCGCGGCTGGCCGAGGGCGGCGCGCTGGGCGCGGGCACGGCGGACTACGCGGCGCCCGAGCTGCTCGCGGCGGCGGACTGCGCGCGCCGCCACTCAGTCTGTCTCGCGCTCTGCCGCGGCATCGCCGCCAACGCCATTGTGGGTCCGCTGGAGTACAGTAATACCCGGCCGATAGGCACATGAGCAAAAAAATGGATAGTTGTTAAATGGCACACATAAAAAATGACAGGCCACTTTTATAGCCCTCAAATATTCCTACAGGGCGCATTAACAAGGCACATTATGTTCTGTAGTTTATAAGTACGAACTGGAAGCAATGGTGATTGAGTATTGATTAACAAAACAAATATAATTATTATTGACATGTCAAGAACATGAGTCGAAATAGAGAATTGATTTACATAAAGTACCATAACAACACATAAAGCCTACTGTACTGCCTAATCTGGCACTATAAATATAATAAAGCTCATCTATGCGAAAATGTAATAAATAAAAAAATAATCTTTATGAATTCCTAATACCTATAACAAATGTTTTTTATTTCTAGTAGCAACTCAATACATTTTCTATCATTCATTCATCGAATTTGCCCATAATCTAAAAAAAATATTTATTAGGGTATTACTGTACTTATAAAGGTTTGAGTGTAGTGGTGTGTGTGGAAACATATTAATAAATTAAAAACTCAAATCTGCTTCGCGTTCATGAAGTAGTTAGCAACTAATACTCGCATGGTTTTGGCCATTTGGTAGTTAACATGACATGTGTGTGATGAGTCATGAGGATGATGTAGTTCTAGGTATTATTTATTTATTCTTATGTTTTTGATAGTCGTGCTTGTTGTGATATGAAAATGAAGTCTCTTTTATAATAATTTGCTATAATATATGAGATTATTTAAAAAGTAGTAAATTCTAAGGCTTTCGAAAAGCATGTATGTTGTGTGTGTAAAATATTTTTCCCTTTGTTTACTTTTTAAAATTGATACAATTATGGTAAAATATTTAGATACTTTAGACTTATAACTTCTTACTTCTCCCAGTTATTTTTTAGTAATGAAGTTTGCTACATAAATTTGTTATAACTTTGTTACTTTACAGTCGGCGTGCGACTACTGGTCGCTGGGCGTGGTGGCGTTCGAACTGGTCACACTGAAGCGGCCGTTCTCCACCGGGGAGGAAGACTCCATTGCTGAAATTCTTGCCAATATACAAAAGTAAGTGATAGTTATAAACTTACATACCAACATTATCCAACCATCGAAATTTTGTTGCAAAATACCGATGGCAAAGTCGATGTTACTGAACACCTCGTCGATATAATAAATGTGAATTGAATGAAACCTCCATTACTGCTGACGTCGTCATACTGAAAAATTATCATGCTGCCAAGATGTATTTATTAGTACTCGTCAGTTAAGATAGCGTATTGTGACGATACTTTGCATGGTCTTTTTAGTTTTAGGGCTTACGCTAAAACTCGCGCAGGCGTCTGTATTCAAAAATAGTATGGAGCAGCGCAGTGTGGGGCGGTCGCGTGCGCTGGGTATCCACACGCGCCGCGGGGGGCAATATACGAGCGCACGCGGCGAGTGTTCGCCGCAAAGTTCCGTTCATTTGCGCAAGTTTTTTTAGCGTAGGCCTGTAGATAGGTTAAAAATCTGTCAGTTGTTAGGGATGACGATCCTTCCCATAGTCCTTTCTTCTTCTTTTTTGATGATGTTGGCAATACACGTCGAGGTCGACTTGATTTGTGCCATTTTCAAGTATTTATGTGATACGAGTTACAAAATGAGATCAAGTAATGATATAATGAAGGATGATAGATGATACCCCTTCCCACCCTTTGAGTCTCAGAAAAGTTGTGGTGCTTTACTGAGACCTCCTATGGACAACTTGAGAGAACCAGAAGAATCACGATGCACTGCTCTGCTTCACTTGCCCACACTCATGCACGTTCACGAACACTCAATGGTTAATAATCCACCATTATTACACATCAATAGTCGCCCAAACACGAATTTGAGGAAATAAAACAAAACCGCTAACATGACGCTTCAGATTCCCGCCAAGAAGTCCCATAGTCCTTTCTGTCACAAATACTTTATTTTCTTTTAGATACGAGCGCGAACCAGACGCAGAGCCGCCGTTCGAGCCGGCCCCGAATGGGCCGTCCGCCGCCTGGCGCTCGCTAGTGGCGGGGCTGCTGCGCGTGGCGCCGGCGCGCCGCTACAACTACCTCGACACGCTGCAGCACGCCGCGCTCGCGCACGCGCACCTGCACTCCATCCGCGACCAGGTGCGTCCTTGTCTATGCTCGCCCGAGCGGGTCGTCCGCCGCCTGGCGCTCGCTAGTGGCGGGGCTGCTGCGCGTGGCGCCGGCGCGCCGCTACAACTACCTCGACACGCTGCAGCACGCCGCGCTCGCGCACGCGCACCTGCACTCCATCCGCGACCAGGTGCGTCCTTGTCTATGCTCGCCCGAGCGGGTCGTCCGCCGCCTGGCGCTCGCTAGTGGCGGGGCTGCTGCGCGTGGCGCCGGCGCGCCGCTACAACTACCTCGACACGCTGCAGCACGCCGCGCTCGCGCACGCGCACCTGCACTCCATCCGCGACCAGGTGCGTCCTTGTCTATGCTCGCCCGAGCGGGTCGTCCGCCGCCTGGCGCTACAACTACCTCGATGCACATTAATGAACGCCGCAAATGCAGGCTAAGCCCTAGTTCCACGTCGTCTTTTCCCCGCATCTCGCACACCTGAAAGCGTCCTACGATTTGTTATCAGCAATAGACAGACTTCTAACAGCTACGTACCTCTTCTATTGTCTCGTCTCCTCTCTGCTTAAGATGCAAACAGGGCCTAAATATGCCATCAAGAACACGTTTCTGTCACATTTTTATAGCGTCTATTATTGACCATAACTCACTCAGAGCTTGGCACATAATTTATGTAAGTGTTTATTTATTTTTTTTTTATTTGTTTTATTTTATTCGGAAAACCAACAGCAATACAATACAAATAATGGGACCTTAAATTATGTAAGTGTTACGTTGGCATGAGCCTTTTGCAAGCTCGCTTCGCTTTGTTTATACCCTGCAATTTACGATATAACTTGTAGACGAGGCATATTGACTTACGTTGCCACAGTACAAGTCATAGCGTGCATGTGTAACGCGTTTACGTCGTGCGCAGGCGCCGCCGTGGGTGCCGACGCTGCGGGGTGCGGAAGACGCGGCGTACTTCCGCGCGGAGCCGCGGGACGCGCGCCCGCCCTCCGCCGCGCCCTTCCGTTCCCGCCCGCCCTTCGCCGGACAGCTGCCGTTCATTGGTAAATATTACAACCTATAGATAACGCTGTCGAAAAGTTATAGCTTGTCCCCTCACAATGTCTAGTTTCAGTTACCAAACAATACTTTTATATTTGTGTAAACTTGGAAAGGTCGGTGTTACTTTACGAGATTGAATCAGAAATAAGGAGATACGTAAACGAACTAAATTCGCTGACATAGCCCGACGGATTAGCAAGCTGAAGTGGCAATGGGAAGTGCACATAGTACGCAGAACTGATGGCCGATGGGGCAGCAAGGTTCTGGGAGTAAAGGCCACGTACCGAAAAACGCAGCGTGAAACGTTCGTCCACAAGGTGGACCGACGACCTGATAAAGATAGCAGGTCATTGGAGGAGGCCTTGTTCAGCAGTAGATGTCCTGTAGCTGAAATGATGATGATGATGTAAACCATATTGCTTACATTCCCAACTAGTGTCAGATTGGAGTATGTGTGATTGTCACACAATGGTTCAAATGTCATGCTAAATGATCTGCGCGCATTCTTTCGCTTCATTTACCGCATTTTGGCATTTCAATTGACTTATTTACTTGTCATTTTTTTTCGCAGGATACTCGTATGTAGCACCAGAAGAAAATGAAGATAGTCACAGTGGAGGTTTCAACGCTTCACACGACTGTACTGCTATAGATTTGGCTACGTTCAAGTAAGTTCATGACTTTGAATGATTACAGACAAAGCTCAAAACTGAATCAATTCCAGTGTAAAGAGGCGATGCGAAAGGGTGTTTTAATTTCATCATAATGCCAGCGATACTTGTGCTTCAGACATTTGTATACCATGACAAGTCTTGTACGTCACATGCCCGGCCTCGCCTAATAAACGCTATACCTGTAATAACAAATAATTCTGCTATTAAACAGCTTGCAACCCTAACATATTTCTTATAAAACCATTTTAGATCAGCAGAAAAACTAGCAGCGATGCGTGGACGAGAAATAGCATCACTTCAAAATAAACTGGCGGCGGCGGAGGCGGCGGCGGGTGCGGCGGCGGAGAAGACTCGTCGCGACGCCGACGCCGAGGCCGAGCGGACGCGCGCCCGGCTACAGGCAGATATCACGGCGCTCAGCTTGCAGAACACGTATGTATTACTAGTGGCGATGTTTTGGTGGGAGATAGCGGCGCTTCAAAGTAAACTAGCGCAGGCGGCAGCGGGCGCAGCGGCCGAGAAGACGCGCGGCGACGCCGACGCCGAGGCCGAGCGGACGCGCGCCCGGCTACAGGCAGATATCACGGCGCTCAGCTTGCAGAACACGTATGTATTACTAGTGGCGATGTTTTGGTGGGAGATAGCGGCGCTTCAAAGTAAACTAGCGCAGGCGGCAGCGGGCGCAGCGGCCGAGAAGACGCGCGGCGACGCCGACGCCGAGGCCGAGGGGATGCGCGCCCGGCTACAGGCCGAGATCACGGCGCTCAGCTTGCAGAACACGTATGTATTACTAGCGGCGATGTTTTGGTGGGAGATAGCGGCGCTTCAAAGTAAACTAGCGCAGGCGGCAGCGGGCGCAGCGGCCAAGAAGACGCGCGGCGACGCCGACGCCGAGGCCGAGGGGATGCGCGCCCGTTTACAGGCCGAGATGGCGGCGCTCAGCTTGCAGAACACGTATGTATTACTAGCGGCGATGTTTTGGTGGGAGATAGCGGCGCTTCAAAGTAAACTAGCGCAGGCGGCAGCGGGCGCAGCGGCCAAGAAGACGCGCGGCGACGCCGACGCCGAGGCCGAGGGGATGCGCGCCCGTTTACAGGCCGAGATGGCGGCGCTCAGCTTGCAGAACACGTATGTATCAGTGGCGATGCATGCGAGGGAGATACATGCGCTTCAAAGTAAGCGATGCGTGGGAGAGAGATAGCATCACTTTAAAACAAACTGGCGGCGGCGGGCGTATATCGGACTATAGATGATTATGTGCTAAAGAGAATACTTTTCTTAAATTCAATACATCAATACAAACATTTTTTTTTTTCAATGTGACCACTAGGATGCTTTATAGCCCACAAATTCTTCGTGAGATGATGACGAGCTCAAATAACCTTTCAACATTTCATCTCCAAATTGTAGTTTACAGTATCACGCGACAGCGATATCGATATGGCACAATAGAAATGTCTATTAACATATCCTCAACCAATTTTTTAACAGCCGCCTCGAACGCCAAATCGAAGTCGAAAAGGAAGAGCGGATGGCTCTCCAGCGAACCAACCAGGAACTTTCCTCTGGTTTAGCCGAGCGCTCGGCGGCCGAATTAGCGGCGGCGCGGGCCAACGCGGCCTTGCTGCAGGCCGAGCGGGACAGCCTGAGGGACTGCACGCGGAGGCTGGAGGCACGGGTAGCGGAATTACAGGCAGAGTGCGCCCGCGCCGCTTCGGCGGCTGATGAAGCTAGGGTCCAGCATATGCATTATAAGGTGAGATATTATGTTAGTTTGCATATTAATAAGGAATACAACCTGAGCGTGATATCCCTCGGGACTGCTCTTAAAGGTATTGCAGGCAAGTGCGCCTGCGCAGTTACCACGGCTGATGAATCTAGAGTTTAGCATTGCATTTAGATGTGAGTTTGTGTTTTGTTTACAGAGATGCCATTGATGTTCTTTGGGATTGATTTGATTTGTATTAAAAACCTAATGAATGGCTGAAGTTGACTGTAATGTTGATCAAATTGAGTTGACTTTCATATTAGATAAATACTTATTGAGTTAGTATTAATCAAGTCTTCTATGGCATCCAGTACTAACTCATTCACGTGACACGCTATTCCTTCAGTCATGATGACTAACGAGATTCTTAATATTTTTTTACATTTATTACATGCGTCAGTTACAACCTTGATTATGAAAAACTGACAGCAAAATCTACCGTTTAATGGACGCCTATAACTATTATATCGATTTTTGATATGTAGGAAATATTAGAACACGTGCACGAGTTGCGACACCGAAGACTCACAGAAATCAATGTTCGGGCGATTGTGAGTTTACCACGAGTTTAAGTAGTATCTTGTAGAAGTCTTATGTTAGTTAGAGCCTCTAAGTTATAGGTATAAAGTCCGGTCGCCGAGCACGTAGAATAGAATGCAATATAATTACGCGCGAGCGATAAGGATGGGTAACTTGGGGTCATTGGACGAAATTCTATGTGCTCGGCGACCGAACTTAAGAAAAACATCTGGAAAATATGTTTATAGTAGCTAGATAAGGATATTTATGTATGTATACTTGTATTTAGTTTTAGTTAATCCATTATGTAGTACAAACTCAGTTTGATTTAGATAGTTAATTATTGGAATAATGTTTTCGTAGTCATTATTGTACTTTAGCTACTTATGTATCTTTTACATTTATATTTCAATTATATTTCCCTTCGCCAGGACTCGGTAGCTAAAGAACGCGCGTTACGTCGTCAAACCCTCACCGGAGGAGAAGTTGAAAGCCGTGAGATGGCGGCTCGCTTGGCAGCGGCCGAGGCGGCTACGGCCCGAGAAGTGAGAGCGCGCGAACAAGCCGCCACTCGTCTTGCAGACTTAGAGGATGAATACGGAACGCTACAGGCCGAGCAGTGCGCGTTGCAAGCTGAATTAGACGACGCGAGGACTGAGCTTGCTGCTGTTAAGGTTAGTTCTAGACTAGAGTTCATATAGGAATTAATTATACCATCACAGACAAGCCCCGGCCCTATTGTGGTCTTGAGATGGCGGCTCGCNTGACCTTGAGCCTTCTTATAAGGCCCATAGTAAGCGACCACGTTTCAGATCCTTAAACTTTCCTATTTATTTCACGACTAGCTTTTGTTCTTGGCTTCACCCGCGTGAAATTTAGTGTCACAGATCGGCATAAATAATTTATTATAGCCTATATGTTAATCTGGGTTACAACAAACAATAATATTGTACAGTTTCAACAAAATCCGTTGAGTACTTTTTGCGTGAAAGAGTAACAAACCTGAGACACAGGAATCTTCCTAGTTCAGGTATCAACCACCAACATTCTTACTTTTTGTTTTTCCTGATTGTTTGTTATCATAATATTATCTGTTATGTTGGTGAGAAATAATTACTTTACTTTATTATAAACTTCCAGACATCCAAACTTTCGCATTTATAATATTAGTAGGATACTCAATTATGTAATGTAGAAACAAACAAGACAAAAAAAAATGTATACTTCAGCAACGCGAATTTTTTTATACTTCAGCATATTTAGGACACCCGGCAGCGTGTCCTACCATGATCAAAGAAAAAAGAACTCGCAATTTAGCAGGTACATTAAACGAGGTCACAAAATTCGAAAAGAACATAGCGAAATCTATTTATTCACCAATTTTCAAAAATTCCGGAAAACTTTCCAAGCAAAATTAACAAATAACTGGACTATTTACTCGTTATTGAGCACAGAGACACAAACTTGGTTATTTTTCCAGAAAATTTATATTTATGTGCATAAATGTAAAAATGGCTTCATAGTGCACAAAATTGGCAATAGGTGGCATAATAATGGTTACTTTTTTAGCGCGTAGTTTGAAATGTGATTGAACGATGACAACTAACAACAGTTGTCAGTTAGGTAAAATTTTATTTTAGTTGGAAAAAGACAAAAAGTGGTAAATGGGTTAACGTGAAGGGGCTGCAAAATCATGTTGTGACGTCACGCGCGAATATTGGAAATTTTTGAAAATTTTAAAATGTCCGTAAACTTCTCGAGGCTATATCTTCGGTAATACTGGATGGATTGAGGTGAAATAAAAACTAGTGTAATGTGTGTGATCTAAACTTTAAATTAAGTCATAATTTAACTTAATATTACAACTTATGCGTGTTGTCCATTGTGGTTGTCCGACAGGCCCGGCGAGTTGACGAGACCTGGCGCGCTTAAGTTTCTGTCCGCACCAATAAATCGATACCCCTATGAATAAGGGGCATTCCTTTATTCGCAACCCGAAGACTGATAGCAGAAAAACTACACAAAACTGCACGTCCAACTGTACACGGACTATATGAAGTGCTTAAGTTTACGTTCATTGGCGTATCTAGGGTAATTTGTCAATTACTAACATGGGCCGTGCCCAATGCCCACCCCGCTATACAAGCGTGCTTACGTTACTAATATGACCTCTATCATTTAACTAACGTGGCTCGAAGCTTTCGTGCTATATACAGGGTAGAATTTTGTAATGCCACCTGGAGGGAAAGTATTCTTAATATTGTAGATAGAACATTTTTCGCAAAGAAAAGAAATAGAAATAGTTCTTTTTGAAAAGAAATAGAACTACATTCAAAGATTTCCAAAAATTTGCTTGCCACACCCGGGAATCGAACCAACTAAAATCTGTTAAAAATTCCACCCTGTATAGCACAAGTCACAACCACTGCACTGCGTGACTCGTAGACAAAGCATGTTCCTTTACACACAGATATTTACGTGTATGTATGTGCGCAGGCGCCGCCGTGGGTGCCTACGTTGCGCGGCGCGGAGGACGCGGCGTACTTCCGCGCGGAGCCGCGGGACGCGCGCCCGCCCTCCGCCGCGCCCTTCCGTTCGCGCCCGCCCTTCGCCGGACAGCTGCCGTTCATTGGTAAATATTACAACCTATAGATAACGCTGTCGAAAATTTATAGCTTGTCCCCTCACAATGTCTAGTTTCAGTTACCAAACAATACTTTTATATTTGTGTAAACTTGGAAAGGTCGGTGTTTCTTTACGAGATTGAATCAGAAATAAGGAGATACGTAAACGAACTAAATTCGCTGACATAGCCCGACGGATTGGCAAGCTGAAGTGGCAATGGGAAGTGCACATAGTACGCAGAACTGATGGCCGATGGGGCAGCAAGGTTCTGGGAGTAAAGGCCACGTACCATAATCCACAAGGTGGACCGACGACCTGATAAAGATAGCAGGTCATTGGAGGAGGCCTTGTTCAGCAGTAGATGTCCTGTAGCTGAAATGATGATGATGATGTAAACCATATTGCTTACATTCCCAACTAGTGTCAGATTGGAGTAGGTATGTGTGATTGTCACACAATGGTTCAAATGTCATGCTAAATGATCTGCGCGCATTCTTTCGCTTCATTTACCGCATTTTGGCATTTCAATTGACTTATTTACTTGTCATTTTTTTTCGCAGGATACTCGTATGTAGCACCAGAAGAAAATGAAGATAGTCACAGTGGAGGCTTCAACGCTTCTCACGACTGTACTGCTATAGATTTGGCTACGTTCAAGTAAGTTTATGTTCTTTAAAGATTACAGACATAGCTCAAAACTAAATCGATTCCAGTGCAAAGGGGCGATGCGATAGGGTGTTTTAATTTCATCATAATGTCAGCGATACTTAGTCTTGTGCTTCAGACATGTATACCGTGATAGCTTTGGCCTTTTAGCAGAGGCCTGGCATGTGACGTAATCACATGCCAGGCCTCTGCTATCGCTACACCAAGAAGCAACTCAAGTTATGCGCTATAACTGTAATAACAAAGGATTCTGCTATTAAACAGCTTGCAACCCTAACATATTTCTTATAAAACCATTTTAGATCAGCAGAAAAACTAGCAGCGATGCGTGGACGAGAAATAGCATCACTTCAAAACAAACTGGCTGCGGCAGAGGCGGCGGCGGGCGCGGCGGCCGAGAAGACTCGTCGCGACGCCGACGCCGAGGCCGAGCGGACGCGCGCCCGGCTACAGGCCGAGATCACGGCGCTCAGCTTGCAGAACACGTATGTATTATTACAACTGGAGGCGATGCGTGGTAGGATAGCTGCTTTGCAAAGTAAACTAGCGGCGGCGGGCGCGGCGGCCGAGAAGACGCGCCGCGACGCCGACGCCGAGGCCGAGCGGACGCGCGCCCGGCTACAGGCCGAGATCACGGCGCTCAGCTTGCAGAACACGTATGTATTATTACAACTGGAGGCGATGCGTGGTAGGATAGCTGCTTTGCAAAGTAAACTAGCGGCGGCGGGCGCGGCGGCCGAGAAGACGCGCCGCGACGCCGACGCCGAGGCCGAGCGGACGCGCGCCCGGCTACAGGCCGAGATCACGGCGCTCAGCTTGCAGAACACGTATGTATTACTAGCGGCGATGTTTTGGTGGGAGATAGCGGCGCTTCAAAGTAAACTAGCGCAGGCGGCAGCGGGCGCAGCGGCCAAGAAGACGCGCGGCGACGCCGACGCCGAGGCCGAGGGGATGCGCGCCCGTTTACAGGCCGAGATGGCGGCGCTCAGCTTGCAGAACACGTATGTATTACTAGCGGCGATGTTTTGGTGGGAGATAGCGGCGCTTCAAAGTAAACTAGCGCAGGCGGCAGCGGGCGCAGCGGCCAAGAAGACGCGCGGCGACGCCGACGCCGAGGCCGAGGGGATGCGCGCCCGTTTACAGGCCGAGATGGCGGCGCTCAGCTTGCAGAACACGTATGTATTACTAGCGGCGATGTTTTGGTGGGAGATAGCGGCGCTTCAAAGTAAACTAGCGCAGGCGGCAGCGGGCGCAGCGGCCAAGAAGACGCGCGGCGACGCCGACGCCGAGGCCGAGGGGATGCGCGCCCGTTTACAGGCCGAGATGGCGGCGCTCAGCTTGCAGAACACGTATGTATCAGTGGCGATGCATGCGAGGGAGATACATGCGCTTCAAAGTAAGCGATGCGTGGGAGAGAGATAGCATCACTTTAAAACAAACTGGCGGCGGCGGGCGTATATCGGACTATAGATGATTATGTGCTAAAGAGAATACTTTTCTTAAATTCAATACATCAATACAAACATTTTTTTTTTTCAATGTGACCACTAGGATGCTTTATAGCCCACAAATTCTTCGTGAGATGATGACGAGCTCAAATAACCTTTCAACATTTCATCTCCAAATTGTAGTTTACAGTATCACGCGACAGCGATATCGATATGGCACAATAGAAATGTCTATTAACATATCCTCAACCAATTTTTTAACAGCCGCCTCGAACGCCAAATCGAAGTCGAAAAGGAAGAGCGGATGGCTCTCCAGCGAACCAACCAGGAACTTTCCTCTGGTTTAGCCGAGCGCTCGGCGGCCGAATTAGCGGCGGCGCGGGCCAACGCGGCCTTGCTGCAGGCCGAGCGGGACAGCCTGAGGGACTGCACGCGGAGGCTGGAGGCACGGGTAGCGGAATTACAGGCAGAGTGCGCCCGCGCCGCTTCGGCGGCTGATGAAGCTAGGGTCCAGCATATGCATTATAAGGTGAGATATTATGTTAGTTTGCATATTAATAAGGAATACAACCTGAGCGTGATATCCCTCGGGACTGCTCTTAAAGGTATTGCAGGCAAGTGCGCCTGCGCAGTTACCACGGCTGATGAATCTAGAGTTTAGCATTGCATTTAGATGTGAGTTTGTGTTTTGTTTACAGAGATGCCATTGATGTTCTTTGGGATTGATTTGATTTGTATTAAAAACCTAATGAATGGCTGAAGTTGACTGTAATGTTGATCAAATTGAGTTGACTTTCATATTAGATAAATACTTATTGAGTTAGTATTAATCAAGTCTTCTATGGCATCCAGTACTAACTCATTCACGTGACACGCTATTCCTTCAGTCATGATGACTAACGAGATTCTTAATATTTTTTTACATTTATTACATGCGTCAGTTACAACCTTGATTATGAAAAACTGACAGCAAAATCTACCGTTTAATGGACGCCTATAACTATTATATCGATTTTTGATATGTAGGAAATATTAGAACACGTGCACGAGTTGCGACACCGAAGACTCACAGAAATCAATGTTCGGGCGATTGTGAGTTTACCACGAGTTTAAGTAGTATCTTGTAGAAGTCTTATGTTAGTTAGAGCCTCTAAGTTATAGGTATAAAGTCCGGTCGCCGAGCACGTAGAATAGAATGCAATATAATTACGCGCGAGCGATAAGGATGGGTAACTTGGGGTCATTGGACGAAATTCTATGTGCTCGGCGACCGAACTTAAGAAAAACATCTGGAAAATATGTTTATAGTAGCTAGATAAGGATATTTATGTATGTATACTTGTATTTAGTTTTAGTTAATCCATTATGTAGTACAAACTCAGTTTGATTTAGATAGTTAATTATTGGAATAATGTTTTCGTAGTCATTATTGTACTTTAGCTACTTATGTATCTTTTACATTTATATTTCAATTATATTTCCCTTCGCCAGGACTCGGTAGCTAAAGAACGCGCGTTACGTCGTCAAACCCTCACCGGAGGAGAAGTTGAAAGCCGTGAGATGGCGGCTCGCTTGGCAGCGGCCGAGGCGGCTACGGCCCGAGAAGTGAGAGCGCGCGAACAAGCCGCCACTCGTCTTGCAGACTTAGAGGATGAATACGGAACGCTACAGGCCGAGCAGTGCGCGTTGCAAGCTGAATTAGACGACGCGAGGACTGAGCTTGCTGCTGTTAAGGTTAGTTCTAGACTAGAGTTCATATAGGAATTAATTATACCATCACAGACAAGCCCCGGCCCTATTGTGGTCTTGAGATGGCGGCTCGCTTACCAGCGGCTGAGGCGGCTACGGCCCGAGAAGTGAGAGCGCGCGAACAAGCCGCGAACCGCTTAGCCGACTTAGAAGATGAATACGGAACGCTACAGGCCGAGCAGTGCGCGTTGCAAGCCGAGTTGGACGACGCGAGGACTGAGCTTGCTGCTGTTAAGGTTAGTTTTAGACTAGAGTTTATACAGGAACTGTTCATATCACATGGACAACACCAACGTTACCATTGCCGTGAGATGGCGGCTCGCTTGGCAGCGGCCGAGGCGGCTACGGCCCGAGAAGTGAGAGCGCGCGAACAAGCCGCGAACCGCTTAGCCGATCTAGAGGATGAATACGGAACACTACAAGCTGAGCAATGCGCGCTGCAGGCCGAGTTGGACGACGCGAGGACGGAACTTGCTGCTGTTAAGGTTAGTTTTAGACTAGAGTTTATACAGGAACTGTTTATATCACTTTATAGACAACCCCGGTTTGAATATGGCGGCGAGATCGCCACCCACCACCCGCCTAGCCAACCTAGAGGACGAGTTCGGAACACTACAGGCCTAGCAGTGCTGCAAGCTGTATTGGATGATGCGAGTGATCAATAAGAAGAGTTGACTTAGGAACTATGAATATCATTTCCTGTTTATTCCTGTTTGCAAACAGGAAAATCCCCGGCCTGGATATGATCCGCTATGATTTTTGACGCCTCTTGCAAGCAATTGAAAATCAAGCATGACTAACGTAAATAACTAACGTCAATGCATACTGTATTTGTCCAGGAATCTATGAAAGACAAACAACACTCAGTGGACTCGTCTGCAAACTACCTGAAGGAAGCCCAGCAACAGTTGGCGCAGGAACGCGTGCGCAGCTCGTCTCTGCAGGCGCAAGTCAAGGTAATTCACTAAAAAACGATGACGTAGTTGATCATGAATGTGTATTGTATCTTAATATTAACGATTTCTTTGATTCATGACAAAAAATCAGAACAGAACAATAACAACTAAAAAAATAGGCAAGTAATGGTTCAGGAAATGTAGGAATTTCTAATAACAAAAAATTTTTCACATGGTGCCTATTGTTCTCCAATCAAATGTTACATTGGTTTTTTTTTACACTATTCACTATGACCATGAATGTCCAAAAGTCAGACAGTTTTGTCAGAAATAAACAATACTTGAAAACTAATTTAATTTCTTTTTACAATGATACCAAAAGATGACGAATCAATTATAATTATATTACAAAAAAAATAAGTTCCCATTAAATAATTTATGCTCTGCATCTGAAAACCTACACTTTTTGGGATTCCTGTGAGGATAAGAAAACTCCTTTTATGCAGGAATTAGAGCGAGGGCTGCAAGAAGCAGCACGCCGGGAGGCATCTTTAGAAGAGCAGTGCTCGCGCACCGAAGCGCGTCTCAACGAGCGATTGGACGCGGCCGAGACACGCGTGGCCGCCGCCGTTGGCGACGAGGCCCGTCACCGGGAGAAGGTATGACGCGACCGTGGGACTCGGAGAAATAAACGACACTATCAGTCAATGTTCTGCAGTCAAAGTTGTCTCACAACAAAATTTTATTGAAAATACTAGTGTTTGACGTCATTCANTGGCTCGCTTACCAGCGGCTGAGGCGGCTACGGCCCGAGAAGTGAGAGCGCGCGAACAAGCCGCGAACCGCTTAGCCGACTTAGAAGATGAATACGGAACGCTACAGGCCGAGCAGTGTGCACTGCAGGCCGAGTTGGACGACGCGAGGACTGAGCTTGCTGCTGTTAATGTTAGTTCTAGAGTTCATATAGGAATTAATTATACCATCACAGACAAGCCCCGGCCCTATTGTGGTCTTGAGATGGCGGCTTGCTTGGCAGCGGCCGAGCCGGCACGCGGAGTGCGCGCCCGTGAACAAGCCGCGAACCGCCTTGCAGGCTTGGAAGATGAATACGGAACACTACAAGCTGAGCAATGCGCGCTGCAGGCCGATTTGGACGACGCGAGGACGGAACTCGCTGCTGTTAAGGTACTTAATAAGTGTCCGTACTGGAACTGTGATATAAACAGGACAACCCCTTGGCTAGAATTAACTGTTACACTTTTGACCCGACCCACGAAACAACTGGAAATTGCGCGTAAAAAAAGTAAATTTTCAGTACACTGCGATAAGATAGTGAGAGCTATCAAAACTGGACACTAAAACTGAACTTGGCCTAAAGTAATTCTAGGTCAAGTTCGTCGATTGTTTTGTACCATTTAAGATTTTTAGCAGACAGTATTATATTTGTCCAGGAATCAATGAAAGACAAACAACACTCGGTGGACTCGTCTGCAAACTACCTGAAGGAAGCTCAGCAACAGTTGGCGCAGGAACGCGTGCGCAGCTCGTCTCTGCAGGCGCAAGTCAAGGTAATTCACTAAAAAACGATGACGTAGTTGATCATGACAAAAACAACGATTTCTTTGATTCATGACAAAAAGTCCGAACAAAACAATAACAACAAAAAAAAAATCGGCAAGTAATGGTTCAGGAAAAGTAGGAATTTCTAATAACAAAAAGTTTTTTTACATAGTGCCTATTGTTCTCCAATCAAATGTTACATTGTTTTTTTTACACTATTCACTATGACCATGAACGTCCAAAAGTCCGACAGTTTGTCATATAAATAATATCTGAAACCTACATAATTATTAGTTTGTTTTTTTACAAAATATTTTTTACAAGAATACCGTAAACAAAACATGACAAATTAATTAATATCATTATGGTAGGCTCTGCATCTGAAAAAGAACTCTTTGGTTTTGTGCAGTGCAGTCCCTAAAAAGTATAGGCAAGGGTCTACACTTTCTAGTTCCCGTATAAAGTCAATCAATCTACTTTTCTGTACAGGAGTTAGAGCGAGGGCTACAAGAAGCAGCACGCCGGGAGGCATCTTTAGAAGAGCAGTGCTCGCGCACCGAAGCGCGTCTCAACGAGCGATTGGACGCGGCCGAGACACGCGTGGCCGCCGCCGTTGGCGACGAGGCCCGTCACCGGGAGAAGGTATGATGCGACCGTGTGACTCGGAGAAAGAAAGGACACTATCAGTCAATTTTCTGCAGTCAAAGTTGTCTCCCCACGATTTTTTATGAAAATACTGGTGTTTGATGTCATTCAAAGTCACCAGAACTAGCTTAGATCTGAAAGCTAGAATGAAGTGTTTTTAAAGAAGTTTTTAAGCTGTCTTGGAGTAATTTTTATTGGTGTCTGTCAACTCGGCCGTTTGGTGTAGTGGTTCAAAACGGATTACTATGCCGAGAGGTCCCGGGTTCGATTCCCGGCCGGGCAGAAATTGAAGTGATGAATTTTAATTTCTGTGACGGGTCTGGGTGTTACTATGTATAATATGTATGTATTAAAAAAAAAAGTATATATATAAGTAATATATCCGTTAAGCTAGCACCCATAACACAAGCATTAAGTTGCTTACTTTGGGGCTAGCTGGCGTTGTGTGAAATTGTCCAAAGATTTATTTATTTATTTATTTATTAATCATCTACCTACTATTTGTGAATAGTGATCGGTCCCCTATACTAAAACCTAATATATTGTGCCATAGAAGACGCAACCAGCGCTGCAGCGTTATAGCTTTTCGATGCGCGCTATCAACGCTTTCTTTGTATTGTTTTCAAACATTCCCAAGAGATTTCAGGAACAAAATTGTATACCTAATAACAATATTGAAAGAAAGAAATATTTATCTCTATCTAAGTTTCTACCATTTAAGCTGTCAATTTTCCAGGTGAACACCCTAGAGCAGCTAGTCCGTCAGCTCGAGCGCGAAGTCAGCGCATTAGAATCACGCGGCTGCGCGCAGTGCGCGGCGCGCGCCGACAAGCACGAGGAGGCCGCCAGCGACACCGAGAGTGTCACCGACGCTGCCCATGCTCAGCTGGCGCTCCTCAAGGAGCAGCTGGAGCGGGCTGAGAACCAGTTGCAGGTGAGTCAAGCTGCTTCTATATAACCAGTAAGTCACTCAGTGCGCAACTACAAGCACGAGGAAGCCGCCAGCGACACCGAGAGCGTCACCGACGCTGCCCATGCACAGCTGGCGCTCCTCAAGGAGCAGCTGGAGCGGGCTGAGAACCAGTTGCAGGTGAGTCAAGCTGCTTCTATATAACCAGTAAGTCACTCAGTGCGCAACTACAAGCACGAGGAAGCCGCCAGCGACACCGAGAGCGTCACCGACGCTGCCCATGCACAGCTGGCGCTCCTCAAGGAGCAGCTGGAGCGGGCTGAGAACCAGTTGCAGGTGAGTCAAGCTGCTTCTATATAACCAGTAAGTCACTCAGTGCGCAACTACAAGCACGAGGAAGCCGCCAGCGACACCGAGAGCGTCACCGACGCTGCCCATGCACAGCTGGCGCTCCTCAAGGAGCAGCTGGAGCGGGCTGAGAACCAGTTGCAAGTGAGTCAAGCTGCTTTCATTAATTAGCGGGTCATACAAGCACGAGGAGGCCGCCAGCGACACTGAGAGCGTCACCGACGCTGCCCATGCTCAGCTGGCGCTCCTCAAGGAGCAGCTGGAGCGGGCGGAGAACCAGTTGCAAGGAGTCAAGCTGCTTTCATTCAATTAAATTTGTCCAAGGGTTAATTCCCTAAAACGGACAGCAGAAACCTACTTTAATGTAATTCATTTTAATTTAATGTAATTTGTTATCTACAGGCTCGCGCCGAAGAAATGGCCAATCTACGTCAAGAAGCCAGAACTGCGAATCTTGCAAGGTGGCGAAAGGTATGTCAACACTACAATCCCTTACTAATTATATCTATCAATCCTTCCAACAGTTATGAACATACTATTTTCATTTTGTCCTAGGAACGAGAATACAACGACCTGTCAGTAGAAGCGAAGTCCGCCGCGCGCGATCTCAAACGCCTTGAAGAACGATTGTCCCATGCTACGGAAGCGCGCAGGACGGCTGAGCAGAAAGCCAGCAGTTTACAGAACGAACTGGCGACTCTGAAGCCGCAATACGAACAGGCTAGCAAGGAGGCTGAGAGGGCCAAGGAACAGCTGGAGAAACTGAGGAAGGCACATGAAACTGCGGTGGCTGAAGTCGACAGGTAAGTTTGTGTACAGAAGATAGTACTTCAGACTTACATTTTTGTTGTAAAGTCGCCTTTATTACAGTTACATTAGATGCCTCGGTGTTTAGCTTGACTTGCTGTGTTTACGTTTACTTACGCATACTCCATAGGACGCTCTCTTGCTATATTGTTGATATGAGATCTGTTGATGACTGGCTCAAATTAAAAGCTTTAAAGTTCAAGTTTAGTTGTTGCAATTCACGAAGGCGTGTGAGCTTTACATGGGTGGTGGCTCGCTAGTCGCTACTGTTCGTTTTCAAAAGTTGAAAGACATTACACTTGATTACACTATCGTTATGTACTTATACACGTAGACATACAAGTAAAATTCACTCGCCTTCGTGAGTTGCAAGAACTTAATGTGAATTGCCTTAAATTGAAGTTAATATTAGACTATCATGATTCAGATCGCGCAACGACATTCGCAAGCTGAAGAGCGAACTCCAATACAGCGAGAAGCGGCGACTGCACGCCGAGGAAGAAGAGGAACTGTCAAGTCGCGAGCGCGCGCAACTCCGCGACGAACTCAACCAGTTGCGCGCGCAGACCAATGACGTCATGCAGGTACCTACGACTTTTTGGTCCTGGGTCATCTTGGCCAATATAAAAAATCTTGACATAAGTAAGTAAACATTTATTTGCTGCACACAGAGTCACATACATTGTTCAACAAGATTACATAATTCAATATTTAACATGCACATTCAAAATACGAATAACAATTAGAAATGAAATGTGAGCAGGGTTGCGGCAGCTAAAGGTCTCCGTCTCAGCATGTGTCACAAGCTAATGCCTGGACGCTGATTTTCAGACGGTGGTCGACGAAAGTAGAGAGTGGCGGTAATCGCCGCAGCAATTCGCAAGAGCATAAAAACACAAAAAATAAAATTAAATTGCTATTTATGATCTACTTCCATGAATTATTTACAGCTACATACATACTAATCAAAATAAGATCGTTAATGTTTATTGTTAATCCAACGAGAGACATAGATGTGTATTGTTTTGGATTCTTCGGCCATTGTTTGTTGCTATTGAATGGCATCGAATGTAAACAGATATTGTATCTCCTCAATGGACTCGACTGGCAATTCTCTCAGTTCCATTCCATGGGTCGGATGTCCCTAGTGTATATCAAGTGCCCTTTCATAAATTATGTATTGTACAGAGCATACAGTTTAATATGTCCCTTATCAAACTGACTAAGACTGTTGAACGTGGTGAAATAAGTTAATTATACAGAACAAATGTGGGTCAGTGAGTCAATTGGGTCTGTGAAATCGTCGATTCGCCAAATGGATCCATCGATGATCCTACGGTTGAAGCGTAAAGGCAGCAGCGAAAAGCCGCCGATCCGGCCGAAGCCCGCGTTCCTGCGGCATTTGGCTCACGCGGTGGGCGGGCGCTTGCGACTTAGGGAGGGGCCTTGGGCGAGCCGCGTGAGGTTCGCTTTGGCAGCTGATCTGCTGCAAGGCCGCTGTAGAGCTGCTGATAACGCCTTATCTGCTATTAACAATCACATCGTAGTGGTGGGTAATCTACTTTAAAAACACGTCACGTGCCTAGAATGCAACTTAAAATCATCCAAATGGTGTCAGAAATATTTCTTTATTAGTCAAAACGCATTAGTCACGTATCAGAAATCTTTCTTTCATAACGCATTAGTCAAATACATTTTTTTTTGCAGAACAACAAAGCTCTCCAAGAAGCATGCAGTCTACTAGAAGAGCAGTTGACAGATTTGGAGAAATTGGCCGATATTCACGAAATAAAGAACAAAGATCTTGAAGTGAGTAAAGTGCTGTTAAAAATGTTAGTGTTTCCAGTGTAAATCTGATTTAACAATCAGCATTTTAGTGAAAGAAACGTGGAATTCTTAGACTTATCCTTTAAATTAAATCTCTTCTCAAAGCTAGTGCATTACCATCGTTATAGATCGTTTCATCCACGAAGACGCGCCACACTAATTTTTGGTCGAGGGGAGCACAGGGTGCGGGGAGTTTGATCCGAGCGTCATAATTGTAGTGTGCGTGTGCACTCATGGATAATTTGGCGTGTACCAGCACAGAATAATAATAAGTACTACGTACAGAAGTTTTACTTCGCGAAGGTATTTAAAAAAATGTATGCTCAATGTCATTAACAATATGGTGTAATTTATTTATTTTATATTAACTACTTATTTACCTCTCAGTGTCTTGAGGCAACTTAAAAAAGTACATTCTGCGTTTTTATTATTATTTAGGCAGTTAAATACTGCACATTTCTTTATTTTATTCCGCCATACCTACACAAGAATACGCGTGCGTGAGTCAATGTTCGCTCGTATGTGAGGCCTTGTCGAATAGTATCCTATAGGTGAGCCATCGTGCGTGTTTTGTTTTCGATGTAAACTCGCGGAGATGAACAGGCCTAGTACCAGTAACAATCAAACATTAGCGGAAGAATGGTGGTGCGCGTCTTCGTGAATGAAACGATCTATAGCTTACTTATTCCGTGTATTTTTGCATGATGTTCCTTTGTTTTATCGCGTCCTTGCCTTTACCAGAACGAAACCCAGCGCCTCCGTTCAGAGCTGGAGGCGTGTCGCTCGCGCCTGCAAGAGGCGGAACAATTAGCAACTGAGCGTGGTACCGCCGCGTCTCTGGCGGCGCAGAGCGGCGGCGAGGCGCGCGACCAGGCCCGCCACGCGCACTGCCAACTGCAGCTGCTGCGGGTACGAACGCTGCATATAAATGTTATTTGAAAGGTCTGCGCATAAATTTACGCAGGTGCACGGAACGGTACCTCTAGCATGAACAACTTTCGTCTTCGAATCGTTTGCGTATTCGACAAAATTCGAAACCAAATTAAACGATAACGTGTCAATTTTGATTCTCAAGTTTCGTGCAACCATTTCTTGTACTAAATTCACTTTACAACACGTTAACGAGGGCGCTGTTGTAGTTTTCGTATTAAATCTTTTGATGGCGATTCGAATACGCAAACAATTCGAACTCGAAAGTTTTACGTGCTAGCCGTACAGATGCCCGCTCCGGAGGACTGATGCGAGCCTGCGCTCCGCGGCGGCACATAACATAATAAAGCACATTAGGGGCCGTTCAAGTATTACGTAAGCACCAAGGGGGGGTGGGGGGTCTCTGTTTTGCTTATTTTGATGACATGGGGGGGTAGGGGGGTCTAGATGATGATTACGTCATCGTTAGTTATTTACGTTTTTTCGGGGATTCCCGTAATGCAGTTATGTTTGTTATGTTCTTTTTTTCTGATTATATTTTTTGTCCCTTACTCTATGTGTATCAGTTAAACCAAATATTTTCATGAATTTTCCTATTTTAAAAATGACAATATAAAAAACATTTATAACAAATTGTTTACGTAAGCATAGGGGGAGGGGGTAANCGCTAATCTTGCAAGGTGGCGAAAGGTATGTCAACACTACAATCCCTTACTAATAATATCTATCAATCCTTCCAACAGTTATGAACATACTATTTTCATTTTGTCCTAGGAACGAGAATACAACGACCTGTCAGTAGAAGCGAAGTCCGCCGCGCGCGATCTCAAACGCCTTGAAGAACGATTGTCCCACGCTACGGAAGCGCGCAGGACGGCTGAGCAGAAAGCCAGCAGTTTACAGAACGAACTGGCGACTCTGAAGCCGCAATACGAACAAGCTAGCAAGGAGGCTGAGAGGACCAAGGAACAGCTGGAGAAACTGAGGAAGGCACATGAAACTGCGGTCGCGGAAGTTGACAGGTAAGTTTAGCGCTGTGCACAGATCATGAAAAATCAGACTTATGTACCATCCTAGACTGCATCCCATTTAACACCAGGTGCGATTGTGGACAAATACCTGCCTTGTTATGCATAAAAAAGACTTAAATTTTTGTTGCAAAATCGCCTTTATTGCAAGATGCCACAGTACATGTGCTTACGTTTCCGTTACTGTTCACGCTCCATTGGACACTTGCTATATGTATTGCTGACTGTTGATAAGAGATCTGCTGATGCCTGGCTCAGTCATATAACCTTAAAGTTCAAGTAATGAGTATTGCTTTCAACTGAAGTTCACCTCTGCTAATAATCGCCATCCATGATTCAGATCGCGCAACGACATTCGCAAGCTGAAGAGCGAACTCCAATACAGTGAGAAGCGGCGCCTGCACGCCGAGGAAGAAGAGGAACTGTCAAGTCGCGAGCGCGCGCAACTCCGCGACGAACTTAATCAGCTGCGCGCGCAGACCAATGACGTCATGCAGGTACGACTAGTCTAGATCCATGGTGTTTCTAATTACCCATCAAAGTCATTGAAGCAAAGTTTTGGCACTGTTTGTTAGACATGTATGTAGCAAGCCTCATAGCTACCATAAGCATTTATGGTATCGCAAACGAAGATGGCTGAACTGAAACTATTACTGTTAAGGATTTATGTTCCTGGGTCATCTTGGTATATAAAAAAAATCTTGACATAAAGAATTCGAAGAAATGTGTAGGTACCTACTTAAAATTGCTATTAATGATCTACTTTCATGAATTATTTACAGCTACATACATACTAATCAAAATAAGATCGTTAATGTTTATTGTTAATCCACCGAGAGACATAGATGTGTATTGTTTTGGATTCTTCAGCCATTGTTTGTTGCTATTGAATGGCGTCGAATGTAAACAGCTATTGTATCTCCTCAATGGACTCAACTGGCAATTCTCTCAGTTCCATTCCATGGGTCGGATGTCCCTAGTGTATATCAAGTGCCCTTTCATAAATTATGTATTGTACAGAGCGTACATTTTAATATGTCCCTCATCAAACTGACTAAGACAGTTGAACGTGGTGAAATAAGTTAATTATACAGAACAAATGTGGGTCAGTGAGTCAATTGGGTCTGTGAAATCGTCGATACGCCAAATGGATCCATCGATGATCCTGCGGTTGAAGCGTAAAGGCAGCGGCGAAAAGCCGCCGATCCGGCCGAAGCCCGCGTTCCTGCGGCATTTGGCTCACGCGGTGGGCGGGCGCTTGCGACTTAGGGAGGGGCCTTGGGCGAGCCGCGTGAGGTTCGCTTTGGCAGCTGATCTGTTGCAAGGCCGTTGCAGAGCTGCTGATAACGCCTTGTCTGCTATTAACAATCACATCGTAGTGGTGGGTAATCTACTTTAAAAACACGTCACGTGCCTAGAATGCAACTTAAAATCATCCAGATGGTGTCAGAAATCTTTCTTTATTAGTCAAAACGCATTAGTCACGTATCAGAAATCTTTCTTTCATAACGCATTAGTCAAATACAATTTTTTTTGCAGAACAACAAAGCTCTCCAAGAAGCATGCAGTCTACTCGAAGAGCAGTTGACAGATTTGGAGAAATTAGCCGATATTCACGAAATAAAGAACAAAGATCTTGAAGTAAGTAAAGTGCTGTTAAAAATGGAATACGTGTTTCCAGTGTAAATTAGATTTAATAATCAGTATTTTTTTGATACAAACGTGGAATTTTTAGTTGTTCTTGTTCTTTACATTAAATCTCTTCTCAAGTTTCTAATGTAGCGACAGGAATGTCAGTGTACGGACATTCCCATCGTTAGCTTACTTATCCCCGTGTATTTTACATGATGTTCCTTTGTTTTATCGCGTCCTTGCCTTTACCAGAACGAAACGCAGCGCCTCCGTTCAGAGCTGGAGGCGTGTCGCTCGCGCCTGCAAGAGGCGGAACAATTAGCAACTGAGCGTGGTACCGCCGCGTCTCTGGCGGCGCAGAGCGGCGGCGAGGCGCGCGACCAGGCCCGCCACGCGCACTGCCAACTGCAGCTGCTGCGGGTACGAACGCTGCATATAAATGTTATTTGAAAGGTCTGCGCAAAAATTTACGCAGGTGCACGGAACGGTACCTCTAGCATGAACAACTTTCGTCTTCGAATCGTTTGCGTATTCAAAAAAATTCGAAACCTTCAAATTAAACGATAACGTGTCAATTTTGATTCTCAAAATAAGTTTCGTGCAACCATTTCTTGTACTAAGTTCACTTTACAACACGTTCACAAGGGCGCTGTTGTAGTTTTCGTACTAAATCTTTTGATGGCGATTCGAATACGCAAACAATTCGAACTCGAAAGTTTTTCGTGCTAGCCGTACAGATGCCCGCTCCGGAGGACTGATGCGAGCCTGCGCTCCGCGGCGGTACATAACATAATAAAGCACATTACTACTTGCTGTGCGGGTGAATATTCATCATACGCATGAACGCGTCCGTACCACACTGCTGCTTATACTATTTTATGATACTGCAGGGCTACTTCGAAACGCCGTTTACTTAGTTTCGAATATACCTGTCATTCGCTCATTCTTGCACATTGCTTTGTGTTAGAGGAATAGAATTTTGGGAATAACCCTATAGACATACATGCGTCCACCCGTGCGATTTTTAACGTAGAACTCAATAACGTTAACCCACTTCTAACACAAGCATATTTAGCTAACGACGAGGGGTTAACGGGATTACTATTATTATTTAAAAAAACTTTATATTTTGTGTTCCAGGAGCGCCTAGAGAGCCGCGAAGGGCGCGTGGCCGAGCTGGAATCCCGCGTGGCAGCACTAGAGGGCGAGCGCTCAGCCACGGACGCAGCGCTAAGTAGCGCGCTGCGGCGCGTGCGCGACCTGCAGGAAGAGAGCAGCGCGCTGCGCACGCGCGCGCACGACCACCACGCGCACGCGCTGCAGCTGCAGGCGCAGCTGGCCGACGCGCAGGTATACGGGACTATTCCCACCTCTCATTCCCACCACTGCAACTCCTGTGTAGCCAGGATCTACAGCTTGACCGCCACAAAAACCCAACCAATGAAGGTCAAGTTTGTCCCGGGGGAAAGTTAAACTGTCATTGGACTCGCAACGAAGTTAATCAGAAGAACATAGGAGGAGTTCGTAATTAAGGTTCGACTTATTATTAAGAGCATGGAGGGCAGCGAAGTTGTTGTAGGTGTTGATTGAAAGGCCGTGGTTTCACTAATTAAGTTTATTGCCAGGTCTGCACAGTTTAATACACACAATCACAAGTGTAATGGCCGGAGTACGAAACGCTACTGGGCGCGAAAGGCGCACAAATACATACGNTTTGTTCCGTGCGCCTTTAAAGGTGCTAGCATTGTCAGAGTAGATTTCCCTGGGCAACCCTCTTCTAGAGATAAGTCGTTTGAGGCACGCTAGATAGGTTTCTGTGGTAAGATCGCTTTTGTAGCAAAGCATACAAATACGCAGATATAGCCTTTACCCACCAGGGAGCCCACAAGAAGGCAGCGCGCTACAAGGAGCCCGTCCACTTTACTCACTTTCGAAACAAACATTTTACATAGTAAGAATACTGTGCAACCAAAAAGCATCTGGATATCGTGAGGAGAAACGACCAAATTCTCCATTTGCATCTGGAAAAATATAAAAGGTTGTCCTCTTGCAGTGGAGATTAAATGATAATGGTAGTGCACTTGAAGCATACTAATATTGTGAAAACTATGTAAGGCATTTTTGATCTTAACCGCCTCATCTATTAATTATTATAATATGCTGTTTGTTTTCCATAAATAAATAATGACTCACTTTTGGCTAAAGAATTATAAGCGTCATTATGACGTACGGTTCGCACCTTTACGAAATAACTCAATGTTGTTGTTATATGTTTCTTCCGCCACTTCTTAGCACCAGCCGATATGTTGTCCCGGACTTATAGTAAAGTAGCCCCACTGGATAAAATGCACTTTTTGATCAAATCGAAAATCGAATCCGTCCAAACTTCATACAACAAAAAGGCCTTCCGATCATTTTTCGACTGGTTTGCGATTATAATGTGAACTTTGTCTAGACCCACAGGTTAGATTTGGGACTTGTGACCTGAAAAGGGCGTATATGTCATAATTTGAATGTATTCAGGAGGAGTTGTCGGCGGCGCGCGAGGCGGCGGAGGCGGCGGCGGCGTGGTGGCGCACGCGCGAGACCAAGGCCGACGCCACGCTGCGACAGCAGGCCAAGCTCATCGACTTCCTGCAGGTAACAGCGCTGATTAGGAAGATTGGATCTCACTGCTCAGAATTCATTTTAAACCCCCAAATTGAGAAATGAATACCTGTACCTCCCAAATTGTTAAATTTATACTAACACAAGCATATAAGTTTCTTATTCTGGTGCTAGATGTCGCTGTGTGAAATTGTCCAAAGATAATTATTTATACATTGCTCGTCCATTCGTTCAAACGGTTATAATATTTGTAGTTCTTGAATGCTCATTTTTATTCTTATTTTAGGCAAAAGTAGAAGAGGCCGGTCGGAAAAAATGTTCGTTGAGCAACAAACTCTTCGGACGGTCCGGGCGGAGATCTGCCGCGTCACCGCCCCTTCGCCGGGCTAACAGGTAGCAGATAATATTTACTGCTATTTATCGGTTTAAATATTTTATTTATTAAGACAACCAAATACCTACTAACAATACATAGCATGCATTTATTTACAATATTTTTCATGTGGGGCAAAGTATACAGTGTTTTTTTATTTTCAGGGAACTTCGCGAAGAAGTAGAAAGGCTACGAGCAAAACTCGCTTCAAGAAATGGCGAAGTCGAGTAAGTATTTTATATTGTTTTGTGTAAGTTTTTTATATATTTGCCCCATACATTGTCAAGGACTTAAGCTCTGTAATTTGAAGCACTGAAAGGCTTACTCACTTTGCAGATATCCTCCAACTCCTAGAAGAGAGAAACCAAAATCTGCAGTAAATGGGTAAGTTTTTTCGACGTTAACAACTTTCTGACCTCAGGATGATTTCACTATCAGATAAAAATTGAGTGTTTTTCGGCATTTGGTGTATACTTTTGGCTGCTATATTTATAATTTGTTGTAGTATAATGTAGAATAATTATTTTTATTGCAGAAGGAAAAGCATAGATACGCCAGACGGACCTCAAGATAATAATACCGTTCAAGTCGTTTGGTAAGTGATCATAACTATTCACATCTGTCTTATTATTAGTTCCTCACATAATCTTTAGCGGAAATAATTCATAGCACCGATTACGTATTTTACTTTGTAATGTAAGTTTAATTTAACTGGCAATTAGTGGTGACTGAGTTTGTTCCGGCGTTTCTTCTCAGCACTTGCCCTATGTTTGTTTCGAAGCGCTGGTAGGGCCCAAAAGATAAGGAGATATGTTAAGTGCCCCATAAGGGCTACCTTATGGGTATGGGGCACTTTACATTATTTACTATATTTTGACGTTCATAAGTGCCACTTGTGGTCTAAACTGAATACCTAAATATTTTCGATTTTGATTTTTGTCTAATTGTTAGTTAATCTCACCCACACACTTATGGTTTCTATTATAAGTCATTAAGGATCATTGCGTACGCACAGGTCGGACGGGGTTCGTGAGCGGGCACGTGCACGAGTATCGGGCGCGGCGCTTGTACTGGTCAGCGGCGAGCAACAACTGCGGGCCAAACTACTCGCGCCAGATGCCGGCGACCTGCCGCAGAACGAGGCTAACCGAGCTTTTATTGTGAGTGTTCTATGTTTAGGAAGCGTTCAGACATCTTTCTGCACGAGCAGCAGCTGCCAGGCGAGCTACTTTGTGTGATGTGGATATGGGTACCTACGAATAACGTGCGAGATACTGAAGTTTTGCAAATGTGACTAAAAAACTTAAGTGCTTCGATTTCGATACATTTTATGTGTTTTTTCACCTTAAAACTGACTGTAAAGAATTCTTTACTTACTTTGGAACTTATACCACCAGGTAAAAATGGAAAGTCCAGCCCGATGCGAGCGCGCAGCTATAGTGTGTGGCAGCTTAGAAGACCGACGAGCGTGGTTATCTCGCCTGCAGCCCGCGCCCGCGCCGCCCGGCTACCACCCGTCCTCGCTGTGCCTGTTGGATACCGAACCCGCTGCTGCCCTGCACGTCGCTGTCAATGCTGTNAGCACTAGGTACTTGAGGAGAGCCTTGTTAGGTGCGAGTGTGCGGCAATAGTGTGTGGCAGCTTAGAGGAGCGACGAGTATGGTTGTCACCTCCCGTCCTCGCTGTGTCTATTGGATACCGAACCCGCTGCTGCGCTGCACGTTGCCGCCAATGCTGTTGCTATTGGTAATTATTCAAAATTGTTAACAAGGAATAAATTCCTTAAAAGGGTTGTAGGAGATTTGGGAGAGGATTGGGATGGGATACCTTCGATTTATAGCAGACTCCACAGGACGGTCCAAGCTTGGTCGTTTCTTTCTTCTTTCACTTCATAAATACACTTGACTTTTTATGGGTATTTTAGCACGCGAGAGGAGTTATTTGAGTTGGTTTATTTAGGATATTTATTTCATATTAACGCCCAGATAGGTGATTTCATACGCGACGGTCAATTTTGGATGTGACCATGAATTTTCTCAGATTTACGGCCAGACCCGTTACCATCACTGTAAAAGTTAATGCATATCCTCAAGTCTCAATGCCCTGCTGAAATGTTATTAAAAACCAAATATGTAACCGCCTCTGATGCATTGACACAAGTCGCTTACATTAAAATAATGTTTTTTATAGGTTGCATAGACGGCTTGCACTCACTCCGCGGCCCGATTCGCCTGGAGTTCGAATCCGACGTGTCTCCACCACGCCTATCGTCGCAGCCCTCGGTTCAGAGTATGGCGGCAGCTAACGGGCGCGCATTACTCGTGTACAACGGCGCGCTAGTACACGCGGGATTGTTAGCGTTGGGCTCGTCGCTACGCCGCTCCAGCAACCTCAAGCCTACTGTGGAAGTCAGCAAAGTGCGTCTGCCGGATACCACACCTCCGCATTTGGTTAAGGTACGTTTGATGCATCTACATACTTCTGCTATACCTACACACACAGTGCCGCACATGAGTAAAAAAAAAGTTTCGATATCCGCCAGTGAAGAGCAATGATTTTGAAATATTTTAGTTAGGACCAAATGATGGAAGAAGATAAACGGTGGAAAATGATGGAAGATAGCTTAGACACCGTTTCGGCTAGTTCCTAATGCTCCTAATCCCTGAAGCCATCTAGCTCACCACACCGATCTCCTCGTCGGCCGTTCTCTTCCATGAATGATTGACAAAGCTAAATGTGTAAGTGAAACCAATTTCACTGTGTGCTCTTTTGCAGGCGATATCGAGTGACATAATGGAAGGTCCGTGTGCAGTGGTCGCGTGTGGCCGACGAGTGTTCCTCCTTCGCTTCGACGCATCCACCACCGAGTTCAGGATTGCGCGCTCACTGACCGTGGACCGCGCGCCGTCGTCGCTGCTGCTAACATCGCGCGCTCTCTACATCGCCGGCGAGAAGCCACTAAAGGTTNACCACTAGGTACTTGAGGAGTGCCTTGCTAGGTGCGAGTGTGCAGCTATAGTGTGTGGCAGCTTAGAGGAGCGACGAGTATGGTTGTCGCCTCCCGTCCTCGCTGTGTCTATTGGATACCGAACCCGCTGCTGCGCTGCACGTTGCCGCCAATGCTGTTGCTATTGGTAATTATTCAAAATTGTTAACAAGGAATAAATTCCTTAAAAGGGTTGTAGGAGATTTGGGAGAGGATTGGGATGGGATACCTTCGATTTATAGCAGACTCCACAGGACGGTCCAAGCTTGGTCGTTTCTTTCTCTTTCTTTCTTTGGTTATTTGAGTTTGTTTATTTAGGATATTTATTTCATATTAACGCCCAGATAGGTGATTTCACACGCGACGGTCAATTTTGGATGTGACCATGAATGTTCCCAGCTTTACGGCCAGACCCGTTACCATCACTGTAAAAGTTCATGTATATCCTCAAGTCTCAGTGCCCTGCTGAAATGTTATAAAAACCAAATATGTAACCGCCTCTGATGCATTGACACAAGTCGCTTACATTTTTTTTTATAGGTTGCATCGACGGTTTGCACTCTCTTCGTGGTCCAATCCGCTTGGAATTTGAATCCGACGTGTCTCCACCACGCTTGTCATCTCAGCCCTCAATACAGAGTATGGCAGCAGCTAACGGGCGCGCATTACTGGTGTATAACGGCGCGCTAGTACACGCGGGATTGTTAGCGTTGGGCTCGTCGCTACGCCGCTCGAGCAACCTCAAGCCCACTGTGGAAGTCAGCAAAGTGCGTCTGCCGGATACCACGCCACCGCATTTGGTCAAGGTAAGAATGCACTCAATTGCTAATAAGAAGCTTTCCGATTCTGCCACGTGTGATTGTTAAACTAATTTAATTGTACTCTTGCAGGCGATATCGAGTGATATAATGGAAGGTCCGTGCGCAGTGGTCGCGTGTGGCCGACGAGTGTTCCTCCTCCGCTTCGATGCTTCCACCACGGAGTTCAGGATCGCGCGATCCCTTACCGTGGACCGCGCGCCGTCTTCGCTCCTGCTCACATCGCGCGCTCTCTACATCGCCGGCGAGAAGCCACTAAAGGTTCTTCTACCCTCCGGCGCCCTCGAAGCCTTCGGAATGGAAGAACCCATCATCGCGGCGGCAGCTAGGAAACACTCGCCCCCCAAAGCGATTCTCTTGGTCCGCGATAAGCCGACCGAAATCCTCCTCTGCTACGCGGAATGCGGCGTGTTCGTCGACGAAAACGGGCGGCGCACGCGCAGCGAAGACCCTAAATGGAGTTCCGCGGCGCGCGCCTGGGAGTATGTGCATCCTTTCCTGTACGTGGCGGGCGACGACCGCGTCACCGTGCTCTACGTCACCGACGACGTGTTCCGCGCGCCGCCCTGCACCTGCGACACCGCGTCCCTCGCCTCCACCGCCTCCGAGTGCTACATGCCCGAGATATTCAACCTGAAGGTCAACGAACCCGCGCTGCTCGGGACCGCGCCCAACGGAGTCATAATCCGAACGAAGGACGAAGAGGGCCATCGCGTGTCGGTCGTGGAGGGAATGGCCGCCTTCAAGAGTGTCGGCGCGTCCGTGGAGTCTCTCGAAACTATCTCAGACTCGAAAGGGTCGTCGACCGACTTGGCTCAGTCGATAACCGACCTGACGACCCCGCAGGATGTCTCCCAAGAGAGCGTGGAGGTCACGTCGGGGTTCCTGGCCGATATCCGAAAACGTGCCCGGCAGCTTCGAAACAAACACCGCAAGGAGCGGACGCCCGATGACGTCATAAAAGAAATCCTCACCACCGAGGTGGGTCTGAAGCGTTCTTACACGAGCGGGAGAAAGTCCCCCGCGACCGTTTCGGAATTCGACTCGGACTCCACTGAGAGCGAGGAAAAAACGGAGTCGCCCAAAGGAACCGCCGATTTGTGTGCGGAGATGTTCACGAGGCAAGTTCGATTTCAGTAATTCAATACCGCCCTTTTGTAGCAATTAAGCCTAGACTCAGACCACCGATTTTTTGTTGGCCGATAGTTCAGTCGGGCAATTAATCAGTAGGAGCATTGAGCATGTATGGAAGTGCGCACATTACACCGATTGATTCTTCATACAAATTAGAATCGGGCCCAACTATCGGCCGACTAAAAATCGATGGTCTGCGCCTTGCTAAAACTTACCGAAATATTTTTAGTCAGCATTAACCATAAAATGTAGTCATAATACCTACCCATAAGTGATATACATAATATTTTTTTTAGTTCAAACTCATAACCATTATAACTTAATAATATTTGAGAGTAGAAACTTACCCAGGCTTAGCCATTTTTGTATTGGATCTCTAAAGCTGATAATTTCATGCTCAATAATTAAAATTGAAAGTCCGATTGCCAGGAACTTTCGTTTTAAGTACTTCTATTTTAGGTAAAACTAGTTTCATTGTGTAATTGATGTAAGGTAATTTTATTTATAAGTATTTATTGTTTGGGATTTAACATTTAGTGAGTAATTTTGATGACGAGAAATATTGTCTGCTTTGACATAACAACAAAGTATAGGGATGAGTTTTTACTTCTCAATGCCTGTCTTCCCGTAGGCGGAAAAACGCCCAAGGCCGTTTGTATTCATCCGTTTTTTCACCGGACGACGGACCGTCAAAAACCGGTTATCCATTGTTTGCTGTCAATCTTCTCGCCGGACGTAAGTCCGATGCATGTGCACACGTTCATTATAAACCATACACCACCGCTATCAGCCGAAAAAATCGGGCCGTAGTCCGGTCAAAAATATTTACAAGCAGCCCAAGGCTTTTAGTTCAACATTAATATTGTTTTTCATATATCTTATATGATCCACTTTAACACACTCAATAGACCAATACAATTTTAGACTATTTTGTACATGGAAAAATGTTATTACATAAAACAATTTATTACTACTATTATAAAGGTAGGTACCTAAGTGTATCCTATTTAGGAAGTTGACCGAATTGAAAATTAATTGTTTCAAGGTATTATTATTGATGTATTAGTTAATATTTCTTATACTGTGATTTGCTATTAATTTTAACTGATGTTAAGATTTAGTTTTAACTTTTTATTTGTATAACTTTTAAGTCTAAAGAGAGGTAAATACAAAACGTATGGCTCTCTGTTTGCTAAGTCGTTTGAATGTATGGGTTTAATATAAGCAATGTTTGTTATGTATGTATGACATGTTATAAATATATATTTTTACACATAGTCTGATTTTATTTTTTTTCACATTAGGTTCCATGTCTGAATTAGATCTTACTATACAAATTACTAGGTGATATAAATTGTTTTATGAATGTCCTAAATATGTATTAGACTTAAATGAAGAATAGAGATTAAGTGAAAGAAAATTTAAAATTGTTGGAATCTTTTATTTACAATCTTATACATTTTACATTACATATATGAAGTGCGATTAAAAGGTCGCGAGCTTATGAATTTAATTACAATTTCAGTACCCTCTTAAAATAACGGTTATCACCAGCGAGGGTTTCAACAGCAACCGTTTCAATAACAAACGAAAACTTAGTGACACAATACAAATCATTCAGCAAACCAAACCTCATCATAGTCGTGTACTTGAAAAGTGTACTACATAAATCTGATATAACAGCAGAGATCTTTATTCACAAACAATATACAACACAAAATAATTACAAAGCATGTTACTTCCGACAACTATGCCTATCAAATTATATTTTAGACTCAGTCGAAATAGTTATAATACAAGGGTTGTAGATAATTTATCTTTTACATACACAAGTTGCACTGGGCTTTCACATTAAATACAAGAGGTACACACTTCAGATTCATACATCACACACGTTTTAGTCTCTATATAAAATGATTATTCTATCGCCGGGCAGCGGCACACTGAAACTAGCTGCCACTGCGTCGGCATAATGCGTATTCGCAAATTGTCGTTGACAGAGTAGGTTCACTTGAGATAGACAAATAGCTTATTCCCTGGGAAGTAAACATTAATCGGCGCTTGAGGTAGAGTCCGGTTAATCAATCGATGAAATCGTATTACTATAGTTATTATTATTACGCAGATGATTAACTACTATGCATTATCATGTTGCCGCTACTGAAATTCATTTATTAAGACAATGTCCCCGAGGTGCTATAAATATCTACAAAATAACCAAATGCCTTGTGATACACTCGTATCATACAACAAACATAATTAAATTCATTTCTTTGAGTAAGTAAACAAGTATTTTCAAAATAATGTGAATAATAGCTTGATAATAGTGATAAAAATTCATCATCAATGAACAAAGATAGCCACAGACAGTAAGACAGGAGCAGAAAAAAATGAGACTTAATATTTTATGAATGAAAACTTGTGCATATTTTCTGAGGATTAAACCTATTTTAGTGACTACAAAATCTGGCTGTTGCTCCCCCTCCTTTACTATTTCACTTATTCAAATATGTCAGTGAGTAAAACTTGGATGTATTGACTAACCGATTATATTATACAACTTTAGACCCTACGATCATTGTGATAAAGACAATAACTAGAGATCATTCCTCCAGCGGCAGTAATCCACAACCAACAATACCGCACGGTTCGTTCGGTCTTAGTTATTTATTGATAATACGTTTACCAATAAACACACGGGATTATGGGACTTGTAAAAATATGAATGAATATTTATTTATTGTTGAAATTAAGCCTAAGTGCTTAAATTCAAAGTGCTTAGTATGTACGAGTACAATGACAAGGATCGCGTCGATGATCTCATGAATCATTTATATCCTTAACTATTACAAAAAGACAATCTGAATTGGGGCGTTATTGTTAATCTATTGGAAGGCGTAGGTTTTGGCTGAATCGGCAAATATTTTGTAATGTGGCAAAGTGCAATTTAAAATTTCTTGCAATAAATAAATGTTTCGTCGTCAAAATCATAATCTCAAAAACACATATTTAAAAAGAAATTTTGTATCTGTAATAAATAACATAAAAATATACATAGTGTTGTTTTTTAGAAATTAGCGGTCTGAAAACCGGACCGTAATTGTCTTGACATAAGCCGACAGACTTAAAGTCGTGTAATAATGCAACATGCCCAAACACCAGTGCCAAAGAGATAGCCAGAGTGTTACTCCCTCCATTCTCAAGTTTAGTTGAGGAAGCCGCGGCACTGCGTAGCGCCGCACAAACACGGGATTTTCTCGTCTTCTAGAGGGAACTTGTAGTCGTACGTAATTTCCTCGTCTACTCCGATCGGCTGCTTCGAGTATATCACGATCTTCTTCTGAGACTCTATCGTTATTATCTTCGCGTAGCAGTTTGGCTGTGGGATAAAAACATACATAAATATGGCGATGCGAAAGTGCGTTCATATACGCAGAGCTTTTGGTAAATTTTGTAAATCTAGCAATGCATTTAAAATTAAATATCGTATGAAATATGCTTCGAATCATGTAGCAGGAAAGTGCTCAGTACATAATTTGCTCTTTCTTCGTGTTAAAGACTTTCATTCGACCTTATGACAAGGGAATAAGGTTCAAATAATGGTGGGAATATAACAGTAGGAAAGGAACAGATTACTAGGACTGCAGATTGCTCCCACAAGGGGGGCGTGGGGGGTCCGTCGCTAAGGCTACGGCCAGATACTCGGTAGTACCGAGTCGGTACCAACGCATGCTACGCCGCCACTGACCCCAAAGGTAATACATAAGAGGAATTTTGTTTTCAAAGGGGTCAGTTAAATAAGATATTGATGTTGAAAACGAACATATAACCATACATGTTATGCAAACAATTCAAACTAGAATAGAATTAAATTCGGCGTAACCACGACTGGCTCCCCGCTAATCCCCGCTAAATTTTGTCAGTGTGTGCGTGCGCGCCGCATACGTGCTGGCGCGCTCACATACAAACCGCGCCCGTGCGTTTCTATGAAGATGACCTACTCATTTGTATTTACTCTGTGCACACTCACGTTGCAGCTGTGGTTGATGAACCGCGCCAGGTTGCCGCACTTGGTGGCGTCGATGATGGTGTCGAGGTCGATGCGGAACAGGTAGGAGCTGCCGATGCCGGTGGCCTCGTAGTGCGCCTCGCGCACGTCCGCCACGATCGGCCGGATCATCTGGCCCACGTACTCGATCACCATCTCGTCGGCCGCTATCGGCTCCTGATATAAACAACAAATGTTTATCGTTGGTCGTTACACAGACTTCAAAGTAGTATATCAGGGGCCGTTCAAGTATTACGTAAGCACCAAGGGGGGTGGGGGGTCTTTGTTTTGCTTATTTTGATGACATGGGGGGCGGGGGGGTAATAAATGGTAAGAAATCTGCTTACGTAATACTTGAACGGCCCCTCACCACTAAATTTTTGTCACCGAAAAAAAAAATCTGGGTAATGAGTTATTGATACTGACCCCATTTGTGCAAAAAAGAAGTTAAATAAAGCGACTCAAAATTTCCTCCTAAAATTGATAATTTATGGACACACGCGTCGCTAGCACTATTTACGTACGATAATGTAACACTTTTATTAGAATTCAAAATGGTCTAAGTTAGCTAAGTATGTAATAATAACACTGGAAGCGTGGTCGAGGCGTGAGCGAGACAGACAGATCGATGCAACGTGCGAGCGCGTACGACTATTCTAGCGAGCAGCGGAGTGACGCAGCTGTGACGCGTAAAATACGGACTAAAGAAAATTTAATAAAAAAAATAACTTTATGAAAAACATTTCTTTTTCTTTTGCTTTCAATATTTCACACGATTCTACATAACCTGTTAAATTTTTTTCGGTGATAAAATTTAGTGGTGGATAACTATAACTCAAATGTGACTGACTAACATAGTGATCTATCAACGCACAGCCCAAACCACTGGACGGATCGGGCTGAAATTTGGCATGCAGGTAGATTATGACGTAGGCATCCGAAAGAAAGGATTTTACGAAACTCCACCCCTAAGGGGGTAAAACGGGATCCACACGTACGAAGTCGCGGGCGGCCACTAGTCGAGCTATAAACTTTAATGGCTTATAAATGACTGTTTTGAATAATAAAGACGATTTGGGAGCAATAAAGCGGGCTAGAGCTAAAGAATTATGCAAGCGCTGACAACTTCTGTTTCAGGGCTTTTTCAGACACATTTTACATGCCTTGACTATGAAACGCAAACTTACCTGAGCGAATAGACCCCAGTCGTGGATGCCAGACTTGGCAAACTTGAGCTGCTTTTTCCTGAATTTCAGTTGATTGAACTTCAGCAAATCTGAATCCGTATCTGTACCTGCAAATAAATATAGAAATTAGAGTAGAAAGTACTTCTAGCATTGTATCTGTTGAAAATGGCGTATTTTATACTTCATCTTATCGCGGCGGAGGCGGCGGCGCGGCCGTGGTATTACTTGTACTTGGACACTATAATCCGGGCCTTCTCAAGGCGAGAATAACTTACAGGGCAGGCATGTACCATCCTAGTCTTCAACTCACTTTACATCAGGTGCTATTACCATTGCTATGCTATGCTATTACCGGCGGGGCTACTCAAAAACTTACTCCGAAGTTTTGAATGTTGCCATTCCTCTCACCAAAAACGAAATGACAGCATGAGTGACGGTGACAGATAGAACCAAAGCTACGTCATCGTTTCGGAGTAGCTCTGCTGCCTTGGTCTGCATAAATAAAAACTTACCAAAAGCAGTGGGCAGCCGCCGCTGGTTGGAGCGCGCCTCTCGCAAGAGCCCCTGCACTTTCATCTTGTCGTCGGGCGTAGGCGGTGGCACGGTCGTGGTGTTACTTGTACTTGGGCACTATAATCCGGGCCTTCTCAAGGGGCTTACAAACTGCATCTCGCTTCACTTCAGGTGCGATTCTGAAATATCTGCCTTGGTCTTCACAAAAAATACTTACCAAAGGCGGTGAGCAGCCGCCGCTGGTTGGAGCGCGCCTCGCGCGAGAGGCCCTGCATCTTCTTCGTCTTGTCGTCGGGCGCGGCGTGCAGCGGCCGTGGTGGTACTTGTACTTGGCCACTATAGTCCGGGCTTTTTAAAGGCAAGAGAACCCAGGCACTTACAAGGCAGGCATATACCATTCTAGACTGTATCTTACTTCACATCAGGTGCTATGCCTTGAGATATCTGCCTTGGTCTGCATAAAAAAAACTTACTAAACGCAATGAGCAGCCGCTTCTGGTAGGAGCGCGCCTCTCGTGATATCTCCTGTATATTATTCATCTTGTCGTCGGGCGCTTCGTGGAGCGCGGCCGTAATTGTACTTGTACTTGGACACTATAATCCGGGCCTTTTCAAGGCGAGAGTAACAAACAAGGCAATTACAGGGCAGGTATGTACCATCCTAGCCTGTAACCCGCTTCACATCAGGTGCTATTGCCTTGAGATATCTGCCTTTGTCTGCATAAAAAAACTTACTAAACGCAGTGAGCAGCCGCCTCTGGTAGGAGCGCGCCTCTCGTGATATCTCCTGTATTTTATTCATCTTGTCGTCGGGCGCTTCGTGGAGCGCGGCCGTAATGGTACTTGTACTTGGACACTATAACCCGGGCCTTTTCATGGCGAGAGTAACTAGACACTTACAAGGCAGGCATCCTAGACTGCATCTCACATCAGGTGCTATTGTGGTGAAATACTTGCGGGGCTACTCCAAAAAACTTACTCCGAAGTTTTGAATGTTGCTATTCCTCTCACCGATAACGAAATGACAGCATGAGTGACGGTGACAGATAGAACCAAAGCTACGTCATCGTTTCGGAGTAGCTCTGCTGCCTTGGTCTGCATAAATAAAAACTTACCAAAGGCAGTGAGCAGCCGCCGCTGGTTGGAGCGCGCCTCTCGCAAGAGCCCCTGCACTTTTATCTTGTCGTCGGGCGTAGGCGGTGGCGCGGCCGTGGTGGTACTTGTACTTGGGCACTATGATTCGGGCTTTCTCAAGGCGCTTACAGACTGCATCTCGCTTCACTTCAGGTGCGATTCTGAAATATCTGCCTTGGTCTTCACAAAAAATACTTACCAAAGGCGGTGAGCAGCCGCCGCTGGTTGGAGCGCGCCTCGCGCGAGAGGCCCTGCATCTTCTTCGTCTTGTCGTCGGGCGCGGCGTGCAGCGCGGCGGACGCGGCGGCGCGCCCGTGGTGGTACTTGTACTTGGCCTTCAGCCGCGCGTCCATCTTGTAGTAGCCTTCCGTTCGAGCTGACCCGCTCGAGTGGCCCTGCAGAGAGAAATATGTTAGAAGTCAAAGAGGTTTTAGAAACAGGAGAACATCGAGCAATTTCACCCGATATACAGTGTGAGTCACGATAAAGTGCACATATGAAAATAGGTGAAACTAGACTTACTTTTAAGAGGTCAAAAAAATTTTGTTTTTTTTTCATTTTTTTATAGATTTTTTTCTTTCAATTACTTCTTGTAAAGAAAATGTAAAGAAAACGTAATAACTTTTAAACTAAGAAGTATATCCTGATAAAATAAAAACAGCAATAATGCTAAATAACAGGCGATACTAAAAAAATACATAAAATACCCAACACCCAATGGGTGTCCCAAAATGAGCATCAAAAGCATCAAACTTTTCTATGGACAAAAATAACTAAAATTGATCATATCTCAAAACTTATGTTCACGATACGTCTAGCATTCGTATTCGACCTCGCCGGTTGACGCCACTGTAAGTAAGGTCCTGCCACTAATGGCTACGAGACATTACGGGACTATTCCCACCTCGGGTGCGGCCCCGCTGCAAGTCCTGTGTAGGCAGGATCTACAGCTTGGCCTCCAATGAAACCCAACCAGTAAAGTTCAAGTTTGTCCCGGGGAAAGTTTGTCTTTCTTTGTCAAATTGTCATTGGACCCGCAACGTAATTGATCAGAAGAACATACAAGGAGTTCGAAGTTTAGGCTCCACTTCTGAATGGCTAACGGCCGAATACTGAAACGCCATTTAAATATTTGACGGCTTCTCAAATAGTTAAGCAGCTCCTAAACTTACATTTCGCATACTCAAAACAATATCTGAGCAGTTCTCAATTTTTAAGCACCTCTCAAATTAAGTTGCACTCAAACGCCACCTCAATGAATTTTCGCATACTGAAACGCCATTCAACGCTAAGCATTACTCAAACAACTGTCAAATCGTCTTAAGCAGCTGTTAAATTTGAGAGTGCTTGCGCGGTATCTTAAATCCTATTCGACCTAAATAGTGGTAAATAATGTGTGTCATCGTTATCATTTCTTTCGAGCCTCGAGGAAATACCTAGATCTAATCGCAGGAACGCAATAAGGCTGAACGCTATTGAAAAATATTATTATAATGACATGCAATTCCGAGCGAGGTTCCGCGTCTCTAAAGAAACGGTGTTGTTTCTGGATTCATAATTTGGAAGCTCTTTGAAACCCCTCACCAAATGCCATACAACCAGTGGACCAAATACTTATTATAACCCTACTGTTCTACGCAACGGGAAGTTATGAACGTGTACTAGGTGATATCTTCCATATCTAACAGCCAACTGTGCATCGTATAGTGCACGAAGTAACAACCAAAATAGCTGCTATGAAATCGCTTTACATAAACATGCCTATTTCTGAGGATTAAGGGGACATCGCATAGCAGCATTTCCAAGAGTTGTTGATTTGTCAATTTGATGCTCTGTCAGTCAACAATGATAAATGTCAATTGTGGTTACGTTTCGGTCCACGATCGCCACTTAATAGATTTCAACAATAAAATTAATATTTCTCGGTGGTCGAGGAGCGCGTGGTAGGCGCGGCGCAGTGCTCCTCAGCCTACCTGCAGGTCCTCGTAGATGTTGTTGTGGCGCTTGGACTTCTTGCGCGGCGGCGTGTAGCTGAGGTCGGTGGGCGGGTGTTCGACCCAGTGCGTGTCGTTGAGCCAGTAGCCCGCGCCCTGGTCGAGGAGCGCGTGGTAGGCGCGGCGCAGTGCTCCTCAGCCTACCTGCAGGTCCTCGTAGATGTTGTTGTGGCGCTTGGACTTCTTGCGCGGCGGCGTGTAGCTGAGGTCGGTGGGCGGGTGCTCGACCCAGTGCGTGTCGTTGAGCCAGTAGCCCGCGTCCTGGTCGAGGAGCGCGTGGTAGGCGCGGCGCAGTGCTCCTCAGCCTACCTGCAGGTCCTCGTAGATGTTGTTGTGGCGCTTGGACTTCTTGCGCGGCGGCGTGTAGCTGAGGTCGGTGGGCGGGTGCTCGACCCAGTGCGTGTCGTTGAGCCAGTAGCCCGCGTCCTGGTCGAGGAGCGCGTGGTAGGCGCGGCGCAGTGCTCCTCAGCCTACCTGCAGGTCCTCGTAGATGTTGTTGTGGCGCTTGGACTTCTTGCGCGGCGGCGTGTAGCTGAGGTCGGTGGGCGGGTGCTCGACCCAGTGCGTGTCGTTGAGCCAGTAGCCCGCGTCCTGGTCGAGGAGCGCGTGGTAGGCGCGGCGCAGTGCTCCTCAGCCTACCTGCAGGTCCTCGTAGATGTTGTTGTGGCGCTTGGACTTCTTGCGCGGCGGCGTGTAGCTGAGGTCGGTGGGCGGGTGCTCGACCCAGTGCGTGTCGTTGAGCCAGTAGCCCGCGTCCTGGTCGAGGAGCGCGTGGTAGGCGCGGCGCAGTGCTCCTCAGCCTACCTGCAGGTCCTCGTAGATGTTGTTGTGGCGCTTGGACTTCTTGCGCGGCGGCGTGTAGCTGAGGTCGGTGGGCGGGTGCTCGACCCAGTGCGTGTCGTTGAGCCAGTAGCCCGCGTCCTGGTCGAGGAGCGCGTGGTAGGCGCGGCGCAGTGCTCCTCAGCCTACCTGCAGGTCCTCGTAGATGTTGTTGTGGCGCTTGGACTTCTTGCGCGGCGGCGTGTAGCTGAGGTCGGTGGGCGGGTGCTCGACCCAGTGCGTGTCGTTGAGCCAGTAGCCCGCGTCCTGGTCGAGGAGCGCGTGGTAGGCGCGGCGCAGTGCTCCTCAGCCTACCTGCAGGTCCTCGTAGATGTTGTTGTGGCGCTTGGACTTCTTGCGCGGCGGCGTGTAGCTGAGGTCGGTGGGCGGGTGCTCGACCCAGTGCGTGTCGTTGAGCCAGTAGCCCGCGTCCTGGTCGAGGAGCGCGTGGTAGGCGCGGCGCAGTGCTCCTCAGCCTACCTGCAGGTCCTCGTAGATGTTGTTGTGGCGCTTGGACTTCTTGCGCGGCGGCGTGTAGCTGAGGTCGGTGGGCGGGTGCTCGACCCAGTGCGTGTCGTTGAGCCAGTAGCCCGCGTCCTGGTCGAGGAGCGCGTGGTAGGCGCGGCGCAGTGCTCCTCAGCCTACCTGCAGGTCCTCGTAGATGTTGTTGTGGCGCTTGGACTTCTTGCGCGGCGGCGTGTAGCTGAGGTCGGTGGGCGGGTGCTCGACCCAGTGCGTGTCGTTGAGCCAGTAGCCCGCGTCCTGGTCGAGGAGCGCGTGGTAGGCGCGGCGCAGGTGCTCCACGTCCTCGCGGTCGACGCCGCGCGTGAGGAACTCGTACATGACGTGCATCTCGGCCATGATGTCGCGCGGCTTGTACGTCACGTCCGGGTACACCACTTGCGAGTAGTCCGAGCGCGGCGAGTACAGCCTGAGGGAATGGGTTCATGAGATTAAATAAATAAATAAATATCCTTAAACATTTTACACTGCGCTTCTAGTCCAAAACTAAGCAAAGCTTGTACTATGGGTACTAGACAACGGATATAAACATACTTAAATACTTTGTAGCTGAGGTCGGTGGGCGGGTGCTCGACCCAGTGCGTGTCGTTGAGCCAGTAGCCCGCGTCCTGGTCGAGGAGCGCGTGGTAGGCGCGGCGCAGTGCTCCTCAGCCTACCTGCAGGTCCTCGTAGATGTTGTTGTGGCGCTTGGACTTCTTGCGCGGCGGCGTGTAGCTGAGGTCGGTGGGCGGGTGCTCGACCCAGTGCGTGTCGTTGAGCCAGTAGCCCGCGTCCTGGTCGAGGAGCGCGTGGTAGGCGCGGCGCAGGTGCTCCACGTCCTCGCGGTCGACGCCGCGCGTGAGGAACTCGTACATGACGTGCATCTCGGCCATGATGTCGCGCGGCTTGTACGTCACGTCCGGGTACACCACTTGCGAGTAGTCCGAGCGCGGCGAGTACAGCCTGAGGGAATGGGTTCATGAGATTAAATAAATAAATAAATATCCTTAAACATTTTACACTGCGCTTCTAGTCCAAAACTAAGCAAAGCTTGTACTATGGGTACTAGACAACGGATATAAACATACTTAAATACTTTTTTTTTGTAAATACATACTTATTATACATAGAAAACACCCAGTCCAATACAAACAAATATGTTCATGCACACCAATGTTTGTACTGTGCAGGAATCGAACCCGCTACCTCCGGAATAGTAGTTCGCTTCGAACCACTACACCAAAGGTCGACATACGGAGTCGACAATTGGAGTCCGAAAGAGTCAAGTTATCTGTAGCTCCGGGTCATAAGAGCCGTGCCACACTGGCGGATTGCAAGCGTTTTCAAAGCGGAGCGGCGACGCAGCGAACACATCGCGGATGCTCATCGTTTCCGCCTAAAGTTGAAAACGCTTGTAATCCACCAGTGAGGCAAGGCCCTAACGGATATCAAGGTTTAGTCAGCGCACACAGAGGCGGAAAGTGAAATGAATCTGAAAGCGCGTGATACGTCGACGCGTATCACATGCGACGGGAAACAGTAGGCGTCCGCTTTCCATGTGACTGATTTTATACAAACTAGAACATTACAAAAAATATATATCGTCCCGGATCACGACCACTTTCCCGCCTCTGTGTACGCTAACCTTAACCCAGTGGCGTCTTATCTCATTGTAATACAGGCTATTTTGCCACACAAATGTAAAGTCTGATAGTCTATTCTTAGATCTAAAACTATTATGCAGTAGTTTTCACGTTTAGCTTTTGCAAGTAAAAAGAATGTGTTTGAAAATAAAATGAATGTTTTTTACTATTACGTTTTGAAATATGAACCCTAAGCTCTAAATTTCTGAAACGTACTTGTTCTGTATCTCAGCCAGCTTTTTGGTCTCGTGTTTCCGCTTGTAGGGCCGCTTGGCGTCCTTCTTGGGTTTGGATTCTTCCACCGCCGGCGCTTCGCTCTCCGGCTCCTCCATCCAAGTGTAACCTGGAAATTGGTGCATTTCATTTTAATTGCAAGTATTTAAATAGAACAGAGGAAAAAACTTTACTTAATTTTAAAGATGTTCAGCCTTATGAACAGTGCAGCAGTGTACCGTGGCCATGATGCAGGTGGCTAGATACCCGACAAGTAAGGCAACTCCTGAAAATCTTTGATCGACATTCAAACGGCAACTCCTAAGTTTCTTTTGTCATTATTCAAAAACAGCTTGTATGTTCAATGTACCATGCATGGTCGTGCTGGAGATGGTTAGAGGCGCTATAACTTATAAGGCACTCCTGAAAACTTTGAGTTTTCATTCGAAAACAGCCGTATACGAATGCTGAAGGGGTTCCCATAAGGCGATTCCTCCCATTGTAAAACAGCNGATTGATTGTTGTGCACTTGGGCGCGATGTCGTGATTAGATTGAATATTTGTATGCATAATATTTGAATGCTTCTAAGGAAGGTTTGAACAATGTGTGTAATAATTGGCTCAAAATCACCAAGGTGCAGAATTGGCTTTGCTAGCAATTTAATGTGTTAAATCTTGACTTATTTGAGGAAAAAAAATTAATAACTTACTTCAACTAACTTGTTCTATGTGTACATCAAACAATATAACTAATTAATAAAGCAAATTTTAAATAAAATCAATATACATGCATTGATAATCATTTCGGGAACGCGTCCTAATGTACAATCTTCAGCAACAAGTCCAAAAATTTATGTAAAATATTAAGGTAATTTACACATGTCATTACTTAATACACCGTATTTTTTATACAAAATTTAGTTTTAGAAAGGATACTAAAAGATTATTTATTTTTAACTATAAATATGTCCAATATAGTTTGTCCCATACCGCACAAGTCATTTCAGTGAACGTATCGATAATCGATCAAAAAATATTTTAAGTGAACGCAGCCATTCGGTGTCTAACGTCATTCGAGGAAGAAAACAATAACAAAGCGGGCTGTCAGAGTATTTATCGTCAAATAAAATAAATCTAAATGGTAAGTACCTTTCAATTCATTATTCGTAGAGCGTACATCAATAATCCGTCATTTCGTGAACGTAATTATTACATTTAATTACTGATGAAATTCTTTTTTACGACACGAAATAACAAAGTAACCTCAAATATTTTCCTATTGACAAACCCAGATCGCATTTAAGATGGCTACCGTCTAATTAAAGCGCGCGCTTATTTGAAATCGTCATTTCGTGAACGGTCATTTCGGAAACGTTCCCGGACATGATGGCACGTTCCCGAAATGACCGTTGCGTTCTCGGAATGATGATTATTATTTGTAAGGGCGAATCATTTACAATTTTTAATAAATTTATTTGAAAAATTTGTTTCTTTATAATTACAGCAAAATGGAAACTCCTGAAAAAGAAAAAAATAAAAAAAAATCTCAAAAAAAGCTTAAAAAGGATAGTGCAGCTTATTTGCGCCAAAGGGAAAAGGCGAATGCTAGAAAAAGAAAGTTTTTGGATAAGATGACTGAAGAGCAGAAAGAAATTAAGCGGGCTAAGGACAGAGAATATTATAGAAAAAAAAAGGCAGAGAAAAAAGTGAAGAAAATTACTGATATGACTGAACGAGAGAAGCGAAAGCAGAGGAAAGATTGGAAAAAAGCATCAAAAACATACAGAGAAAAGAAAAAAAGTTTAGCAAATCTAGTGAGTAATACGCCACCACAATCAGATGATGATTTAGCCGCAGTACCTCCAGAGAGAAGACAAGTAGGTAGAAAAATCGTTCGAAAAGATAGGGCCAAAGCATACCGAAAAATAAAAAAACAGGATAAAATTATAATTGAAATGAAGCGGAAAATTGCATCTCTAAAGAAAAAACTAGTAAGAAGAGATGCAAAAACAAAAACTGTTCCAAGTCCCATCAAGAAAGTTGATGCTTTAATTAAAGATATTACTGTACCTCCTGAAGTACGCAAACAACTTATATTTAGCGAAGTATTGACTAAACAGTTGCAAGAAAAGGCTGATTTTTTACCAAAGAATTCAAAAGAGAGAGAAGCCTTTCATAAATGTATCAGTGGAAGCACTTTGCGAAAATACAAAATGCTACATATGGCCAAGAAGATTTTACCAACTAGACCGAAAAAAATAAACTATACATCAATTTTAAAGTCTGATACCAAAGTTCGCAAAATTGTTTTAAAGCAAGAAGTTCAACAAAAAGTCACTGATTTCTTCGAACAAGATGATGTAAGTCGAATGTGCCCATCTAAGAGAGACTCTGTGAAACATAATGGTATCAAAAAACAAAGACGCGTGCTTTTAAACTCAGTTAAAACCCTGGTGTCAAGATTTGTAAAAGAAACTGGAATTGTGTTATCATACGCAACGCTGCTGAGAGCAAAACCATTTTGGGTCGTAGCCCCAAAATCAAGGGATAGAGAAACATGCTTGTGTGTCAAGCATGCAAATTTTGAAGAAAAGTTCAATAAACTGAAATATGCAAAAGAGCTTAAACACGCATCTATAGAAGAGTTTATTGAACAATACACTTGTGATGTTAAGTCTCATGACTGCATGAATAGTTTATGTGAAAAATGCAAAATTCCTGAGTTCGAATCAGAAGATAATAAAGATTCTTTGACATATTTCACGTGGAAGTCCGTTCAAGAAGATAAAATTGTAAAAGGTATAAAAAAGACTTTTAAAATAACAAAAAAAATCCTGATTTCGAGTACAGTCAAAGAATTGAAAATTGCTTTATTTGAAGATATTCCGGCTATGAAGAAACACTTGTATGGTATTTATAGTTACAACAGATTGAAAAAAGAACTAAAAGACAATTTAGGTGAAAACGAGGTGATGATACAGATAGACTTTTCAGAAAACTATACTACGAAGTACGCAAATGAAATACAGTCGACACATTTTGCTAAGAACCACTTATCTATTCACACAGGCGTATATTATTTGCGAATCGGTAACAGTGATTTAAAATCAAAATCTTTTGCTACAGTAAGTGATAATTTAGATCACCAAGCACATGCCATATGGGCTCATATGAAGCCAATATTAACAACAATTTTGACACAGTTCATATTTACTCTGACGGACCAACATCGCAATACCGGAACCGAACAAATATAACTCTTTGGATACAAACATTGATTAATGATTTTCAACAAGTAACAAAATCAACTTGGACTTTTAGCGAGGCTGGTCATGGTAAAGGCCCTATGGATGGTGTAGGAGGATACCTAAAAAGAACAGCTGACAGACATGTCTTGATGGGTAATGATGTTAGAACAGCCTCAGAATTCGCCGATTTGTTCAAAAATTCTGCTATCGAAGTAAAAGTAATCCCAGACGACGACGTGATTGAGGAAAAAAACCGCGTTCCAAAGTCTCTGGATGCTATTCCAGGTATAATGGACATCACAAAAGTGTACTGGCAAAAAGGACTAGACGTTTTAATACAATTATATCGATACGAACATTTTCATAAAGAGCTAAAACTATCGAAGCTTTCAAGCCTTTGTAATATGAGTGCAGTTGAACCTGAGGAAGTTTTTATGCCTGCAATTGAAACTCCTGTTGACGAAGAGCCCATGATCACAGATATCGATTTGAGATTTAAAAATAGAGTAAGCATTTATAAATCTGTATACTGTTCATCTTCCTCGGACAATGAAGATTTAGAGACAATATCTCATATTCAGCAAATAAAAGTTAAACAGATTGATGTTGAAGCAAATACGTCTTATGGCAAAGAAAATATACATCCAAATCTCGTATCTCCTGGAACATTCTTGCTTGTTAAAGTTCCTACTGAGAAGCGCAATGTTTGCTTCAGATATGTTGCTACCTGCCAGACATGTGTCGATGATGATGATGGAGAAATCTTAGTAACCTTTTTGAGATCTGTGCGTAACAATATTCGAAAATTTAAGCTGGAACCTAAGGATAAATCATATATTGATTTTGAGCAAATAATCAGTATTATTCCAACACCAACGCTGAAGAAAGAAAAAAGTCAAGAATATTATTATTTTGATAATGATATTGATGTTTGCGAAAAATAATAAGTTTTGTTTTGTATTTTTAATATTTTTTTAGTTAACTTGTTGTTCGTGAGAGAATTTATTGTTGATGTTCTTTCGTTTCTTATATATTTTTTGTATTATGTATAGAAGTTTACTGAAGAAGACTGTGATTTAAGGTCAAAAGACTGAAATTGTAAGAACTGATTAAAACTTATAAAAGATAATATAATATGAGTATAGAAGTTTAACTAGACTGATTTATGAAGATGTTAACACTGAATTATAATAAGAATTTATTAATAGTAAGAGTAGTTTTTCTTAACTGTGAACAATATGGCAATATAAATAAATAACTTAGTTATTTAAATCGTTGTTTATAATTTAAATATTACCTTATTTCTACCTAATTATATCAATATCATCATTTCGAGAACATTTTTGTCATTCCGGGAACGGTTGATCATTTCCGGGAACGTTACAATATTTCAATAAAATACGCATTAATGGAGGTATTTCACTATTATTTATATATTTATTACATTACAGAACTATTGTTCTGTACATAATACGTTAATTCGATTAAAAGAGTTTTAAATATTATGAAATTTCTTAAACTGTATGCGGAATAATAGCAACTTCTTTATTTTTTTGATGTATTTTGCTTGTAGAAAATTTTTAATGTATTGATTTCATTATTGCTTATTCAATATAGAAACATAATATACCCATGTTTTTAAACAAAGCTCAAATTATGCGCTTTGTTTGGTTTTTGCGGATTTTATGAAACTTAGGAAAACGTTCCCGAATTGATGGTTTTCTGCAAGATATTTACTACTAAGCAATATTACTAAAAAAATAAAGAATTCTGTGTGTAACGGTTCGTTACACTAAGAGTAACAAAATAAAGTAAAAGTTAACAAAAAAATAAAATTTTAATTATAACTAAAAACTAATTAAAAATATACTTACTTACTAAA